GTCGTTAATCAAATCTCCCAAGATCGACCCTAGGACCCGGTTAGATCACCCTTTATACAACTTATCTAACTTGTAGTTTGACATATACTTAAAATTAGCCAACTGATACGATTCTTGAACACCTTTTTGACAATGTGTTGCTTTGGTTTATTAATGTTATGTTTAGATTAAAAGTGTAGTTCCCGAAAAGCGTTTAGCTTTGCCTTTGCCTTTAGCTTTGCCAATACTCTAGTAGATCTGAAGATGAACTTTTGAATTTGTAATTATTTTGGAAACAAAGAGTTTATTGGGGTTTTTGAAATTCTTTTCTAACTCAACTTCTAATTCCCATTGAACAATTGCCTCATCTAACGAAAAGTTGACGTTTTTCTTCTCACTCGTTCGCTCATTTCATCCCGTCCCGCCTCCACAAGCTCTCCCTTCAACAATGACCGCAATTTCACTGAGAAGCCAATAGAAAATTGTTCTCTAGTTCACTCATCAAAAAATTTTACGGAAATGATTTTCCGGATTTGTTTTCTAGTTTTCAATGTGATGATAAAATCAAGTTTTTTGTGACGTTTTTCTTTCCGACAAAGGCTTTACAATCTCGATTTTATGAGCAATTTCTTTTCTTTTTCTTTCTCTTTGAAGAATTTTTAATACCTCAAAGGGCGGGATGGGTTTTTGCGAGTCATTTCATTTCATTGATTCATTCTTGGTACAGTAAGTTTTACGAGCCATGACACTCAATTTTGGCTAGACGCTGTTAACGGCTATTCATTTCTTAATTTCTAGGCTGAAATTTTGAGTCAAATCGAGCTAGTTGATTAGTTGATTAGTTTGACTATCAATTATACAGACTATCAATTGTAATTTTGGAAAATTCTCTGTCAATTTGTGTGTTTATTTGTGTCTTCTACCGCGTCTGTTTGCCGTGTTGTGGCTCCGTTTGTTGTGTCGTGTCTTGTTTGTGTCTTCTCGGCTGCCTCCGTGTTTGTGTCTCCCGTGCTTTGTGTCCACCGTGCGGTCCTGTGCCCGTGCGTTTGTGTCTCCCGTGTCTTTGTGCTTCTCCTTGTTTGTGTCTTCTACCGTGTCTTGTTTGTGTCTTCTACCGTGTCTTGTTTGTGTCTTCCCGGTCGTTGTGTCTCACCGTGTCTTGTTTGTGTCTCCCGTGTCTGTTTGTGTTTCCGTGTCTGTTTGTGTCTTCTGTGTCTTTTGTTCTCGTGTCTGTTTGGTTCCGTTCTGTTGTGTCTCCTGCTGGTGCTCCCGTCTTGTGTGTCTCTACCGTCTTGGGTCCCCGTGTCTTGTTTGTGTCTTCTACCGTGTCTTGTTTGTGTCTTCTACCGTGTCTTGTTTGTGTCTTCTACCGTGTCTTGTTTGTGTCTTCCCGTGTCTGTTTGTGTCTCACCGTCTTGTTTGTGTCTCTCCGTGTTGTTTGTGTCTCTACCGTGTCTGTTGTGTCTCTCCGTGTCGTTTGTGTCCTTGTCTGTGGTCCCGTGTCTGTTTGGTCTCTACGTGTCTTGTTTGTGTCTCACCGTGTCTTTGTGTCCCCGTGTCGTTTGTGTCTTCACCGTGTCTGTTTGTGTCTTCTCCGTGTCTGTTTGTCTCTCCGTGTCTTTGTGTCTCTCCGTGTGTTGGCTCGTCGTTCGCTTCACCAGTTGCGTCTTGTGAAGAGTAAAGCTTTGAACCTATTTTCTTTACGTTTATCAGAAAATTTTATGACTCTAGAATTAAACTAACATTCATAAATTGAATGCAACTATCTTTAACTGTTTTACTAGCATTAAACTATCATTAAACTATCATTAAACTAGCATTAAACTAGCATTAACTGCAAGTATTGCAAGTGTCCAATAGATTCTTACTTTTCCAGTGAGCACTTAAAAGTTTTCTTAAAGTAAGGTCAGTGTTCAGCCATGAATACTTAAAAGAGTTCTCAGTAAGTTGTCGAAAAGTTTTTAGAAGTGTTTTTGGACGATTCTCTGTCCAGAATTCACAAAATAAGCCAAAAAAAGAAAAAATTAAACAATTGGGCCTCAAGGAACAATGAAAGTATCAATTTAGCATCAAGGAACAATGAAAGTAGGTGAGTTTGTTTGAAAAGTGAATTCTAGAGCCTAGTTCTTACAGCCATTAGCTTAGAATTTATGCCAATTGAATCAAAAGTAAACTTCTAGTAATTTGGTCAATTGTAAGGAGCCAATGCTTAGACCTTAAAGTTGCTTAGTCAATGCTTTGTCAATGCTTTTTGTCCTCCCCCCTTCCCTCCCCTCTCCCCCCCTTCTCCCCCCCCCTTTCTCCCTCCTCCTCGCCCCCTCCCCCTTGCCTTAGCTTTAGGGTTCTCGCGGACTATGAAAATCAATGTTTTAAAAAGCAATTTAGACAAGATATATAGCCAAACTTCAAACCAAAGTCAAGCCAAAGTGTTTTCTCTGAAATTCTTTTAGTCCTAACCTTTAACTTAATTGTCAACAGAACACTGGGATCAAATGCAAATTTTCTCTCAACGCGTCAACTTCCCTCCGTTTTTTCGTATTCGAAAATAGAGTTCTGAGCAAAAAAATTGTCTTCTTTTCCAGAAATATACCTTTGATATCCCCTCGCCTACACAATTAGTCCCCTTTCAACCCTATCCTAATAGATTTCTCTCTACTTCCTGAATGATGATGTGTTGATGGGGGAAGTGTTTGAATGATTTGTCCCATTTGTCCCATTTGTTCTCTTTCAATGGATTTGCATAAAGAACATCTACAAATGATTCAATGAGATCTCTCATTTATTCACTCATTTTCATTCTCGCGAATCTCATTCGCAACTCATCAAATCATCAAATCAAAGGACCCAATTCCTTCATGAGATGTGAGTTGCTCGCCTGAATTTATAGAATCATTTTACGATTTGTCAGGTTGACTAGTAGGACCCTAATACGTAAAAGGATTAACCGTTTAACCGTTGGACCGTTTAACTGTTTAACTAGGCAATGGATAAATCTTATCCTGGATCTTCTGGAGTAAATGATTTGCCTTACAATTGAGCCTAACAGCTAGGACTGATTTCCCAGGCTAGACCAGAGCCAGGTCAAGTGTTAAGTCGAAACACGAACTTGGTCTTTCAACTTAACAAACATCCAGGCAAAATCCAAGCCAAGCTCAGGTCAAGGCCAGGTTTTGGCTTTAGAACAGTTTATTCTTATGTCTAGTTAGTTTAGAATTTATGCCGATTGAATCAAAAGCTCGTGCTTAAGAAGCAATGTTTTGCTTTGTTTTGCTTTACTGCTTTACTTTTCACGTTTCCACATCAAAATACCAATCTTGCTGGATACCACTCTTGCTTAATACCACTCTTGCTTGATACCACTCTTGCTTGATATCAGTCTTGCTTGATATCACTCTTGCTTAATACCAGTCTTGCTTGATACCAGTCTTAACGTAATGGATTTAAACTTTGATTCGTCATCTTATATCGCTTTTCCCACTTTCAGCTCAAAATAACATCAATCCGGACAGCTCATGTTTCACTTTTTCGCTCGGGCTTCTTTTGAAAGCGAAATTCTTGTGAAATAGCATGTTCTTATAGAATCTTTCTTATTCAATATCTTCATTCTAGTTTTCTTTTACTTTGGCTCTTTTGCATCTTTTGCATCATCTGCATCTTGAACTTGCATTTTTGATTTCTTTTCATCATCTACCTACTCACTTTTTGTGGAAGGGAAGAATGAGAACACAGAAAGCTGAGAAGGACAATATTTGGCTTTAATTTGACATTTAAATTTGACATTTAAATTAGACAAATTAGACAAATTAGACAAATTAGACAAATTAGACAAATTAGACAAATTAGACAAATTAGCCAAATTTAGTCTCACTTATAGACACTTATTTTACTTGAAAATTTTTCAAACAAAACCAAACTTACTTGGTTGACTTTGAAGCTTGTTTCAAAAGTTTAATGATAGTTTAATGATAAGTTAAATGCTAGTTTAATGATAAGTTTAATGCTAGTTTAATGCTAAGTTTAATACTAAGTTTAATGCTAGTTAAATGATAAGTTTAATGATAGTTTAATGATAGTTTAAGGATAGTTTAATGGATAGTTAAATGATAGTTAAATGCTAGTTTAATGCTAGTTAAATGATAAGTTAAATGATAGTTAAATGATAGTTAAATGCTAGTTTAATGATAGTTTAATGATAGTTAAATGGTAGTTAAATGATAGTTTAATGCTAGTTAAATTATAAGTTTAATGATAGTTAAATGATAGTTTAATGCTAGTTTAATGCTAAGTTTAATACTAAGTTTAATACTAAGTTTAATGCTAGTTAAATGATAAGTTAAATGATAGTTAAATGCTAGTTTAATGATAGTTTAATGATAGTTTAATGATAGTTAAATGATAGTTAAATGATAGTTTAATGATAAGTTTAATGATAAGTTAAATGATAAGTTTAATGATGAGTTTAATGCTAGTTTAATGCTAAGTTTAATACTAAGTTTAATACTAAGTTTAATGCTGTTTGTAGTTAAATGATAGTTAAATGATAGTTTAATGATAGTTAAATGATAGTTTAATGATAAGTTTAATGATAAGTTTAATGCTAGTTAAATGATAGTTTAATGATAGTTAAATGATAGTTAAATGATAGTTTAATGATAAGTTTAATGATAAGTTTAATTGATAAGTTTAAAGATAGTTTAATGCTAAGTTTAATGATGAGTTTAATGATAGTTTAATGCTAGTTTAATGCTAGTTAAATCATAGTTAAATGATAGTTAAATGATCATTCAATTCAATTTAATGAATGTTTAATGATTTAATGTTTAATGTTCAATGTTTAATGATTCAATCTAATTGAAATTTGCTTTTGTTTGCTTTATTTGCTTTATTTGCCTTATTTGCTTTATTTGCTTGCTTTTACTTGCCTTTTCTTGCCTTTTCTTGCCTTTCCTTCTCTTTACTTTTTCTTTTCAATTTTTTTTCAAATTTCAATCCTCATTTTTGCAGGTACCAAAATTTGCGGTATGCAGCCTCTGTATTGGCTGTTGTTTCTCGGAACCGCGGCGATCACTTTTGCTCAAGACGAGGACAATGGAGAGGCGATGTGAGTAAAGCGGAAAATGGGGAAATGATTTGATGGTTTAAAACTCAACGAGTAAATTTAAATGAAGAAATTTCTGACAGCAGCAAAGAAAAAAATCTCGAAAACAAGTCGATGAAAAAAATTGCGGTGATTGGGAGCGATTTTCTAAACTTTAGTGTGGAAATTTCTCTCGAAAATCACTTATTTAAAGTACCCACAAGTACTGAAAACTTGTTTTTTTAATTTTAAAACTTAATAAAAGAAATTCATTGAAATTTTAATGTTTTGAAGATTTAATTCTTTTTTTTATAACAAAGGAAATATCGAATAGACAGAAAAGGGAAAAGGAGATTAAAGGCAAAAAATGGTTTGAAATATCGATAAGCTCCTCTTATATTAGGTTGGCAACTTAATAATGACTAATAACTAAATGACGTGTCACTACTTAACATGTTTTTTTGTAATTTCAAGCGCCGTTTCTTCCCTCTTTTTTACAAAGTATTGGGTTGTCCAGTTGTCCAGTCCAGCGTTTTTACTATTTTGTAAATTTCTCAAGAAATCGAACAGATGTATATGAGTGTTATATATCATTCGAAAGCTGAAGATCTCCTCTACATTTTGGAATAAAAAAGTTTTTGAATTCATTCAACTTTTTGGGAAATTGACTGCACAAAGGGAGAGGTCGTTTTCAAAAAAAACCCATTCCAGCTTAGCTATTCCTCAAGTTTTATGGTGTAAAATAACCGCCCAGAAAAGAAAAGAAAAGTAAAGATGCTCTGAAATTCTTATATTTTAAAAAAACTTGTATTGATATATCTATTGGTCAAACATCAAACGGTTAACTCATTTTGAGCGGAGCCAAAACTTGATCCAAAGACACCCTTCCATTTTTTGGCCACCTCTTCTTCTGTGCAGTCAATTTGCCCAAAAGCTGAACAAATTCAAAAAATTTTTATATCAAAATGTAGAGGAGATCTTCAGCTTTCGAATAATACTCATATATATCTTTTTCTTCATTTCGGTATCTTGAGAAATTTACAAAATAGTAAAAAGCGCGCATTCATAACTGGACAACCCAATAAAAGTTGTCTGCATATACAAAGTAAAAGATGGCTGCATAAATAACTCTGCATAATAAATTTCTGCATAATTCAGTGCTCCAAATTTCATCATTCACTTTTCGGCAAAAAATGGAGGACAAAAAATTGTGTCGAATCAAATATAAGCTCGATAAGCTCCTCTTAAATTTATATTTAAAACTCTAGCTTAAAAAACTAAAGAAAACTAAAAGAAACTTAACAACAAGACTTTTCAGCATTCGCATTTGAATCTCCATCGTCATAGCATTAAAAAAAATGTGAATTCCTCAAATTACCCAAATGCACGCCAACGTTTTCTTGTCTTTCTTGAGGAAATTTCACAAAAAAGACAAAAAAGACAAGGCTCAACTTGATAAATTCGAAGGAATCGAATAGAAAATGCAAAAATCAAAAAGATTTGAATAGAAAAGCTGAGTTAGAAAAGCTGAGTTAGAAAACTGAATAGAAAAGCTGAATTAGAAAACTGAATAGAAAAACTGAATAGAAAAGCTGAATAGAAAAACCGACTAGAAGCAACTAAAACACCTATAAATTTGATCAAATTTGTTCATTTCAGAGCAATCCTCGAGGAAATCAACAAAATGAACGAGCCGGCCGAATATGACACGTAAGGAATTAATAAAGCTAGGATAAATTCAATAAAACCAATAAATAACTCTAATGCTAATTTCAAAATTGACATAAAAATGTATTTTTAGATATTACATGGAAAAACGAGCACCAATGGATCGATCCAGCATGGTCAGGTAAGCCAATAATAAGACCTTTGCTCTTCAAAAGTTCATTGACTTTAGTTTTCAAATGTTTCATAGAGAATCTTTTGACATGTGCTTAAAAAATGATTTCATTAATAGATTTCATTAATAGCTTTCATTAATAGCTTTCATTAATAGCTTTCATTAATAGCTTTCATTAACCCATTCGAACTTCTGCAGCGATATCGCTGCAACAAAAACTCAGGACGGACCGCTGCAGCGAATATCGCTGCAGCGGTCCGTCCTGGTCCCATTGGCTATTTTCATTCATTTTGCTTTTTTGCTGTTTTTCAGCTTACATGTGTTCAATTGTGCGTCTACAATTCGTGGGCAAAAAGTGTTTCATATTTCCCGGATCATGCGTCCTGGTTTTGCTTGAATGTTCCATATGCTCTTCTTTAGCCGTCTCCTGCGTCCAGTTCATTATCACAACGCAGGCTGCGAAGAATAGTTCAAATTTTGCTCTTGACATATGTGGGACATGTGGGAATCCCCTAATCCAGGCCTGCTCCCAGCAGTCGGATCCTCGGTAATTTGCGTTCCCATTTGAAGCCAGGAGGCTTGAAGTTTTGCTCGATCCTGCCAGTTTGTTTTCCTTTTTCCATGTTTATTAGTTCGCCTACTAAAATATTGTCGTCGATAAATAGACATAATCGATGGATCTTGAAGTCTGGTCAAATTCATCGTTCTTCATCAAATGGTGTGAGACTCTCTTACTTTTTCCAACCATAAATCTGCTTCGGGTCATGTCAAGGGCTTGGTCCGTAGCGAAAAGAAAACGCTGCGGTTTCGTGGGTTTTGGGTTGGTGAATTGAAAACTGCCGTGCTATTGTCATATGTGACAGTTTGAGCACTTTCTTCAAAAGAAACCCATTTTGGTGTCAATGGAAAAGTTGTAGAGAATCAAAAATCAAGCTTATATCCAAATTTTCAGAACGATTCAAAAACAGGTTTTCAAGGAATGCCAAATTTACGAATTTTCACAAAACTTGCAACAAAACTTGCATTTTAAGCGAAACTACTAAGTGTATCTTTTTGGAAATTTGGCTATAAGCCTAATTTTTGATTCTCTACAACTTTTCTATTGACACCAAAATGGGTTTCTTTTGAAGAAAGTGCTCAAACTCTCCATCGGACATCTCCAGTCCTCCATTTTTGAGTCTCACACTTGTCTCACACACAAACCAAAATCCTACTACGAAAGAGGAATCCGCAAATTGCCTGTAAAATGCGCAGAAGTCGTCAATAATAATGGAAATTATTTGGAATGAATTCATGGTTTTATTTTGAATAAATTTTATTTCAAAGTCCCGCAGTTTTCAATTCATCAACCCAATAATACATTTGCTCGTCAAAAGTTCACTGACTTTAGTTTTCAAATGTTTCATAGAGAATCTTTAATGAAATGTGCTTAAAAACTGATTTCATTAATAGCTTTAATTTCAAAATGAAACTCTGGATTCAGATTTGGAAAGCGTGCCCCAATGGACAGATCGTCGATGGTCCGATTCGGCAAGCGGGCGCCAATGGATCGATCCAGTATGGTTAGGTGAGCTTTTTATCGCGAAGAATCTTCATTTTTAACAGCATGAAGCTCATTTGTTTAAAAAAAAGCATTTATTCACAGGAATAATGTTGTACAAACAATACACAAGCACAACCTTTAAGCCCTAAATGTAGGGAAGAAAAAGCCCATGCATCTGGCAAAAAAGAACCAATGAGCTAGCCGGTGGGATTGAAACCTTGACCTGCTCACTAAGATACGGGGCTCTTAGCCAGTCGACCATGGTGACATTGTGCATATTTGAGATAGTTGACTTAACTTGTAGCAAGGGAAAAGTTCCACACGAACTAGTCTCAAGCAGGATTGTCCCAAAAGGCATTTTTTCTGACAATTGTGATGTAAACATCTTTTAAACAGACTAAACAATTCGGTTAAACAGGTAAAACAATTCGAAACATCAAAACCAAATGAAAACAAAAGGAAGTGATTGAACCCGGGCAAAAAGAAGGCAGCTAGTATCGGGAACCAGAATCCTATCCACTACACCACTAGCTCACATTTCAAGAGGCCGAAAGAAGCCTTGTGACCTTCCATTGTCGGGCTTTTATCTTTATCTGAACTGATCCAATCACCAAAAAACAGATCTTGGCTTGGTTTTTGACTGAAATCTGGCCTAACTTGAGTTACAGGCTTACAGGCCCAGGGCCAAATTAGAAGATCTCTGGCTGCAAGTGTTATTAGAATGTTAGAATCTCCATTATTAGAATAAAAGTACTTACACTACAAATTTCAAGTCTAGAATATTGTAAGGATTCTAGCCGATGAGCAGACAACTTATCCAGCTTAGCCAGATAACTCTACCCATTGATTCTATTGACAGATAGCTCTATCTATTGACTCTATTGACACATAGCTCTATCTATTGACTCTATTGACACAATCATTGAGTCTAGGTTCGGTAAACGAGCCCCGATGGACCGATCGTCGATGGTGCGTTTCGGCAAGCGGGCACCAATGGATCGATCCAGTATGGTCAGGTTAGTCACTCGTACAAACAACTTGGATTCTAACATTCTAACTTTTATTCTAAATTATTCTAAGTTGATCAGGTTCTCCCTTTGAGACGCTTCCCCGATGAAATTATTCCTAATTATTCGAATGAGTGACTTTGTGGCGCAAATTTTCATTCGCATTCGCTTCATTTCCTCGAATTTTTATTGATTATCATAAAATCCATAGAAATTTTGCAAATTCAACAACTAGACATCAGAGTTGGCCATTTTTTCTGCAAGCTATTTGAGACTTTTGATCCCTTCTCGACACTCGAGTTTACCTCGAAATAAGTGGGTAATTGAACCGAGAAATTCAACAAAAAATGAAAGCGAAATGCTCGAAATGCTTCAAAGAGCAGAAAAAGATTACGTAAAAAGGAGAGGAATAAAATTTTTCTGATAAAAGGGAAAGTATTGGAATGTGGTCGTCAAATTTGCAGTGATTATTTATCCAATCAATTTTTTAAAAGTCACTTGAAGGGTCGAGATGGGTAATGATGATGAAAATGATGAAAATATCAAGCGGTTAGCATTTGACTTTAAATTTTCAGTACAAATATATTTAGTTGTTTAAAAAGTTTGCGGTCGCGCAGAAAAATTCAATTTTTATTCGCAAATATTCGACAAAAACAACAACGTATCCGAAGTATTACTTTCACTTTTTTCACTCTTCGAAGTATCCGTCATTCTCTACGACCTTCTGCCATCGGTCAACAAGATTTCGGATCTACTCGAAGCACCAAGCTCCTTTGAATCAAAGAACTCTTGACAAGCTTCTTCAACTTCAACTCCAACTCCAACTCCAACTCCAACTTCAACTCCAACTCTAACTCCAACTTCTTGTCCTCAAGATCAAAAACACTGTCATTAAAGCGTTTGAACCATTCAACCGTAGCAGTTTTGCTAACAGCTCCTTCGCTTTCCACCTCACAAATCACTTCAGCAGCAAATCTCGCAGACAGACCAGCAGCAAGTCTCCATTAGTGATGAAGCAAAACACGAAGTTCGCTTTTAAAGCTAAAGATCTAAAGATGTGGGATGTGTAAAGTAAATTCTATAACAAAATGCTCACAAGAAAATAAGCTTTCATAGCTTTCATAGCAATAGCAAAAAACATAGCAATCCTTTGTCAAAATAATTAGATAATTTGAGCTTTTCTATAAGTGACCACGAACTTTTTTCACGAATTAGTAACTGTAGTTCTGTAGGAATCGGATCATCGGGCTTAAAACAGTGAATCAGCTAGTCTTTGACACCATTTGGGTCGATTCCAAAACCACAACTTTTAAAGGATCGACGAATGACTTCTTCCGAAATTGAATCCCAAGCATCAGCAACTCATTTTAAGTAGATGTCCATTCCAGGGCCTTAGTTGAATCTAGTTGTAGTGATTATTGTTGGTTTAGATATAATCTTTATTACAGCGATAATAGTTGGTTCAGTGGTTTGAGATTGGGAGAGTAGAGACACGGCACGGCACACCCCGGCAGCTCGTTCACATTGTTTTTATACGGAACTCAGGCGTTGGTCTCGTCTTGCACACAATGGAGTTGAACGAATAGCGACGCAAATTAAATCTCGCACAATAGGCGTTCGGTCACATAGGTGCCTAGCTGGCCATTTCCATACGTGGCAATCTCGATCACGAGATCGTCACGACACTAGTAGTCGCTTCTAAAAAAAAAGCTACAAAGCCATCGCAAATATTGACGACGAGTGGCGAAAGTATAAAACTTTGATCTAACCTGTAGTCCTGTAGACATTTGGCAAACATTCAGAGTTGGCAAATATTCAGATTTGGCAAACGAGCTCCAATGGACCGATCGTCAATGGTTCGATTCGGCAAGAGGGCACCGATGGATCGATCCAGTATGGTTAGGTAGGTAACTTTTCTAGAAATACTTCAAATTTCATAAAAGCTGAATTGGGTAGGAGGCCGAGTGCCACCGTTTATCATCACACTCATAGTTAGAGAATCTTACTGATGCTGAGAGTTCGCACTCTTCAATGATTGAATGATTGACTTCAATGATTGAATGATTGACTTCAATGATTGAATGATTGTTCGCACTCTTCAATGATTGTTTCAATGATTGACTTACTCAGAAAAAATTTGATAATTTCATTTTAATTACTTTTGAATTACTTTAATAAGACAGGCTATTCAATTTTAAAGAGCTTATCTTTTACAGAGCTCATCTTTTAAAGAGCTTATCTTTTAAAGAGCTTATCTTTTACAGAGCTGATCTTTTAAAGAGCTTATCTTTTCAAGAGCTTATCTTTTACAGAGCTCATCTTTTAAAGGGCTTATCTTTTACAGAGCTCATCTTTTAAAGAGCTCATTTTCAATTTCCTTTCAGATTCGGCAAACGAAGTTCCGATGACAGCATGTAGACTTCTTCACAAAATGAAACCCTAGTTCTTCCGAAAGCTTCCCCATTAAATTCTACGATCTCATTTTTTGTATATTTTTGCTGACACTTGCCTATCTGATGGTTCTTTTAGAGAGTAGCTCAAATGGAAAAAAAACCCACTGAATGTTTTCTTTTTCATAAGAGGCCGGTGAAATATTTATTCTTGATCTCGTCGAATAAAATGTTATCCTATCAGTATGCACTGGGAAGTAAACAAACAAAATATTATGGCCAACACAATAATTGTGCTTCTGAAGAGGTTTTGAAAGAGAGAGAGAGAGAGTGAAGATTGTTTTCCAATTGGTCCGAAGGTATAACTTACCAGACCGGGTTTGTACCAGATCAGTTAGGCCAGGCCAGCTAGGTCAAAGCTAAGTGAGTCTGACCACTCCTTGACTGCTCGCCTAGCTTGTTCTGGTCCTAAAAAGTATCTGAGTGAACCAGAAACTGGACCAGAGGTACTCGAGGACGTGGTTGCGGCGATTGAAGCTGGTGTTGAGGTGCCTCCTCCCAAACTCGAGCTCGGTGTTTTCACCGAGCTCGCTGTCCTGCTCTCATTCGATCAATTATCTTCGTCTTCTTCTTCGGCTCCTTCGATGATCACGAGCAAATCGACGTCAAATCTTTCGACCTCGAGCGGCTCCACCTCCACGACTTCCAATGCTTTCGCTTTGGACTCACCTATATCTCCGCCACCTGCCCATTTCGGTTATACCTCCGCCAATCCAAAATTTTAAAAAACATACACACCATAGATCATAAGACATCAAAAAGAAAAGAAAAAAGTATTAAATCGTTATATTGGGTGGATTTGGAAGAGCGATTTGTCGAGATGTCCATTTTGAAGAACGAAGAGTGTCCACTCGTACATATTCTTGTCGCCGATTTCGTGCCGGACTATAAATTCTGAGAGGTAGCTTGAGAGCACAGCACGGCTCGTTCCGCGTTCTTTCTTGGTTCTCCACTTGGCCCACATACGCTCGACCCATTTTGGATCATCCAGATTTAAAAAGTTGAATTTGTGGTTGACTTTCTCATGCGAATAACCAGGATTCTCGAAAATGGCTGCGTTAGGCTTTCCACGAGTAAATCATCGATCCGGGTGCAATAAATTTCAAAATCTTATCAACGAGCGTCTTGGTACTCCGATCAGCCAGCTCAACAAGGAAACATTAGTTTGGGTGGCGGGGGAATAACCGAAAAGTACCGGACCAGAACCAGATCTGGATCTGGTTCTAGCTTGAATCTAGCTTCTAGCTTGAATCTAGCTTCTAGCTAGTCGGCTCAGATATTTTTTATAGGCCATAAAGACAGGCCTGGTCTTGACCCAGTTTGACTTATTGTTAGCTTTGTCAAGCTCCATCAAAACTGCCTTGAAAAAGCTTTTTTGGAACATTCTCTGTTGGGACAAGCTATTTGAGATTGGGACAAGATATTGGAGTTTGGGACAAGCTCATTTGGATTGGGACAAGCTCATTTGTATGATTTTGTACCACTACCTTTGTGCGAAATACGATTCATTTCTTAAGTCTGGCACCGGGAGTTTTTAGCTCTTAAATTTTGCTTGACAATTGTACCACATTTTGGTGTGCTTGAGTTGGCATCTTTTATCAAGACAAGACTGTTTTAAACTGTCTCATTGCTGAAACCAATGAGACAAACTTTAAATCCCTTTCCAGCTCAACCCTTTCCAGCTCAACCCTTTCCAGCTTTCCAGCTTCAAAAGTCTTCACAATATTGAACCCACACCTCCTATTCGAAATTCGCAACTGAAATTTTTGAACCACACTCTCTGATCCCAAAAAAGTCTTCCAAACAAAGAAGAGGCTTATTGCAGAAAGAATGGACTTTTCCCGAAAAGTCCTAAAAAGGGAAAATGGTTCAGCTTTCGTTGGATAGATTTTTCAACGATTTTCTCACTCGTAAACTTTCCCTGAGGGTTCAGAGGGTATCTTTAGAAAAGAAGCAAACCCTTTTCCCAAGTCTGTTGGAGGCACAACACTGAGTTTGTCATTGAGCTTAGATGGTCACGCAGAAGGGGAGCGTCCCCTTCTTCTCTAGTCCTTTCTCAATGATTCCTCCGGATCGCACCATCCTTTTCTCCTCCCGAGACGACAACAATCTTGGCCACTGAACTGAACACTTTTCTTTTAAAACAATACAGGCTATTTGAAAAGAATAAGTCAAAAAGTAAGAAAAAAGCATAAAGAAAGATGTTTTTTACAGAATGTTGCGCTTTTGTGAAGAGGTTGACTTTTCTGGTGGATTTTTGTTTACAAAATCGAACGCTGTTCTTCACTTATAGAACTAGTTGACTAGCATATGGTTTCTCGCAAAAACACAACTCTCAATAACCGAAATTTTATATTCAAAACGATTGCTAAATGTTAAAATGTAGAAATGACAAGCACTGATGAGCCAAGAGCACTGATTTTAAGACAGTTTATCTTGAGCTTGAGCAGACAAAACTTGAGCAGACAAAACTTGAGCTTGAGCAGACTAAGCTTGAGCAGAAAAAACTTGAGCTTGAGCAGACTAAGCTTGAGCAGACAAAACTTGAGCTTGAGCAGACTAAGCTTGAGCAGACAAAACTTGAGCTTGAGCAGACTAAGCTTGAGCAGACAAAACTTGAGCTTGAGCAGACTAAGCTTAAGCAGACAAAACTTGAGCTTGAGCAGACTAAGCTTGAGCAGACAAAACTTGAGCTTGAGCAGACAAAGCTTGAGCAGACAAAACTTGAGCTTGAGCAGACTAAGCTTGAGCAGACAAAACTTGAGCTTGAGCAGACAAAGCTTGAGCAGACAAAACTTGAGCTTGAGCAGACTAAGCTTGAGCTTGTCTGGGTTCAATTTGTTAACTCATCACGTCTGAAAACATGTCAAACTCTATTTTATTGTGTTACTATTAGCTAAACGTTAAAATCAAACTAAAACTAGAACTCTAGGATAAACTAGAACCAAAAAAACTTTTCGCAACCATGATTTGTGTCATCTTACTAGACTTATGATGTCGGCGGGTTTATAGTTTTGGGATGCTTTTGAAAAAGAACTTGAATCTCTTTATTTTACATTACTAAAGAAACGTTAAATAAAAAAGCATTAAAAAGAAAAAGGAGAATAATCAAAGAATCACATATCAATATAAGAAGTGGGGCACAGTCACCCCAGTCCGTTTGCCGATCTCCACTTCTCCGATCAAGTTATTGACAATCCTCTGGATCCAGGGCTATTTGAGCCTGGCTCTCTCTAGCTTCTGGATCTCTCTGATTTTAACACTAAGGCTAGTTATCCAGGCTTTGCAAAGAATTTCTTTTTCCTATTCCATACACTAGTAGTCATGCTCAAAGTTACTTTTTTGGTAACTTTCCGTTAAGCCAAACAGCTCGTTTTGAAGGGAACTATGATTCGCCTAAACCAGTGAGGTTCATCAACGTGTGGATCCAACTTCTAATTGATGCTCTGATCAAGTTATTGAAAAAAGAGTGCTAGTTGATTTAAAGTTGATCAAAAGATATCAAAAGATACCAAAAGATACCGAATCAAAAGATATCGATGCCAAACAATTTTGTCCAAACACATTCATGACTTAAAACACTTCTTATTTCAAAAGGCCTTTGATGGAGTAATCCATAAGCTCTTTAAAAGAAAGAAGAGAAAGAAGACAAAGAAGTGAAAAGAAGTCGAAAGAAGTCAAAAGAAGTGAAAAGAAAAGACGCGAAGGACAAAGAGATGGGAGGAGACTGTCGGGGCTGAACCCCTTCTCTCTTGGACACTTGAACCCTTGAACCTATATTCAATCACTTCTACCCATAAGCATTCTAAATTTTTCATTTGCATGCAATTGAAACTTAAAGATATTACCGTTTTTGATTTATTTGTATTTTCTTATTCTGTCTTTTCTTATAATTAACTTTCAGAATGCGAGAACTTTGGATAGCTTTACTCCCATTGGTGCTATCCCAGTCTATCAATAAGGTTGGGCAAAGATATTCTAGATAGAAAGATAGAAAGATAGAAACCTCTAAAAAGTACCGTAAGTCTACTGTTGCTTTAGACAGACAGGTATAGTCTTGTAAGGCTACTGTAGCTCTAGATCGAAATACTGTAGTCAGATCACTACAGTGTCTATGAGCTTTGTTTCATTCCTCATCAAGCTTTTTCAGGTTAACTTGGGTTTCCCGGAGGCTTGGGATGGGGACAAATACAGAGAATTGTATTGTCCGAGTAAAAACATCCCAAAATGGTTAGACGGTTATTTCTTGTGTCAACTCTCCGCCTCTTACGGAAACTCGTCGGCTCCACCCGGCCAACGACTCAATCATATGATCGACGCGATTGGAGCCGTTGGATCTTTCCATATCAGTAATGGGCAGGTCATTTTCTCTGCTCAATACTATCCAGCTCGACCCTACAAGATCTGGGAATTCTATGACAGAAATATGTCAAAGGTAAGAAATTTTGTTGCAATGTACAGCAAAAGCTTTCTGTAACAGAAGTACATTTACTTTTTAGTCATCAGTTCCTTGGGCTGGATGGTCGGACTATAACTTGACGGCAATGGCGAGATGGGAACAGGTAAGCCATATTTTATTCAGAAAAATGCACTTAAAGTTATCATAAACTTTTTTTGGTACATTTACTTTAGAAATATCTTGTTGATGGTCCCAGCCATCATCAAGAAGTAGCCAGTAATGGAAGTAACAGAAGTAGCCAGTAACAGAAGTAGCCAGTAACAGAAGTAGCCTCATGACCAAATGCACGATTAATGTTTTTGACCACAACCGTTGCGCTACGTCCAAGCTTCAACTCATACAAATCGCTCGAATTTGTCATTTGTCTATGCTCCTTATGTCGACGCCCTAAAACTAATCATTGTTTGGATAGACAAAATTTTTACGGCATTAGAAAGAAAAGCTCTCAACAATTTGTCGTTAAAAAATTCGAATGGATTACGTACTGAAAAAACCCAGAAACAAGGCTCGAAATAATTCATATCAATCAAATCAAAATCATATAAAATCGCAGTTATTTGTGTAATATTTTGTTTAGGTCCCAGCCAACACCGACTCTGCTCGTTTTCATCCAAATCTTGACTTCTGGAAAGTGGGAAATCGAGTAATTGCCGGAACAGAGGCTCCATATTGGGTCGGATATGAGTTTGATGTGAGTTTAGAAGAGAATTTCTCTTTAAATGAGTTACTCGTGCTTTTAAGGTTGTGCTCATTTCTTTAGAGTTACTCGTGCTTTTAAGGTTGTGCTCATTTCTAGGTGCGAACTCTAAACAAGTTCAAGCTCTTCCCATTCATAGAAGAGAACGATATTTTCGGCGTTCCTCGACCGTCGATGATTCCGATTTCGATGGCGATTCACGAGCGGTACTCATCTAAAATAGTTATAGCAAATCATCAAATAACATACTGTTAAATGTTCGAATTCTGTTTGATCTTTTAGCAATGATGCTGATGGAACAATTTGGGGCTCGTTTTCAGCAATGAACTTCAACGAGCAGCGCTTTTTCCAGGTAGAAAAAGAAAAGATATATTGGGTTGTCCAGTTATGGATGCGTGTTTTTATTATTTTGTGAATTTCTCAAGATATCGACCAGATGTATATGAGTGTTATATATCATTCGAAAGCTGAAGATCTCCTCTACATTTTGATATAAAAAGCTTTGGAATTTCTTCCGCTTTTGGGCAAATTGATTGCACAAAGGGGAGAGGTACACAAAGGGAGAGGTATGCTCGATGTAAAAGCTTGTTGTTGAGAACGAGAACAAGACGGTTTAACGCTAAAATGATGTAGAAGTAGGAAACAATCGACCAGATTACTAAAAGTGAAAATTGTAGATGGAGTACGGTAGGATTATTCGGTAAACTACGGCACACTGAACGGTAAACTACGGCACTCTGAACTTCTTAAAGAATCAGCTGCAAAATCATATTTGCCATGTGCCGGACCGTGCGCGTTTATAAAGTATAAAGTACGCGGAAGGCTTCAATTTCTCGGTCATTCTGTTAACCTACCGTAACTGTAAGACCCAGAGAAATAGAAAAAGATTGGATTCATGCAGAAGACTCCTCCAGTCGCAAAGACATATCCGGCGAAAAAACCCATTTCAGCTTAGCTATTCCTCAAGTTTTATGGTGTAAAATAACCGCCCAGAAAAGAAAAGAAAAGTAAAGATGCTCTGAAATTGTTATATTTTAAAAAAACTTGTATTGATATATCTATTGGCCAAATATCAAACGGTTAACTCAATTTGAGCGGAGCCAAAACTTGATCCAAAGGCGCCCTTCCATTTTTTTGGCCACCTCTTCTTCTGTGCAGTCAATTTGCCCAGAAGCTGAACAAATTCAAAAACTTTTTATATCAAAATGTAGAGGAGATCTTCAGCTTTCGAATGATATATAACATCTGTTCAATATCTTGAGAAATTTGCAAAATGATAAAAAACGCGCATTCATAACTGGACAACCCAATAAAATAAAACTTCAAACCTTTTAAAAATCAATAAAACTTGTTAGAACTTGTTAAAAGTTTTTAGAACTTGTTAGAACTTGTCAAACTTGTATTTTGGATAGGATTCGTTTTTTAAAAACATCTTTCAGGGAATTTTCACCGTCGACAAGAACGGAGTGCGTCGTGTTGTCGGTCTTTACGACTACGGTGTCTGGGATCCGAATGCTTGCGGACACGATGACGAATACATTGGTTGAGAAATAATATTGAACCCTTCAGCAATGTGGTCATTTCAGGAGATAAAACCCTTCTACCTGGCTATATTCATTCGATCACTTCAACCGAAAAGTACATCATTTTACCGATCACGTCACTTCTCATCAACCCATGCAAGTTCAAGGCGGGTTTATGATTTGGATTTGGAAATTGATCTAGATTCTAAAAATTCTAGTGATTTCAAACATTTCAAACATCATAAGTCTCAATTTTTAAAATGTTTCTTGATTTTTGCAAAGATTACAATGTCACGAGTTTAATGGAATGGTCAACGTTGATGGCCAATAGAATGGCCTCAAGAATGGCCAATAGAATGATCAAAAGAATGACCAAAAGAATGGTCAATAGAATGGCCTCAAGAATGGCCTCAAGAATGGCCAATAGAATGGCCTCAAGAATAACCAACAGTCAAGCCCAAAACATTCTTGAGATTCCTCGAATGAATCAATATTGTCCCCTTCTAGCAAGTACCTGCTTGTGTATCTCTAGTACAAGAAATTGCGTGAACTTGTCTTTCTCTTCATTCCCTAAAGGCGGCACACAACATGTTGACTTTGAGGGGAAATGGAGAAAGAGGGGAAAGCGGGAAAGAAGGGAAAGCTGGAAAGAAGGGAAGAGAAGAGTCCGATTGCACGCAAATCTCACCCCGCATTGAGTCAAAATGAAAAGAAGGGTTATAGTGAAGAAAAAATGGATTATTTAACAAATTTAGCATTCACGACTCTTTCGAGCCGATTCAAGTACAATCGTGATTTTAATAAAAGGCCCCGGCGCTATTAAGGTTAGGGGGCACTTTTTTTTCTTTAAAACCACTGTTTCTGGGGTAGTTTTATGCATCAAACCAGTCTGGGTGGGTGTTTTGGACTTAGTTTGATCCAGCAAGTTAAAGGGCGCCTTCCCTTCCCCTCCGCTCCCCACCTCACCCCTCCCTTCCCCTCTCCTCACCTCCTGCGCCCCCTCCAAGCCCCCTGTAACAATACTGGGATCTGTATCTTAATCCTTCAAGGCTTCAACCATCCCTGGCACTCTCCGAAGCATCACCGACATCTATACTGGGACGCTAGACCTTTTCCCTGTGTATCCCCTCATCACACTGTATGTGTGCGCACTTTGAAGCTCGGAAACTCAGCTTAAAACGTATTTTCCCAAGCTCTCATTGTGTTTTTCGGAATCTACACATAAAACTACCCAAGAAAAAGTGGTTTTGAAGAATAAAAAGTGCCCCCCTAACCTTAATAGTACCTCAAATCTAATAGCCTCCCTCAGTTTGCATTTTTGATCTGGTATCAACACTTTGTCTTGGTCGCTTTTAGAAGTATTGTGGCACTGTTATGATGTTGCATTAGGGATGGATACTGTTAATCCAATTATGGATGGATACTGTTAATCCAATTATAGATGGATACTGTTAATCCAAATTCAAGAAAATCATAAACAGCTCTGATACCAAACTCTTGATCTTAACTTTTAGAAGTATTTTGGCGCTGTTATGATGATGTTATGTTATGATTTTGTATTACTTGAGATGTTGAGTCATTCAAAAACCTTTTCATTCGTTTAGGAGCCACCAATGAGCAACCCTCGATCTGCTATCCAAAATGGAGGCCTTTGGGGAATGGACTTTTACGATATGGTCCCAATGAGGTTCAATCAGTTCAAGCAAACTTCACTAAATCACTTTTGCCGTTCTCAAAATCCTTAAGTCGTTCTCAAATCTTTGATTTCAGATTCTTGATCTTCAACAAGAAAACCAAAGAATGGGTAACGCCAAAACCGTTGGAAGTTTTCCCGTCAATGTTCGTCACTCATCAGTTGAATGCTTTTGAAAGCCCTGATGGAACGATCACCGCTGACATGGTCATTGAAAATAATAAGCTAGATTTCGACACTTGTTCCAATCAAAAATAGAAACACACCTTTTTTGAAGCACTTTTTTTTCTGTTTATTCTGAAAAGGAATGTTTCTCCATTTAGCACAAGGCGAAAAGCAATTCAACTAAATAAATCAATTTCCAGGTCGTCTACGACAGTCACGATCCTTATGTGAAATATTTCTACACCGACTTCTTGACCTCTCAACTCTACCCATCAACAGCCAGGATTCTGAGATTCACGTTAGATGTGAAACAGCATCGTGTCATGTACTCATACTTGATTCCACAAGTTTTTTCGAAATTTGAGAAATTTCTAATTCGATGAACTAGGAAACGATTGGAGCCGATTTTCCGCAAATCAATCGCGGCTACGAGGCGCGAGCTTATCAATGGGCATGGATCCTTGAGCATCCATTCGCTGCCGATAACAAGATTATCAAGGTGAGATACTCACAAGGGAATGTCAACAAGGTGTGGTGGTCAAATGCCATGAACCATATACTATTTGACGTAGAATTTTGCGCTGATTCCAAATCTGCTTTCGGTTTTTGCAACGCAGCACTCTGTCAAGAGTTATAAGCGCTCAAAGTTTTGTATGGAATCACAGAATACAGGCCCTGCGTTAACTTACCAGAATACAGTTAACTTCCGAGAGCGGAAAAGATGGCTGGATGGGCTGAATGGGATGAATGGTAGTGGGCTTGAATTCGAAGCAAGGAATCTGCGGTTCGAGTCCTTCTTTTAGCTTTGAATGGTTTGAGTGTTTTGGTGAGGTTGGTGTCATCATTGACTATATCCAGAGCAACGGTGTGCCAGATGATGTACGATTGTGCGCGCACACAGAGAACACTCCAACCATTCAAAGATAAATCCAACACCGAAAACGGAAACAACAAAAGTCAAACGCCGGACTCGAACCCTAGACTCTCTGCTTCGTATTCCAGCCCACTACCATTCGGCCACCGCGACATCTTTCCAAATAACTTATAAACTCAGAGCTTGTTTTCTGCGAACTTTCTGCGATACAAAACTTTGAGCCCTTATAACTTTTGACAGAGTGCTGCGTTGCAAAAACAGAAAGCAGATTCGGAATCAGCGCAAAATTCTATTTCTAGAATTCTAAATTTTATTCTAATTCAAAATAGTATATGGGCCATGACATTTGACCTGTTGTCATTCTCTTGGCAGCAGAAGTGTGATTGACGCTTATTTTTTTGTTTATTTACTATATTAAAGCCGTTAGAACATGATTATAACAAAAAATACTTTGATTGATCATCAGCACTCGCAAACTAAGCCGATAAAAAGAGTCGACTTTCAGATTTTTACTTTTTCATAAAAGTTCATTTTAGAAAAATGTACAAAACGGATTTTTATGAAATTATCATTTTTGGAATCAGCGCCTTTTTTTTTTATCTAGAATTTTTAACAGAATTTGTCTAGAATGTCTAGAATAGTTGAGTGATTTTTAACAGAGAGTTTTCGTGCAACCCCAGTAGTTCCCTGAAAATTTAGTTTTGTTCTTCATGTTTATTTTGTGGAAATTTAAAACTTTTATTTATGCCATACATCCTTTTGATAAGTTTATATAATTTTGGATTCATTAAACAAAGCAAACGAAATTCAGATCAATGTCGACGATCCAAGCGGTCAGCGAAACGTTGAGTACAAAGCGGAAAGCTCACTGGTACTGCACGAGCCGTGGTTTGTCGCTCGACCCGATTCAAGGAGAGAAGATGATGGAGTGCTTCTAGTTAGAGCTTTAGATCTACACGAAAATAAAGGTACTGTGGAAAAGTTTTTTGTTTGAAAGAAAGCTTTAGGTGTTCTCTTGGTGCTCGATGCAACGACAATGTCCGAAGTCGGCAGAGCCTATGTTCCGATCAGTATTCCCTTTGGTTTCCACAATCGTTTCTTCTCGAAGAAGGTTTTTTTTAGACTAGAAATAGCAATTGAAGGATATTAAACTATAAACGTTATCAAAAGAAACTATAACTATAAGAAACTATAACTGTGTTGTCATTATAACTGTTAGTTTTATTGCCTAGAACCTTTTCAAAAAGGTTTGCAGGTTCAAGAAACTTTTAGAGGCTTGACTGTTTCCCAGAGACTTTTATAACTTAGATTTTAATTCAGCATTTAAGTCAATTAGCTCTTAAACAGGTTATTAGCATAGCATTGCGTAATTAGCATTAACATTTTAGGATCTTGGCCTCCCAGACGGCGTCCCACCACCACAGCACAGCTCACAGTTCAGACCTGGCAGCCCGACTGAGCTATTGAAAAGACGGGTAAGCTGATGTTGATATTGATGTTGATGTTGATGTTGATGTTGATGTTGATGTTGGTATTGGTATTGATATTGATGTTGATATTGATATTGATATTGATACTGATATTGATATTGATATTGATATTGATGTTGATATTGATATTGATGTTGATGTTGATGTTGATGTTGATGTTGATGTTGATGTTGATACTGATATTGGTATTGGTATTGGTATTGATATTGATGTTGATATTGATGTTGATGTTGATATTGATGTTGATGTTGATATTGATGTTGGTATTGATGTTGATATTGATATTGATATTGATGTTGATATTGATATTGATGTTGATGTTGATGTTGGTATTGATGTTGATATTGATGTTGATATTGATATTGATATTGATACTGATATTGGTATTGGTATTGGTATTGATATTGATGTTGATATTGATGTTGATGTTGATATTGATGTTGATGTTGATATTGATGTTGATATTGATGTTGATATTGATATTGATATTGATGTTGATATTGATATTGATGTTGATGTTGATGTTGGTATTGATGTTGATATTGGTATTGATGTTGATATTCATATTCATATTCATATTCATAAAAACTAAACGTTAAAAATGACTTAACTTATTAAAAAGCTTTAGCAATTCATGTCCACCAAGATCTTCAACACTCCAACAACTTCAAGCACCACAACGACAACAACCTCCACGTCCACGACTACCACAACAACTGCTAAAGCAACAACGGTAAGTTTAAGTTTAAAGTTCGCAAAGTATAGTTTTAAAAACTAATTTTTAGACAGCACAGTCACTTCGTCAGAACCCACAAAGCGTAAAGACGACTTTCCGGCCGCAAACGGTGACCACACAAAAATGGACTCCATATTCGACTTCGACAACACAAAGAACAACTACTGGTAGAGTTTTATGACAAGTTAGATACAAAATCAAAACCCCAACCATCGCATATCTTACAATTAGCTGTGGGATCGCTGTATTAGCTGTATCGTACAATCCGCAAATCGGTGAACCAAAGTGCCTAAATTGCGTCTTCGGGTTGTCGCCTTTTTTGACTACCCGACTTCATGCGTCCATAAAAAAACCATAAACAAAACATTTTCATAAGATTCGAACGTTATTTTGTAGAAAAATATTAGGCCTTTCTAATGGAGCCAATTGTAAATCAATTGGTGAATTTGTCATTTATAAACGCTTGTAGAAAAAAGTCTCTAATGGCTTATGGGCCAATCTAATATTTTGAATGACGACCAAACTCAGGCAACAAAACCGAAATCAGTACTTTTGTATATTTTCCGCGCCACCACACAAAAGAAGCATGCTAATTTCCATCATCCGTATCCCCTCCGCTTTTAGCCTGGCCCTGGCTTTTGACCTGGGCCTGGCTTTTGGCCTAGCCCTGGCTTTTGACCTGGCCCTGACTCTGCTTAAACGATCATCTAGTCAGCTCCTGTAAGTCAACTCCTCCTGCTTTTCAGCTCCACCACCGACAACTACTCCACGAATCCCGCGATGGTGGCCTTTAGCCAGTGCTTCTACTGAAGAACCGTGGTGGGCTAAAGTGGTGAGTTTCTAAAAATAAATCAATGAGATTTTTCATTTACAGCTCCGCTCAAAGCAGGCAACGATCCCACCAGTTTTCCCGCCGATCAGTGGCGAGAAAGTGGCCATTAAACCGCCACCAGTTGTGAGTGGAAAGAAAAACGTTTTCTAACGCCAATGTCTATTGTTTTTTTTAGGTTTCCCCCGTTGTCACTAATCAGATAACGGTTGAGAATCAAAGAAATGGAACAACAGCGATTGAGGATATCTATGAGGAGACAATCAACGCATTGTGTCGATGGTTGCCAAAGGTATTCACTGCTGATTCATTTTCGAAGTTAACACATTCAAAACAACGGTATTTTGAGCGTCCAGTCGCGTAGTCGTTAACTGTTTTGGTAATAATTTGGTGAGCATTCAAAGATAAACTAAACTATTATAATGATTCGATAGCCCTGAATCTTCTCTTGAAAACTAGCACAAAGTTAGAACTAATAACAACTTTCCTTAATAACAAAAATCCTTGAAAACTTGAGCTGACACTAAAAATGATCGTCGTAAATGTGTTAAAGATGCTGTAAAGTGGGTATCTAGATACAGGAAATCGATAGGAAATGGCGTGAAATCAAACATGACCTAAATCTCTCATTTCGCTATGGATTTCGCTCATTTTTTTGGTATTATGTAATAGAAGGATAACGTATTATTTAATTTTAGAATATGAGCTCATTCTGTGACAAATTAACTGAAAACGAGTTGCTGTGGCAAGTTAGAGTTTTATATGCGTGTAAAATCCGTATTTCGCTACGAAACTATTTGAATTTGGCTATATAAAAGCTGCCTTTTCCAGCTGCCTTTTTCAGCTGCCTTTTCCAACTGCCTTTTCTTAGTCAATCCACCATAGTATGTGCCCAAATCTTTCATATTATGATAGTTCTTATGGCTATTGTCTACTGCCAAAAAATAAGACAGATTCATGGTGAAATGAGAGACTAAGGTCTTGACAAAGTCGAGGACATTTCAGATGCAAAAGCCTAATGGATGAACCTCTTATCTCTTGAATCTCTTAAATTTCTATTAACACGAATATTCCAGGTGTTCACAGCGATCTCGCACGAGTTGTGCCTTCAACAGGGAAAGAAAGCGGCCAAGTGAGCTGACTATCGTGTGATGCCTGGTTTCGTTTCTATCGCTTTCCCCCACGCTTTCCTATCACTTCTACCACTTTCAGTTAATGACATTTTCTTTAGTTTTTGATCTCATAACTAGAAAATCTAACTAATTACCTAATTTGAGTTGAAACACTTTTAAAAGCTAATACAATAATCAAGCTATTGAGTTGTTAAGTTGGAAAATGATGCACTTTTTAAATAAATTTGATTCAAAAACAGGGAGTTAGCCCGATCTTTGAGATTTTTGATTGAAAAAGTGTATCATTTTCAACTAAACAACTCTATACTTTGCTAAGCTTCAGTTCTATCTTCATTCTTGTGAATTTTTTTTTTGAATTATTCACATTTTAGGTGGGTAGCCCCATTGGCTAATTCGTATGCGGAACGTTTCCGTTTGGGACGAGTGAATCGTGGGTTGACTGGAGTCGAGACACCACTTGTTCGACCAGCTCTTCGACCAGCTCCCACTCAAGTAACCCCCACTCCATCAACTCCAACTACTCGTAATTCGAATAATTTGTGATTTTTCTTTCTTTTCTATTTAAAAGCTGAAAACAAAGTGACTAAATAACAGTTTTAAAAGGTTTTTTGTGTAAATGTAATGTAAAAGTAATGTAAATGAAAATTCCAAACAAGTTAGGTTAATAAAGTAAAGTAAGGAATGGCAAAGAAAGATTTCCGGTAAGGGGATTGAACCCGGGCTTTCTTTGCTTTCCTTGCTTTCCTTGCTTTCCTTGTTTTCCGGCTTTCCTTGCTTTCCGGCTTTCCTTACTTTCCTTGCTTTCCGGCTTTCCGGCTTTCCTTACTTTCCTTACTTCCTTACTTCCTTACTTCCTTACTTCCTTACCGGGCCAATGCTCTAACCACTGAGCTATTCGGTATCTCTTTACTAGTAAAGTAAGGAATGGCAAAGAAAGAGGAAATAAGCTAGACTCAAGTTAACGATACTGTAAAGGGCTTTACTACAGTAATCTTTACAATCTCTGGCTTTACTACAGTAATCTTTAAAGTCTTCAGTTAAAATTAACATTTTCAATTCTAGCACTTGAAACTATTTTTCTTTGGCTTTAGAAGACAACTTGTAAGACGCGGTAAGACAACTTGGCTACAGTACTTTCCACCAGTTTACCTTCCCCTAAGACAACTTGACTACAGTACTTTCTACCAGTTTGCCTTACCATAAGACAACTTGACTACAGTACTTTCTACTAGTTTACCTTACCGTAAGCTAACTTGGCGACAGTACTTTCCACCAGTTTACCTTACCCTAAGACAACTTGACTACAGTACTTTCCACCAGTTTGCCTTACCGTAAGACAACTTGGCTATAGTACTTTCTACCAGTTTACCTTACCCTAAGACAACTTGACTACAGTACTTTCTACCAGTTTACCTTACCATAAGACAACTTGGCTACAGTACTTTCCACCAGTTTATGTAAAGCTTTCTCTTCAGAATTAAACTCAAAATCAATCTGGTTCAAAATCAAAATCAACAAACTTTTGTAAACACTTTGTTTTCATGTTTCAAGTTTTTTTTTTTGATTTTCTTCAGCTCAATATCGTTTCTTAAATGCTCAACTTTTAAACCAGTAAACTTGGAAGTAAATCCCAAAAAATTCCCTCTAAATCTTCTCCCAGATCTTTGTCGGTGAATCGCTTCCCTCAACGTGAATATTTTTCCACTTCACTGAATATTTTAGGCGTTTCCTTCATCATTTTCTCTCTTTTGACGAATCCACTAGCATTCCATTGCTCTCTTTTTTTCGATAACTTATCTGATGAATATTTATTTGGAAATCTGAAAGGTTTCCCGCCTATATACAGGTGAAAAGTTTCTTTTTGAGAAGTGCTCGAAAATTTTTGCACGAAGGTAGCACACATTGTGCATTTATTTTTTTTTTTTCGAATTTGTTGTATTTGCTCATCTACTGGTCATGAAGTGCTTCAGTTTTCTTTTGTTTTTCGAAAATTTTCATGAGCTTGGTAAATAAAGATGTTATAAAGAAAATAGTATACAATATGGGGCATAATCATTTGAATTTGTAGTATATTTATGTTTATTTATGTGTTTCCTTGATATCCTTGATTTTGATGATACAATTTGAGTTGAAGTTGAAGAAACGTTGAAGAACCTGGGAAAGGCAAAGTCTAGGATCCTGGATCTGGCCAAAAACTCTGGAACAACTCTGACAAATGAGTGTTGTAGCAGTGGTAACACATTGTCTTATAGCACTCGTCCAAAACCGCACGCTCTGGCCAGTTTCTCATTAATTGTGGATGTCAAAAGTCGAGAAATTTTAGATAAATAGATTCTGTTGGGAATATGCTAGTTTTCTTTTCCTTGTCTTTCCTATTTCTTGGGTAAAGAAGGTGCCAATAGCTCAGTGGTAGAGTATCTGCCCGGTAAGCAGAAGGGTTCAATTCCGTTTGGTTCTAAATTATTTGCCTATTCATTTCTTTACTTTATTGGGACTTTTTGTCGATCAGACCTGGGAAAGGCGAAGTCTAGGAAGAAGTAAGAAAGGAAGAAGAAAGACAAGAAAGAAGAAAGACAAGGAAGAAAAACCCTGAATCTGGCCAAAAACTCTGGAACAACTCTGACAAATGAGTGTTGTAGCAGTGGTAACACATTGTCTTATAGCACTCGTCCAAAACCGCACGCTCTGGCCAGTTTCTCGTTGATTGTGGATGTCAAAAGCCAAAGAAGAGAACCAAGTTGAACAAACGAAATATTCGGAAATCCTTTTCAAAACAAAAGTTCGACCAGGAATTTGGCAAAAGAGAAACAATGAAGTGAAATGGCGAGCAAATAGGGTAGATAAAAGATTCAGACTTTAGAAAACACTTACCGTAAATACTGTAATAGTACCCCACCCCCATAATGACGGTGCGGAGTGTTGCGTAGTCTAGCTTTGAACGAGTTTTTCTCGACACTGGTTTATGCTACAATGCGCGCTTAGGTATCAAAAAATAGCCCTGAATTTCAGGGCTATTTTTTGATACCAAAGACGCATTTTTTGAAAGTACGGGTGCTTTGAAAAAAATGAAATACTAGAAAATTTGCGACTACGCGACTGTACGAGGGGGTTGGGGTACTATTACAGTATTTACGGTAAGTTAACAAATAAATAATCTGTGGGAAATGATTTAAAGCAACTATTAAAACAACTATTACAACTACGATATAAAATAACTAGCATATTCTCAACAGAATCTATTTATCTAAAATTTCTCGGCTTTTGACATCCACAATTAAGGAGAAACTAGCCAGAGCGTGCGGTTTTGGCGTGCTCATCCAGCATGATAGTGACTATCGTGCTGGATGAGCAAAAGTTTCCCGATCCCGAGCCAAGGAAACATAAAATTTTATTGATGAGCAATCGACCTTTCCATCAACAGCCCTCATTTGTGACTTTTTGATGAAAGTAGACACATTCTTCTTTTATCGAGAGAACAAGAGAGAAGACGACCAATAATTAGTCGTGAAAGGAAATGAGGTTTCTTGAGCATTCTTCCACAATGAAGCTCACAAATGCAGCTGTACGTTTTTAAAAACAGCTATAGCATATTTCCGATCTTTTTGAAACATTCAGATGTTTAAATTTTGTCAGTGTTTTGTCATAACTGTAATTGTTAATGTCAAGAACGCCAATGAATTTCAATCTTTCTACACTTTGGAGATTCTTTGAGCTTTGGTAATGATATCGTCAAGAGTCATAATCCAGGATGATTATGAGACATTTGATAGGTTTCCCGCCCTCTTTGCCATTGGCAATCTAACTTTGAACTCACATATCTTGGTGTTGGACTGTCCAATTTAAATAGTTTTGTACCAATCGATAGAGAAAGACTTGGCGCATTTAATGATACCAAAACTATTTAAATTGGATATCCCAACACCAAGATATTTGAGCTCAAATTTAGATTGCTGGCAAAGGGGGCGGAGCTACAATCAAATGTCCGATAACCATTTAGAATTGCTAGCTGTGTCTTATTTATCTTAGCAATTGGATATAAATTGTCATTAGATCTCTCTCCAGTATTTTCCAATGCAATTTTTTCCGGGTCAAAGCAAGGCTAGTACCTTGCTTTGACCTCTTGTCTCTGCAAGACGTAGACCTGACCTACCTGTCCAATTTGGTTCTAATGTCCGGTTGAAATCTCTTACTCTTCAGTCTTTCCTCAATTCTAGGCCACAAACGAGGCCAAGACCTCGTTTATAGCCGACCAAGACCAAGCAAGACCAGTATTTTAGTTCTAGAGCCCGTTTAAAGCGATCCTTGAGTCTTTTCTCAAAAAGTGACCTTTCTGCCAGAGCAGATCGTGGCCGTCAGCCGAGATCCGAGTGCTGTGCCCACATCTCTCTTCGATGAATGTCTCTTCTCTCAATTCCCCTCTCGAGGCCTTTCCTATGTATGGGTGGGGGCCCTGTGCGGCCTTAGTAGCCGGGGATCGATTCCCTCCCCATTCCGCCATCTTTTTTTTGTCCGTCTCCCATCCATCTCATAGAAGAGAGTGAGTGAAAATGTGGCCGCTTCAATGGTCCATCTCATTTGGCTTGTTGCTTTTCTCATAGCTTTTCTCATAGCTTTTCTCATAGCTGGATTTTGAAATGAAGATGCTTTTAGATCAAGATTGAATTCAGATAATCTAGCTTTTGATATTAGCTTTTGATTTTAAAAGAAGTTTTATCAAGTTGCTAGCCAAAGTTGCTGAAAACTTGCTCTATAACAAAAGCTATTTGCATAAAATAAACGAAAAATGGTAGATTTTGAATAAATTTGACCGTCTTTAGCTTTTTTGAGTCAAAAATTTGATGCTTAACGAGTTTCTAAAACCCTTCTTACCTTTTAAAAACCCTTCTTACCTTTTAAAACCACTTCCCTTAAAACCCTCTTACCCTTAAACCCCTTCCCTTTAGACCCTTCTTCCTTTTAAAACCCTTCCCCTTTAAGCCCTTCTTCCTTTAAAACCCTTCTTACCTTTTAAAAACCCTTCTTACTCTTTAAAAACCCTTCTTACCCTTTAAAAACCCCTTCTTACTCTTTAAAAACCCTTCTTACCCTTCTCATTCATAACTTTTTTTGACTCCAAAATTATCAATTACTAATCCTACAAAATCCCGATATTCCCAATACAATTTTTGCCTCAAAAGCCCACAATTTAATCTTATAAACAATTTTTCCTCATTTCTCTGAATATCTTTAAAAGCTATCCATTTTCTTCGCCACTTTTCTCCTCTCTTTTCGCCCGTAAATTAAAATGGCTTTTTGCCGGCTTCGAGCAGCAAAAAAAACCCCCACAAAAAGCCCAAATTTCCCACGTTTCTCCCGAAAAAATGCGAAAATGAGAAATCGCGCAAATTTTTCAATTTGATGTCTTAAAGCTTTCGGAAAAAAAATCGGTAATCTTTTAGATGAAAGGCTGATGAAATGAGCGCTTTTTCGGATATTTTCAAAAAGGCGCAAGATGCGATCAGCAATTTGAGAGGTAAATTCATGTAAATTCATGCAAATTTCAATGAAATTTGTGGAGTGGGACAAATGCGACCTTTTTTTTGCGCAGCCGGACATTTGCGCACCTTTTTTTCCGCACCTTGCCCATTAACGCACCTTTTTCCGCACCTTGCCCAGCAAAAAAAGCTCTGAAAAGCTAATATTAACCAATTTCTATTCCAAAAGTTGTTTTTCTAGGTAATTTAAGGGTATCGAATTCAAATTTTGACATAACAGAGCGTGTGGAACCAATTTGAAAGAAAGATTCGAAAGACAAAGCGGCTAGATCAAATTACAGAAAATTGTCGATCTTTCTCTTTGTATAACTCCGTTCGTTTGTTTCCACAAGCTCTGATATGTCAAAATTTCGATTCTACGCCCTAAGATTACCTAGAAAAACAACTTTTGGAATAGAAATTGGTTAATATTAGCTTTTCAGAGCTTTTTTTGCTGGGCAAGGTGCGGAAAAAGGTGCGCTAATGGGCAAGGTGCGGAAAAAAAGGTGCGCAAATGTCCGGGTGCGCAAAAAAAGGTCGTATTTGTCCCACTCCCGAAATTTGTAAAAAACTATTTATTTTCTATAGTTTGTATAACATTTTTACTTAAATTTTCTTTTTCCGAAGGTCCAAAAAACGGATATGAAGGTTAGTTTCTGAGAGAAGAGCACGTCTGTAGATGCAGAGTTGGGCAAAAACGGGTAAATGATTATGAATTCCTAACTTTTATTGCATATTTTCATATTTCAAAAGATTCTTAACAAAAACACAAAGTTAATAAGTAATAGATCATTTTTTTTCTGTTTGACCCAACTCTGCACAAAAGTAGCAAAGTGAAAAGACGTAGATAAATGAAAATTTATCGGACATTTGATACGCGCCCGCCCCTTTTGTTGCCAGTTCTAACTTTGCGCTCAAATATCTTGGTGTTGGGATGTCCAATTTGAATATTCTTGGTATCATTAGATGCACCAAGTCTTTCTCTGTCGATTGGTACAAAAACTATTTAAATTGAACAGCCCAACACCAAGAAATTTGAGTCCAAAGTTGGATTGCCAATGGCAGAGAGGCGGGGTGCGTATAAAAGGTCTTTCTGGCTCCGCCCCTTTTGCCAGTTCTAACTTATTTGAGTATTTGAGTTCAAAGTTGGATTGCCAATGGCAGAGGGGGCGGGACTCAGCAGATGTCCGATGGCCTTTTATACGTCCCCCACCCCCTTTGCCATTGGCAATTCAACTTTGGGCTCAAATATCTTGGTGTTGGGCTGTTCAATTGAAATAGTTTTTGTAACAATCGATAGAGAAAGACTTGGCGCATCTAATGATACCAAAACTATTTAAATTGGATATCCCAAAACTAAGATATTTAAGTTCAAAGTTAGATTGCCAATGGCAATGGCAAAATCAAATTTCCCACAATCAAATCTGCTGCACTTGAACTAACAACTGAAAGTGTGCATTTAATAGCTGGTATTTGTCTAAAATTAAATTTGTGAAAGATAATTAAAGTGCAAAAATGCCTGACTAGATTGTCCAAACCAATAAGCTTTAGTGCTTTTTGCTAGCAAGTGCTCGTTTTTTGGAAATGTTTGTTATTTATCAGCAATTGCAAACTAAACTAAGTCAAAATCTTTCATGTTCAAAGTTTCAAAAATAAAACTTTCAAGACTAAAACATTTTAGGCGGTGCCAACATTTTCCTTGGCCGTGATGGAGACATTCTCTACAGTAAAAATAACGTTTGTGTGCACGATATTTTGGGGGAAACCGAAGTAAAACCAGGGGTAAGTGTAAAAAAAAACAAAACTATTGGGTTGGTGAATTGAAAACTGCCGGCTATTGTCATATGTGACAGTTTGAGCACTTTCTTCAAAAGAAACCCATTTTGGTGTCAATGGAAAAGTTGTAGAGAATCAAAAATCAAGCTTATATCCAAATTTTCAGAACGATTCAAAAACTGGTTTTCAAGAAATGCCGAATTTACGAATTTTCACAAAACTTGCAACAAAACTTGCATTTTAAGCGAAACTACTAAGTGTATCTTTTTGGAAATTTGGCTATAAGCCTAATTTTTGATTCTCTACAACTTCTCTATTGACACCAAAATGGGTTTCTTTTGAAGAAAGTGCTCAAACTGGGATCTCCAGTCTCCATCTCGAGTCCTCCATTTTTGAGTCTCACACTTGTCTCACACACAAACCAAAATCCTACTACGAAAGAGGAATCCACAAATTGCCTGTAAAATGGGCAGAAGTCGTCAATAATAGTGGAAATTATTTGGAATGAATTTATGGTTTTATATTGAATAAATTTTAGTTTAAAGTCCAGCAATTTTCAATTCACCAATTCAATAGTTAAGTTGGAGTGTTTTAGAAAAACAAAAAAAGGCTAAACGGATGAAAACTTCAGGAAAACTTTACCAAAGCTTTTCCATAAAATGAATTCAGGAAGAAAACGTGATCCACACTCCCGGTTATCTCTCGATTCAATGTCAATCGGATGAGACAATCGGGGTGACCCTTGTTCTTCAATGGCTCCCAAATACAACTTTGCAAAAAAATCCGGCAAGGTAAGTCTCGGTGTACTTGATTTCCGATGACCTTTTATACGTCGCCCACCCTCTTTGCCATTGGCAATCTAACTTTAACCTCAAATATCTTAGTGTTGGGTTGTCCAATTTGAATATTTATTTACATGAATAATGTGGTAGAAAAAAAATGCACAAGCCTCTAAAGTCTAAATGTAGGGAAAATAAAACTAATAATCTAGCTGGCGGGATTGAATACTTGACCTCCCGATTGACTAGGAGGGCCAACTGCCTGAGCCGGCCAAAAAAACTCTTGAACACCAGTTGGTCTTTAAATCTCATAGTCCAGCTAGTACCCAATAGGTTTTCTTGTTTTCATCCAGAAGAACTAGTTTTCAAGGGTTTCTAGCTATGATTTTTAGCCATTCCAATAATCTTCCAATAAAACTTCAAAATTTAGTATCCGAAGCGTTTCCCCGAGAAACCATGAGAGCAAAAAGCGATCACAAGAGGTTCCATCGGTGAGTTTTTTTCTCGTTGAGCTTTACCCCCGTTTTTCTCTTTTTTTTCCTAGCTCATAGCTTCTGAACGGCTTTTTGTTTATGCATTTACCGTGAAAATGAAGCGAAACGAAAAACATGAAAAGAATAGGCTAGGTGAAGAAAATCTGAGTCTAAAAGTGTAAAAGTCTGAATCAGAATCGAGAATCTTTTTAGCCGATAATCTTATCAGAAGGAGGAGACACCACACCGAGCACTGAAATCACCGATGAGACTACGGTAGAGTTCTTATGAAAAAGACATGAAAAAATATCGAAAGCATTGAAAGCATTGAAACATTGAAAGCTTTTATTATGTAGTTCACGTAATATTGTTAGACTTTTCGACTTTTCGACTTTTCGACTTTTGGTCAAATGTGGAAAGAGGAAAAGAGAAGCTTCATTGGGAAAAACTTGGAAGACTTGTGGTTAAAATGGTTTATCTTTTAGAAACATTTGGTTAATTGTCTCTAAACTGATAGTGGGATTACGGTAGTTTCAAGTTGCTATTAGCCTTTGAGCTTGTTCGTGTTTTATGTCTTTTCTCTGTTTTCTGTATTTGAAAGCTATGTAAAAGCTAAGAAAGCTAAAAAAAGCTAAGCTAAAAGCTAAGCTAAAAGAAAGCTAAGAAAGCTAAAAGCTAAGAAAGCTAAAAGCTAAGAAAGCTTGAAAGCTAAGAAAGCTTGAAAGCTTGAAAGCTAAAAGCTGGAAAGCTAAAAGCTAAGAAAGCTAAAAGCTAAGCTAAAAGAAAGCTAAAAGAAAGCTAAAAGCTAAGAAAGCTAAGAAAGCTAAGAGCTAAGAAAGCTAAAAGCTAAGAAAGCTAAAAGTTTGAAAGTTAAGAAAGCTATGTAACCAAAATTGATTGATGATTTCTCATCGAATAAGACCAAAATTTGGCGAATTCAATGTAAATTGGCAGTGGGATTCGGGCAGTTTTAAAATAGGTGCCCTTTGGAAAGGGAGAATTCGAGAGAAAAACTGACATGTGCCAAATGAGGTAGTAGGATGTGGCTAAATGAGATAAACCATAAACCATTCGACGCACAATTACACGCTGATTCCGAGGATGGTTTCATTTTTTGCTATACGCTACCCTAACGAAAGTTTATACGAGTTTAAAGCTTTATAGAGGGCCTAGATTGACCAAAATTCACGCAGGATTTCACGCTGATTCCGAATCAGCTTTCCGTTTTTGCAAAATCGCTTTCTAGAAAAAGTTAGACGTGTTTGAAGTTTTAGGGTGAAAATGCGAAAATTTGGAGCCGATACCTTTATGACTGTTCTTTCACGGTCTCAAATGGGACATCATGGTGTAGTGGATAAAGCGCTTCAAAAAACTAGGTCCGCCTCTGCTCGGGTTCGCTCTTTTGGAAACTTTTGTTGCTTTTGTTTTTGATGTTTGTCAATAGTTTTAGGGTTTTAAGGCAATTAGATGGCTTATTTCATTTGGCCACATCATTTGGCCACATTTGGCCACATCCCACATCCTATTGTTGCCTTTCCTTCATGATTTGGAATGCTCAACCTAAAAGTCAACTTAAAAGGACGAGAAAAGAGTTCACGAAAGCTGAAAGCAACTGATTTCATCAGATAGTGTTAAATTTGAGTCTTCTCAACCACATTTCGATCCACTAGTCCATCGTTTTTCGATTTCCATGTCGTATCTCTGTAATCGGTTTCCTTTTTTTTCAGTCACTCATCTCTTCACCGGATCTTCAAGTCGAGATGACCGGCGATATGATCACCGTCACACAGATCACTGAACGACCCACCTCTCTACATGTAAATTTCAATATTATACAAGTTTTCTGAGATCTGAATGATCTCAGATCGTCTGACAATCAAAAATTGTCAGAAATGTCTTGGAATGTCTGCTGATTTTGCCAGTTTTTGCTGCATTTTTATTGCATGAACTATCAGCTTGCTGATTTGAAAAAAAATGAGATAAAAGGGAACCAAGAAGACTCTGAAGAGAAGTAATCTTGGTTTTGTGAGAGTTTGAGAAACAAAAATGTTTAGAAGAAGAGCAAGCCAAGAGGCAGTCAGCCGATGCCAATGGGAGAATCCGGTGGTTTGGGCATTCCATCGATAAATCTCATTCCGAATACACCCGTTGATCCATCGATTTTCGACGATGAGAATTGCTTAGTTGTGCCGACTCCGGATGTAACGGTGAGTCATAAAGCTAAAATCCAAAATCCAAAGGTTATTCCAAAAGTTAATCTAAAAGATCCAAAAACTAACCGATAATAGACACGGAAACGCGAGGAATCTGGCATCTGTATTCAAAACAGATTCCTTTATAAGGCTCCTTTGGCTTGTGACCAGAGGCCACAGACCAAAGGAGCCGGTAGCTATGAGCCGGTAGCCTAGTGGATAAAGGCCTAGTCTATCAAACGACGGTCCCATTTTCCCCCTTTGGTTCAATTCCGCCCACTTACAATTGGTGATAGACGAGTTGATAGACGAGTTGATAGACGAGTTGATAGACGAGTTGATAGACGAGTTGATAGACGAGTTGATAGACGAGTTGATAGACGAGTTGATAGACGAGTTGATAGACGAGTTGATAGACGAGTTGATAGACGAGTTGATAGACGAGTTCATAGACGAGTTCATAGACGAGTTCATAGACGAGTTCATAGACGAGTTCATAGACGAGTTCATAGACGAGTTGATAGACGAGTTGATAGACGAGTTGATAGACTAGTTGATAGACTAGTTGATAAACGTTTCTCAAAGTTGATGATAGATCAAAGTGACTTACACAAACGATCACATTATTAGCAGATTAGAAACGATTTAGTGAACTAAACAGCTTTTCTGATGAAATCGTCGTTTCAGTCTGTTCAATCTGACGCCACTTCGGTTTCATCTCAATCGACTTCTGGAGCCGACGAGCTTTCTGACAAAGAAGAATGCAGTTCATCGTGTGACGATTCAGGAGATGATCGAAAAGGTTTAAACTTAAATAAAACAAGACGGAGTTTAGATAATTAAAATTCAATCTTACTAGGGAAAGGCTAAACTGAACTTTTGAACTTCACCCTTTAACCCTCAAATTACTAAGATGACTAAGATTTAGTAAGATGTAACGAAAGCTCATAAGAAGTTCGTGCTTTTCCCTAGTTAGTTCCCTAGTCCCTAAAACTTCTAACATAGGTACATGTACGTCTATTTTTCAAGTAACTCTACGTCTATTGGAGCATGTACGTCTAATAGAGCATGTACGTCTAATAGAGTATGTACATATATTAGAAATTTTATGGTAACCGAAAAAACTTATTTCAGCAACCGCCGCAGTCCCAGAAAAGCTTCGAGCCGAGTGTTCAGCTCTTTGGTCAGCCACACCGGAACAATTTGCACTTGAGCACGATATGATTTTGAAAGATCAAAAGGTTTATCACTTCTTGAAGCTGGCTTTAAGCTTTAAATGCTGCTTTACAGCTTTCAAGCTTTCAACTATTTTGATTATTAGGTTGAACAAGATGACGGAGCTGTGGCTATCGCTCGTGGAAGAGCCATGTTCAACAGTCGAGCCTCTTCTGCTAGTCTCTTTTCGGTTAATCTAGGTATCAAGCTAAACTTTAACCCTTCTTTAACATTAATCTTCCAGGAAAGATGCGAACGATGCGGTTGTTCTTCTCGAATCCGGAGAACACTTCAGGGCAGCTTGTCATCGGTGAGTAAAACGTTGATTTCACTTAATTTTTGGTTGCTCTTGTTACTCTAGAATCACTCTAATGCTCTTTATTCTTATTCTTTTATTACTGGCCTTTCTTATGTTCAAACATTTGCATCATTTTCATTCAAAAATCAATGAAAAAGTACAAAGTACTTTCTACCGAGTACAACACCTGTGACAAGCTCACAATCAGCTCTTTAGAGCTTAAATTGAGGGAAATCAACGTTTGCTGAGAGAATTTTGATATCCACAATCATTTGTACTCTGAAATCTTAAGCCACTCACGATTCGCACTACAAAATTCTCCACTTTCATCATGGAGGGCTCGACAAATTGGCGCAATTGTTCGAGCAGTGGTCAGCCATCAAAGCAAAATCAGTGAAAGAGGTGAATAGCTTAGCTTAGCTTAGCTTATAGCTTTAAATTCCTAATATGAATAGAAAGGTTATCGAAATGACTAGTGCAGTTACGTTGACTAATGTTGCCATTATACTTTCGTGTAAGACTAATGCACTTTGTTTTTTTACTGGCTCAATATTAGGCCCATAGCTTTGTACTTCAGAAGGCCTAGATTTGCCAAAATTGCATCAATCGTTCTGATTTTTCTGGAGATAAATCTTAAGTATATCTCCTAAAACGATGCCCATTATCTAATCGATTCAATCTTTCAACTTTTTTATATAACCTTCCAAAGTTGAGAGCCACGCTACTCATGGGATTTAAGGTTTCATTTTTTTGATAAAAAGCTTAAAGATTTTAATGGTTTTCAATTAATCATATTTACTTATCAAATTTAAAAGCGATAGACCATAAAAAAGATAAGATTTTCTTGTTCTTTAGCTCGCGTTCGCCCTATAAATCGTTCAAGTGAAGGCAAACGATATTAAGGGAGTTTTGGTGACATTTGTCTTAACAATTTTTGCATTCAAACAGCGTATAGCATGTGAAATTTTGTTTATTAACATGAATAAATTCAATCTCAACAAGTTTTTGACAAGATCGCTCTCTAAAATCTCATAAATGAGTAGCGTGCCGAGCGATATTTGTCTCTCAACTTTGAAAGGTCATTTAAAAAAGTTGAAAGATGGAATCTTAAGTATATCTCCTAAAACGATGCCCATTATCTAATCGATTCAATCTTTCAACTTTTTTAGATGATCTATCAAAGTTGTGAGCCGATTTTCGCTCGGCACGCTACTCATTTATAATATTTTTGACAGCAATCTTGTCAAAATCACGTTGAGATTGAATTTATTATGTTAATTAACGAAATTTCACATCCTCTAAACAGTTTAAGTGCAAAAATTCTTGAGAAATGTCATTAAAACTCGCTTACAAGAGAAGGTCAATTGGATTTGATATAATCACATGAGCCATAAACTATTACCATAAACATAAACTATTACCATAAACATCGACGTACCTGCCATCACTCCAAACTACAGAATTTCACGCTGATTCCGAATCTGCTTTCCGTTTCTGCTATGGAGTGCTCTGTCAAAAGTTATACATGTTGAAAGTTTTGTAAGAGTTTTCAAAAATCAAACCGCGGCATTACAACCTTGTCTTTCGCGAGCTCAGCAGTTGCAGTGGTGGCCGAGTGGTAGTGAGTTAGGATGCAAGGCCGGGGCTGGTTCGTGAGCCTTTTGAGAATTTTGAACGCCTTTGACTTTAAATACAAAGTTCATAGCCACTCAGAGCTTCTCTAAAACGGAGACTGCTCAAGGCATTAAAACCTAAAACAAGACTCGGACAATCAGCTATCGGACTCGAACCAGAGAGCTAGGTCCTCAGCTAGGTCCTCAGCTAGATCCTCAGCTAGGTCCTCAGCTAGGTCCTCAGCTAGGTCCTCAGCTAGGTCCTCAGCTAGGTCCTCAGCTAGGTCCTCAGCTAGGTCCTCAGCTAGGTCCTCAGCTAGGTCCTCAGCTAGGTCCTCAGCTAGGTCCTAGGTCCTCCTAACTTCCACTTGGCCACCGCCGCAGATGCTCGGCTCCCGAAAGACAGGGTTGTAAGGTCGCGGCTTGATTTTTGAAACCCTTGCAAAACTTTAAACGCGTATAACTTTTGACAGAGAGCTCCATAGCAAAAACGGAAAGCAGTTTCGGAATCAGCGTGAAATTCTGCGTAAATTTTGGCTAATCTAGGCCCTCTGAAGTGCGGCGTTATAATTGTGGGCTGTAGATCATGAAATCGGTGATCAATTCAGGGCAGTCCATCTCCAGCTCCAGATCGCCACTTGTTGATCTGCCAGCCGGCGGTAAAGAAAAACGAGTTGGATCCCGAGGATGGACTTTTTGAGAGGTTGACTTGGGACTATTGGAAGACCTACAAAAACCGGGATGGATCGATTAATGACAGCAACACTGTTCGGAAAGTAAGTTTGCTTGCTGTAAGAATCAAAGACTTTCAAATGATCAGAGTCAAATGATCAGAGTCAAAAACAAGTGTTCATCCTTTCCTTGACTACATTCAATTATGAATCAAGTTTCTCATTCATTTAGGCGATCTACTTCACCTCAATGGAGCCAAGTCTCCGTCGAGAGATTTGGCCATTTCTTTTGCGCGTCTATCCCTGGGAATCAACTTTAGAACAAAGAGAAACGATCAGAAACGATCTCTTCCTAGAATATCAAAATATCAAACGGAAGAGGTATAAAAAAAAAGGTTTTTAATCACGCGCAAAACTGTTTTTAGACTTAAAAAGTCGAGTGGAAAGCACTGGGAATTCCTAGAGAACACCGTGGTGAAAGATGTGGTGAGAACGGATCGAAAAAATCCATTTTATGCAGGAGAAGGCAATCCAAACATCGATATTATGAGGTGATTTTGCTAGATTCGTTGATAAGTTGAAAACTTTAGAGACATTTTGCTAAACTATGCTGCTATGTACCCAGATGTTAGCTATATTCAAGGGATGTCGGATCTGTTGGCTCCACTCTTGAGCACATTGAGGTTAGCTTTCAACAAATGAAAGGTTTAACTTGTAAAGCATTTTGAAAAATCGGATCTAGCCTGAAAAAGCTTATTTCGAGGGAAATGAGTCAAAGAGGTAGAGATCATAAAATCTACTAGATATAAAGCAGAAGAGACGTCTGTCTGTCCGTCTGTCCGTCTGTCCGTCTGTCCGTCTGTCCGTCTGTCCGTCTGTCCGTCCGGCCGTCTGTGCGCAGCTATTGGGAAAAAGGGGCGAGGCTTAGATTGCGTGGAAAACGTGGGCCTTCCCAGTGGAAAACACGATCGTCAGTGAGCGTTTTCGCTTGTAAAAAGGGTACATAAAGCATGAATATTCAATGCAGAGACATTAGAAAAAGAATTTCTCTAAAAAAGGCAACGAGAATTGGCCAGCGGAGGTTTCGAACCCAAGCCAAAAAGGCTTCATAGGTTCCGTAGACTAGCACACTATCCGCTAGACTACCGAAGCGGTTGGGAAGTTCCCTTGTGGCAAAGAGTTCCCCATGAAGAGTCCGAAATTTAAGGGAATTATCTATGTCAGATTCCTTGGGATTGCGTGGGTCAGGTTCCTTGGGATTGGAGTTAATTTTTACACATTCATAATCAGTATAGCCGATTCTATGAGATGCATTTGGTCACGAAGCGATTCTCAACTTCATTGTCATTGTGTCAGTGTCATTGTGTCAGTGTTTCCTTGTTAGCTTCACCATATTATCACCCCCTTATTAGCTTCACCATATTGTGACACCATGCTTATCACAGCCAGCATTTCAAAATTTCCAGAGACGAGTCCGAGGTCTATTGGTGCTTTGTGGGTCTAATGCAGCAGACGCTTTTCGTTTCGAACTCAAACGAGAGCCTCATGGAGCAAAACTTGGTAAGCTAGAATAATGCATTAATTCTGAAACTTATCTAGGAATACCTCCGCGAGTTGATCAAGCTCCTTGTCCCTGAAACATTTTCATATCTCTGGCAACTTGGCGGTGACTCGCTTCAATTCATGTTTGTTCATCGCTGGATCTTGTTGTTTTTCAAGGTGAATTCAAGCTTTTGCGAGCAAAGCCGATTACAAAGCTGGAAAATATAAAACTCAAACAATATAAAATGCTTGATGAATTTGCAGAGAGAATTCGCTGAGTCGGACGCATTGCATATCTGGGAGGCGTGCTGGGCACGTTACCGCACTCAATACTTTCACCTTTTCGTTTGTGTTTCCATCGTTTCTATTTACGGTGAGAAAAGAAATTTAAAAGAATAATTTCAATATAAATGCTTTAGGGCCTGACGTGATTAGCCAAAAACTTCCCTATGATGAGATTTTGCTTTATTTCTCCTCTCTAGCAATGCACATGGATGCTAGAGTTGTCTTGAAAAAGGTAACGTAAAATTTCTTTCTACATTATTGAATACGATTTAAACCTAGGATCTTTATCTGTTTTAGAATTTAAATAATTTTTGCAAGTCTTGAAGACCTGCACGTCAGTCTTGAAGCCCTGCACGTCAGTCTTGAAGACTTGTACGTCAGTCTTGAAGACTTGTACGCCAGTCTTGAAGACTTGTACGTCAGTCTTGAAGACTTGTACGTCAATCTTGAAGACTTGCACGTCAGTCTTGAACGTCAAAAAATCTGAAAAAGGTAACGTAAAAAAGGAAAATTGGCTTTAGATTGCTTAAAAATCTATCAGATTAGCCTGGAAGCCTTATCCAATCTTTTAAGCCAATCGCCAATGAGCCAATCGATCTATTTAAGCCAATGAGCCAATCGATCTATCGTTTGCTTTCGATTAACAAATAATTGGATTCGTTCGAAAAACATTCCAGCTTTCTCGTAGAAAAGTCGGGATCCTTTCTCCCATTTGTTCTTTCTCCAATACATAAATCGGATTCTTTCTCTAATCCTTTCTATATAATTTGCCTTGAACCATTGAATAACCGGTTCAAAACGGTTATCTAATCAGTCTGCTAGCCGATCCAGTGTGATAAATAGATCATGCACCGGAACGAAGTCAGTAGCTCTAAGCATCTGATATTGCCAACAAAGGTCGACATTTGGTCCCACTTCTGACTTGATTTCAGCTTTTTCCACATGTCTTTAATTGTCTTTTCCTTTTCTTTTCTTTCTTCCTTCCTTTCTTTCTTTCTTTCTTTTCTTTTCTTTCATTCTTTCTTTCTTTGATTCTTTCTTTCATTTCTTTCTTTCTTTCTTTTGTTTCTTTCTTTCTTTTCTTTCTTTCTTTCCTTTCTTTTCTTTCTTTCTTTCCTTTCTTCAATTGATGCACTCCAGCATTTCTGAGGGTTTAATTAAATAAAACCAATCGTTAATCGTTTCTATTTAAAGCAAACAAGCAGATCGTTTTAAATGAAAACGATCTTTTTAAACCAAAAACGATAGTTTTATACTTTTTATAAACAAGAATATCAAAAAAAAACGGACAAGACTTTCCGGTCAAATAGAATAAAAGTGATTACACGACAATATTCAAGTCTAGAATAAACCGTAGGGATTGTAGCCGACAAGCAGACAACTAGCATATCTACAATTTGTTGTTACAATTTGAAAGAGCCCATTTCCAGGCCAGAGGTCTCTTGCATCAATTCGTTCACCGTGAGAAGATCCCATGCACTTTGGCAGGTAAAATGAGCAAATCTAGCACAAATTACCTAAACAAATAAAAGAATAAACAGAATTACAAGTTAAGAAATACAATAACTTTGAAAAATTCAATTAGGAGTCGTCGAAACGAGCGGTTTCACCCAATGGGACTCTCATCGACAGCCACAAGCCTACGAATGTGTTAAGGTTTGTTTGGTTTACTATGTTCAAATCAAAATCCATGATAAAAAAGAAGCTATTAGAGTTTTGGACTCTTTGGCACTTGATAGGAATTATTGGGTTGTCCAGTTATGAATGCGCGCTTTTTACTATTTTGTAAATTTCTCAAGATACCGAAATGAAGAAAAAGATATATATAAGTATTATTCGAAAGCTGAAGATCTCCTCTACATTTTGATATAAAAAGCTTTTGAATTTGTCGAGCTTTTGGGCAAATTGACTGCACCGAAGAAGAGGTGGCCAAAAAATGGAAGGGTGCCTTTGGATCAAGTTTTGGCTTCGCTCAAATTGAGTTAACCGTTTGATGTTTGGCGTCGAATGATGCCAAAATGAACTCACAAGGGAAGGCCAACTGCCTGAGCCGGCCAAATGACATGTAACCTGGACCATTCGACGCAGAATTTCACGCTGATCCCGAATCTGCTTTCCGTTTTTGCTGAATGTCAATCTGTCAGGAGTTATAAGCGTCTAAAGCTTTGCTAGGACTCTGAAAATATGGGTTTTTGAGTTCGAGGCCAAAGATCTCTTGTTCGAGTCCCCGTGCCTGACGCTCTACCGCTCGACCACGGTCTACCAGAATCGAGGCGGCGCAGAAGGCGCCTAAGACCCAAAAACCCATCTTTTCAGAGTTCTAATAAAACTAGACGCTTATAACTCCTGCCAGAATGTTATTCAGCAAAAACGGAATATATATTCGGAATTAGCATGAAATTCTGCATCGAATGGTATAAGTCTCATCCAGTTGACTAGCATTTGGCTCAGCCAGTTGACCTTCCCTTGTCAAAGTGTACCATTCACGCGAAGTTGTTGGCTAGAAACCTAAATTTCGTCCACTATGAGGGGACTTAACCTTTGCCTCATAACTTTTCGTGGATATTACATTTTGAGTTCATTTTGGCATCATTCGACGCGTAATTTTATTCAGCATCGAATGATAGTCAAAATAGGCAAAAGGGGTCGGTGCTGTTTTATTCTGCATCGAATGATGGCAATTTAAGGTTTTTCTCAGCACCAACCCTTTGATTTTGCCTCTTTTGACTATCATTCGATGCAGAATGAAATTCCGCGTCGAATGATACCAAAATGAACTCAAAATATAATGTCCATGCAAAGTTATGAGGCAAAAGGTTAAATTCAAAAGGGTTTAGGTTTTTAGCCAATAACTTTGCATGGATATTATATTTTGAGGTGATTTTGGTATCATTCAACGCGGAATTTCATTCTGCATCGAATGATAGTCAAAGAAGTCAAAAGAAAAGGGTTTGTGTTGAGAAAAACACGAAAAACCTTAAATTGCCAATGGCAAAAAAGGACCGACAGATATTTTCGTTACAAGTCTATTTACTAGTATTTTTGCACTTTTAAACGAAACCTTTCAGAATCACGGCGAAAACGAGCCGTGTCCTTTCGCTTGATCTCTCCTTCTATTCAACTGCCCAGTGATCTCATTTTTTTTTTCAAGAAATTTTTTATTCTTTAACGATTAAAGCATTTTTCTATTACCCAGAAGAAGCACTCTTATCTCAAAATCACACAAGGATTTACCCAATAAACAATAAAAGAAAAGTTTGCAAATGTACAAGAGAAAAGAGATCAAAGGAGAGAATGTTAAGCTCAGGGAAATTTTTGTTTTTTTTTTTATTTGGCAAATTCTAGAAGCTCGAATCAAATCTAAGACTAGAAATAAAACAAAAAGAACAATAGCTAAAAGGTAGGATTGTTATTTATCGTTATTTATCGTTATTTATCGTTATTTATCGATATTATGCATGTTTTTTGGTCGAGTGTTCGGGCTACGCGGTGAGTTACGACTTCGCGGAGATGTGCCTCGTTTCGTTTCAGCGGAACTCGTTGTCTAAATGAGTTGTTTAGTGGCAAAAAGTTAGTCAAAAGCTAGGTTTTTGTTGATTTTTGTATTAAGCAGCCTAAAAGCAAACTAGATTTGGCTAGAAATTGATGAAACGTGGCACGGATGTGGTTTGAAACTTGATTTGAACTTGAAAAACTTTGAACTTGAAACTTGATTTGAAAACCATCTTGAATTCCACGTTTAGCTTGATTTAATTTCCTTTTTTGTCAATTTTCAGCAAGTCAAAATCAGTCAGTGATCAAAATCAAGTTTATAAAGAAATCAGAAATCCCACTTTGGTTGTAGTTGTTGCTTTTCCACTCGAAGGAGAAGCAGTGGCTGTGGAGCTTTTCGTCTTGGCTGGTTGAGGGATTCCCGATCGTGGAACGTTACTTTTTGTCTGAAATTCGTAAAATTTTGACCTTCACTATATAAGCTTTCATTTTAATGATTCTATTCACAAAATGAGAATCAAATGGTGATTTTTTGATCTCTCGAACAATCTGCTGAGCTTTCAAAATGTCAGATTCGCCCGGAAAGTCTTGTTCGTTTTTTAAAGGTTATTTTTTGAAATAAACAATGAACCAATCGATTTATGCTTTGTTTTATTATAAAGTTCTATTATTTATTAACAAATTGCTCTTTAAGAAATTCTGAAAAGCTCGCGTTAATTGATCTTTTTAAAGGTTTAAAGTCGAGGAAAACGATGAAATTTAAAGTTCTGTTATTTAATTATATTTATTGTTATTTCAAGCTCAATTTAGTTGTAGAGCGGCTAGTTTTAAAGAAAAATATCTCCTCTTTTCGTATATAAAAACTGGATAAGCTTTATTTGTGTTTCAGCTTTTTTAAACACTGGATTTGTCAGCTCGATTTGTCAGCCTAGAGAACAAGAGAACAAGAGAACTTTACTTGAAATGACAATAAAACCTATCTTTTTGATGAATCCTTATGATAAACGCTATTTTAATAAGTAAAGTAAAGAGAACAAGAGAACAAGTGAACAAGAAAACAAGAGAACAAGAGAATTTTACTTGAAATGACAATAAAACCTATCTTTTTGATGAATCCTTTTGATAAATCCTTTTGATAAACACTATTTTAATAAGTAAAGTTCTTGTAAAGTAAGGAAATGTTTACTTTTAATATTGTTTTCACTTCTTTCTCTTTTCTGAACCTGAAACGCGCCGCTTTTAAAAGTAACAGAACTTTTCTGGCTCTATAAAGTCTCTATAAAGGACTTTATAAAGGAAAATTTCAAGAAAACGGACGAGACTTTCCGGCTAAAATGAAAATTTTTCGAAATTTTATACTTTTATAAAACCTAGATAGTTAAACCTAGTTAAACCTATATTACCTAAATTTCTTTTTGCCAAATCAAACCATCTTACCGTGCTACTTGTAGTCGTTGTTCCGCCGGATTTCCTGTGTCCAAGTGTTGCACTGCTTGGTGTTCTTCCCATCGACGTACTTGCCACGACTCCAGCTAATGGCGGATCTTTTGGCATCGGTTTAACAACACTTTTCGGCTTTTCTCCGGATTCTTTCTTTGGTGAAGGTCCGGGTAAATTGGCGGCTCTCGAGAAATCGCCTTGAATAATCGTGTGTGTCATTTGTCGCTCCATTTTGTGCTTAACGAATTTTGTTTTGATTAGTGCTTGAAAAAGTGCACAAAACGACACAAAATTAAAGGTGTAAAAATGAACAAAATGTGATTGAGCAAAGTTTGATTGGACAGAGTTTGATTGAAATTTGATTCATGAATCAAATTTTGTTCTTCTCGGGTAGTCAAATACTTTGTAAATAAAAAAAAACGCTAGTTATTAAAGCCAAGAATTCAAATTTTCAGCGTCAAAAGCGTCAAAAGCTTCAAAAGCTTATAGATTTTTGTGAAAAACTGTGTAAAAGATCGGATTGTATGGAATCTCAGCCGCATAAGCCAAAAATTTCCAATTCTTTTGTAAAAACTTGAGCTTTCTTGTGCTAACCTCTTCAAGATCGGATCGTTTCTTCGTAGGAGATCGGGATTTTTGCTCTCGCAATGGTAAAGGCTTTGGTGGATCTTTTAGCGCTTCTTTTGGCTCTTCTTTTGATGTTTCTTTTGGCACTTCTTTTGCTGTTTCTTTTAGCGCTTCTTTTCGCTCTTCTTTTGACTCTTCTTTTGCTGTTTCTTTTGGAACAGGAGACGCTTCTTTTCTTCTCATCACTTTTTCTTCTTTCACCTTTTCTTTCTCTCGTTTCACTTCAACTCTTTTCCCTTCTTCAACTTTTTCCCCAATCTTTGGAGGATCTGGTGTTTTTCTCTCCGATGACTCTCTTTTCACGATTTTTGAACTAGAGCCAACTGCTTCTTTTGGTGCTCGAGGTGTTGTTTCTCTTGAAACCGATCGAGATGATGGTCGAGCTGGAGTTTGGATTGAAGACGGGCTTTGTGTCCTTTCTATTGAAGGCTTTTTCTCCTAGAAAATAGAATAGAAAATAGAAAAGAATCTTGATCAAAATTACCCTTTTCTCTTCAGTTTTCGATTTCCGAACGTCTTTCCTTGGGGAATGTTGGCGATTCTCTGAGGCGATTGTGCCTTTTGCGGCTCTTGGAAGACTGGGCGTCGGGTCGGGTTCGGGTTGAGGCTGAAATTTTCGCTTTTTCCGTCTTTCTTGCATCTTTTTTCTGCATTAATAAGTTTTTAAAGTTAATTACTATAAAAGTAGTGCTTTTTGAGCTTCATTATTGCAAATGCGAGCTTATCTTGGCTAACAAAAAGGGGCTGATTTTTGAAAAATTACATTTTTTCGTTCATCTGTCTGATTTGTCTTATATGAAACGAATAAAGTTTTAAATTTTTACACAAACTTATGAATCTAGTGGGAAAATGTCCGTAGATTTTAAATATTTAAACGAAAAAACTGTAAACTCTTTTGGTTTTTGAGAAAATCATCCTTTTGTAGAGCGCAACACGACAAAATTCCAAAAATTATGGCAACTTCTTTTGGGAAAAGTAGCTGGAAAATTCCTAACTTATTTCAAAAGTGGCAAGTGTTATATAGAGAATTGTAGCCCTTAATCTTGGCTACATTTATCTACCAAAAGCTTCCCGATTGGACTTATACAGCTCATTCATTTAACAAGGCCTTGAATGAGCCGTGTCGATCCCTATCAAGCGTCATTTTTGACGATTTTCTACATACTTGTTAAATGAGTTTCATAAATCCGTTTCGGAAGTTTTTGGTAGATAAATGTAGCGAAGATTAAGGGTTACAATTCTCTATTTAACACTTGACACTTTGAAATGAATTACGCGTGTGACAACTAATTGTTCAAATGGTTGTCCGGATAATTTTGAGACACCCTGTATGCTTGAAAAAATCAATTCTTATATAAAAAAATCAATTCTTATATTAGAAAACATCAATTCCTATTCTTTTGATCGTTTTCTTTGTACGCTTTCAATTCACCGGCTCTCAAATTCCCCAAACCTTTTCATCCTCCATCGGTTCACTGCTCGGACTTCTCGCCTTTTGTTGTATCATTTGCAACGGCTTCGGTCTCTCAATGCTTCTGCCTCTTTCCGGTGTGAACACTGTCCCCATTTGAACGCCAGCCGATGACGAGCGTTTGTACGCCTAAATTCAAACTCGAAATAAACACTTCCACACCAAAAAATCTATTCAGCTTGGGACAGTACCATGCAGCGACATGCCAAAGACAAAATGGCGGGCAAAATTTTTGGATTCTCAAGTTTTTAGTACTCTAATTAGAGTGTGTTCCTCTAGAGTAATGCGTTTGCAGAATGCGTTTTTTAGAATGCATTTATTTGAGGAAAGTACCGTAATCAAACCGTTAGTTTACATTTAATTCGTCCGATTTTGGTATCATTCAATGAGGAATGCTCAGTCAGTTAATGCTTAGCCTCAAGACAATGCTCAGTCAGTCAATGCTAAGCCTCAAGACAATGCTCAGTCAATGATACGAAAATCGGGCTGATCGACTGTAAAATAACGGTTTGGCTACGGTACTTTTCTCAAATAAATGCATTCTAAAAACACATTACTCTAGAGGAACACACTCTAACTCTAATCACGCCTAAATTGTTTGCAAACCTGTAACGTTTCCGAATTTGGAGGCGCACTCTTCTAAAGGTGAAAAAGAACAATCTCTTGGTTAGTGATCACTTCAAATATTCAAAGAATCTCTTGAAATTTCTCTTTTCTATTCACCGACAAACATTAACAGTAAGCGAGGACTCCACCAGCATAAACCCGAATATATAATATATTCAAAAGTTTTCAAATCACTCACTCGATTGTTGCTACTGAAACGAGGCATCGCTGCTTTTGGTTGACGCATCTCGACGAAGATTCCAGCTAAAGTTTTGGGTTTAGTTTTAGGTTTTAGTTTTTAAATTATAGATTTTTAGATCCTTGATTTATTTAGGGTTCTAATTAGAGTGTGTTCTTCATAATTTGTTCTCTAAAAGGTTTAAAAAAAGCTACTGTAATCTTTCCCTTTAGGATTATAAGCTCATTCGATGAGAAATCAAATTGTGAATCGAACAGGATTGAAGTAAAATTGCACAAAACTATCTAGAAATCTACTATCTAGAAAGTTTACGAAAGCTTTTCTAAACACTGCGTCTTTTCGAAACTTATCTTCACCATTTTATATTTATTTTTAATATCTTAGGCTAACAAAAGCTTTAGTTCACTCTAGCCTTCAACTTATTAACTATTCAAATATCAGCTTACATCAACTAACCCCTTAAAAACAAAATCAAGTCCTTATTTTGCTATCGTTTTGCTATCGTTAGGAAGAAATTAGATTATCGGACACTTGATGCGCGTCCCACCCCTTTTGCCATTGGCAATCTAACTTTGAACTCAAATATCTTGGTGTTGGGCCACCCAATTCAAATATTCTTGGTCAAGTCTTTCTTTATCGATTGGTACAAAAACTATTTCAATTGACCAGCCCAGCACCGAGAAATCTGAGCGTAAAGTTAGATTGCCAATGGCAAAGGGGCGAGGCACGTATAAAAGGTCCGTCGTCCCGCCCCCTTTGCTGATCTAATTTCGAGCTCAAATTTCTTGGTGTTGTGCTGTCCAATTGAAATAGTTTTTGTACAAATCGACAGAGAAAGACTTGGCGCATCCAATGATACCAAGAACATTCAAACTGGACAGTCCAAAACCAAGATATTTGAGTTTAAAGTTAGATTGCCAATGGCAAAGGGGGCGGAGCCACAATAAAATGTCCTACAATCAGAAATTAAGTTCCTTTAAGGTGAATCGTTTCAAAATAGTTCCAGGAATTTCCAATTTAGATGTGAATTCGGGGTGTTAAGCTCATGAGAGTCGCACAGACAGGATTCTTTGACTTTTTAGTAAAACGAACTCTCTCGAATCCGGACTTGATCCCTTTCATTCAACAATTTCCACGCCTCTGCTCGAACCACCGACGCGGCATAATGAAGCAAATGTTTGTCGACTAGTTCATACAATCTTCTCACCAGTACATAGAACCTCTGGAAAAGTATTTCTTCGAATTTCTCGCATCTAAACCAACCGAACTCCACTCATCGATTGGTATCGATAAAGTTCTCTTTGGAGATGGCGGGACACTTTGAATTTCGACGAGTAAATCACCGAGTCCCTGGAAAGGTTGATGGTAAAGTTGATGATAAAATTGATTTGAATTTTATTCTTTAAGTTTTGGGTTTAAATTTGATCCTGTAAAGCTTACCGTATCAAATTTAAACGCAAAGAAAAACTTTTACAAACCAAGTACGATTTGATGGCTACATCAGCAGATAAACTGTGAACCAACGTCGGGAGAATGTCCTCAAGAATTCCGAGATTTAAGGCAAGACCCTGAATTCTTTTTAAATTCAAATACTCTGTACTTCAAGAAACGTACACTTTCTGGCAGATTTGATTATAATAAAAAAAAGACTATGGACTAAAAAAGACTAAAGAAAAAAACTTGTCTTGCTTTCAGCAAACTCCGTCCCTTTTTTCGGTCGGTTTGCCGTTGGCAATCTACGCATTTTGCTCGTATCTTGCGGGTCAGATCTGGCGTACGGTGTTGAACGAATCGAAGCTGACGGATGACAATGGTTGGGACCTCGACACAAATCCCGAAGCTCATCCGTATAACCATCCGGATTTGTTTGAAAAACATTGAATTTACTTTCATTCAACTCGAAATCAAATTTTCTATCGAATGAAAGTAAATTCAACGCTTTTCAAACAAACCCGGCTAAGATACAAGCAAAATACGATTGCCAACGGCAAACCGACCGGAAAAAGGGGCGGAGTTAAGATGGCTGCTTGCTTTTGAACTATTGGGTTGGTGAATTGAAAACTGCCGGCTATTGTCATATGTGACAATTTGAGCACTTTCTACAAAAAAACCCATTTTGGTGTCAATGGAAAAGTTGTAGAGAATCAAAAATCAAGCTTATATCCAAATTTTCAGAACGATTCAAAAACTGGTTTTCAAGAAATGCGAAATTTACGAATTTTCACAACACTTGCATTTTAAGCGAAACTACTAAGTGTATCTTTCTGGAAATTTGGCTATAAGCCTAATTTTTGATTCTCTACAACTTTTCTATTGACACCAAAATGGGTTTCTTTTGAAGAAAGTGCTCAAACTGGGATCTCCAGTCTCCACCTCCAGTCCTCCATTTTTGAGTCTCACACTTGTCTCACACAAAAACCAAAATCCTACTACGAAAGAGGAATCCGCAAATTGCCTGTAAAATGGGCAGAAGTCGTCAATAATAGTGGAAATTATTTGGAATCAATTTATGGTTTTATGTTGAATAAATTTTAGTTCAAAGTCCCGCAGTTTTCAATTCACCAACCCAATAGTTAAGCCAAAAAGTACAGCCCAACAATTGCTGACTTCGTACTAACCTTTCCTTGAGCGGCGAACGATTTGCTTGTGATAACGAGATGAAATGAGTGAATAAGATATTGCATAGAGACATCTAAAATATCGTTGACCATATTGAGCACAGTGAAAGCGGCATCAGTGCGTGAGCGAGAGAAAGCAACTTGCAGACGTTCACAGCCGAGAATCGTTTCGATTAAGGTTTCATCGTCCTGGAATTCCATTGCAACTTGTCAAATTGTTTTTCAACATTTCAATAGATTTTTCTTCCTAATAGAAACAAAGCCAATTCTAATTAGCTAATCCTAATTAGCTAATTCAGCTCCGATCCTACTGCAATTGTTAGCTGATTGTCTTCTAACTGTTTTCAGCTTCCAGGACTTGACTGTGATCATGCCAAGTTTTCTGAATCAATTCCTTTTTAAGTTACAGTTCTGTTGTCCTTGTCAGTACAATTCTGTTGTCCTTGTCCTTATTTTTCAACTTACAATCTGTTGAATGACTCCTTCAAAACACTCCTTTAGCCATCGCTCATTGAGATGCATAAACACTCGTCCCTTCCAAATTCGCGCAAAATATTTGGCTTGCCATTGAAGAGCCTGAAATATTATAACATTATTAGAATTATATTTTAAAGCTTAGCATAATAAAAGATACAATACTGGACAATGAAATATGATATTTAAAAAACGATCGTCACTTTCGCGCGTCTGTAACTCCCTTGTCTTTGAGTTTAAACTATTAGTGTTATACATTTTCTGAAAGCTCTTTTCAAGGGCTACACAATGGTAATATTAATATTTAGAAATACGGTAAAGACAAGGGAGTTACAGACGCGCGAAAGTGCGAAAGTGTTTTTCAAATATGATATTTCATTGTCCAGTAGTGTATTTACCTCTTCATACAAAGGTTTTAATGAACGTATTGAGTAGAATTGAGGAAGAGCGTCAAGAATGGCAGAGACACACGAAGCGCATGGCTGAAATGTGAAAGTTTTTGGTTCAAAACTCAAGGAAAAGTCTAGCTTTATTAGCTTAAAATTTTGTACATCACCCACCCTGTGAAACCAATGACATTTGTTGACTTTTAAATGCATAATCACCACATCGACGAGATCTTTCAAATTGAGATGAGTGGCAAGTGCGAGGACCTGAAAAAAAAAAGATAAGATGCAACAAAATCGAATGCAACAAAATCTAATGCAACAAAATCTAATGAAAAATACAGTTTTTAAGCTTTTATAAGTTTGATTCATATAAATAAATAAACATATTATTTGTACAATTCAGATAAAGCAGCAATACTTCATGTAAAGATAAGATTTTTAAGATTAAAAACACCCATCATTGTGTTAAAATGAATTTGACAAAGACAAGCGATTAAGGCTCCAATAGATCCATTCCGGTATAAGAAAATTTGAGAATAAAAGCACAGATCCGATAAAGCCGATTTGTAAATAATTTTGGTCTTAAAATCTTGTTCTTTTTCTTGTTACAAAACGTTTTAAAACTGGCGGGGGCGGGGCGGCGGGGCGGATGGGCGGATGGGCGGCGGAGCGGGGCGGGGAGCGTGCCGGGGTTTAAACCCAGGATCTCCTGTACCCAGAACAAGCATCGTACCACTAGATTGACAGCTGATAGACAACGAAAAAGGACAAATCGACACGCACTTGCAAAACAAGAAATCGATCAGAGAATTGGGCGCAATTGGGCGTATTTTGGGTCACAACGATCGAGTGATTCGTCGATATCTTCAAAGAAAGTTGCTTCTGCTCCTAGACGTCGAATGGACCCAAAACCAAAGCTAACTCCTTGAACAAAACGTCGAATTGTAAACAATATCCACGGGAAATCAATTAACAAAGTCAAGGACAAGCTGAAAATCGACGCATAGCCTTGGCGAGCGGTTTGGGGAGTTGAATGGAAACAACGAGAGCATGGTTGAATGGAAACGAGAGCAAGGTTGAATGGAAACAACGAGTTGAATGGAAACAACGAGATCATCTACTAAACCCTTACAAAACTCCCGGTTTTTCCCAAAAATCACACAACTTTCTAATAAAAATAACGTTGGATTCGGAAAGAGCACCCAAAATCACATGCTTTTGCAAATTTTGTTTATGTTTTAACACTGAAATTGCTTCATTCTAACTCACCTCCCAAACGTCAACCTCATCCGGGATCGTCGTCAGTCCACCATAGAGAAATGAGAGCAAAAAATGAACCGAGTTCTTCGTGTACCCTTTCAACTCAATCTTTCTCGACTTTTGCAATTGTTGTCGAAAGAAGGGGCAAGTTGCTGAGATTATGCATCTAAAAATTGATAAAATTGATAAAACTGAACTATAAAATTGATAAAACTGAACTATAAAATTGATAAAACTTTATTCTTTAAACAAACTTGTGTGCAAAGAGTTCCCCATTCTCACACTTGATCACCACATCCGAGTCGCGATTGTCGATGTACATTTGATGAAGATCGGCGGCGAGTTTGCACGATGGAGTGCTATCGGCTACTGGGGCAGCTCCTAGAACATAAATTTGTTTATTGCTATTGATCTGACAGAGGAAATTGATGAAGTGTTGATTGATTGATTGAAATGAAGTTTAAAGGATCACTTTAACCAAAGAAATTAGGTAAGTTTTGATAAGTTTAAATTATACTCATTCTCCCCGTGCTCATTCAGCAGTACAAAACTCAAAAAAAGATCAAAATGCGTTTGTATACGGTTAGAGACGACGGTTAGGGCCACGAGTGACCCTAGATAAAACTTCTACTTGGGATGATTAGGGTTACCGGTGACTTGGGACGATTAGGGTTACCGGTGACCGTAAAGTATAATTTCCGTATCATCAGTATCATCATTTACCCCCTCCACTTCCCCAATTGTCAGCAAATGGCAATCTATTAGGTAAATGCATAAGAAATGCGGATTTCAACATTTTCATAAATTTCCAACGATAGAAACCTGATGTTATAAACTAGAATCGATGAATATTATAAACTATTTGAAAGTTGTAAATCTTCTCTACAAAATAGGCTAAAATGTGTTTCAATTGATCGAACCATTGAAGTAATTTCGTGGGCGAAATGCGAGTGACCAAAAAGAGGAATCGAGTCACTTTAGGGACAAGTTTAGTGTGGTCAAAATAGAGTTAGCTTCTCAAAATTAAAGATTTAAAAAGAAGGATATCTATATATCAATTGATTAAAAAAGTCTAACGGAAATGCATTTACAGAAATTTAGCTAGAGCGTAAGTTCAAAACCCTTAAAATTGTCAAAAAACCAGCTTTTTCACAAAAAAGAAAAATTATTGTAAAAAGAAAGTTTTCCCATGAAATGATCCCAACTCTTAATTATTTTGAATGATATTTGAATGATATTTGAATGACAGGGCGCTCATTTTCCACTATATAGTCAAAACCATTTTAGGGGGAAATGCGAGTGACCAAAAAAGGAATCGAGTCACTTTAGGGGACCAAAAGAGGGCACTTTTTGAAAACCCCACTTTCACAAGTTTCACAAGGGTTCGCTTTTGACTATATAGTGGAAAATGAGCGCCCTGTCATTCAAATATCATTCAAATATCATTCCAATATCATTCAAAATAATTAAGCGTTCGGATCATTTTATGGGAAAACTTTCTTTTTACAATAATTTTTCTTTTTTTGTGAAGTCGGTTTTTTGACAATTTTGATGGTTTATGAACTTACGCTCTATCTAAATTTCTGTAAATGCATTTCCGTTAGACTTTTTTAATCAATTGATATATAGATATCCTTCTTTTTAAATCTTCAATTTTGAGAAGCTAACTCTATTTTAACCACACTAAACTTGTCCCTAAAGTGACTGGATTCCTTTTTTGGTCACTCGCATTTCGCCCTCGAAATTTCTTCAATGGTTCGATCAATTGAAACACGCTTGAGCCCATTTTGTAGAAGAGATTTACAACTTTCAAATAAATGATGCAATTACAGCTCGTCTGTCTAGCTGTCATTTCTGCGCTAGGTCCCATAACCCAAATCGATGTTGGAGGTCCAAATCGATGTTGGAGCAGTTCCCTAGTTAGCTTAAGTTAGCTAGTTAGCTTAAGGTCAAGAAAACAAAGCATTAAAGTACTAAGAAAACAGCATAGTCAATCATTGTTTCAAACAACCGACCATCATGATTCGGGGTGACATCGATGCTAGTGAGTGAGGAGAGTGAGGCAACAGAGAGCCTCTTCGCGATCATCGCTCTTCCCCGGACACCTTCAGGAACCGATTGATACATTCTCTCTGATGGCGTCGTTCTTTCGTCCAATCCGATGAACATCGGAAAGATTGCCTAGAATTTTACCCATCTCAATCTGTTTAAACTTTTATTTCAACTTGTTCAACTTGTAGCTAACCTTGTGAACTCCACTACTCCTTTTCCTCTCTAATTCCAAGCGATCATTCTCCAGCGCTTCCACACTATCCAAACGGATGAATTTCCCCATCGTTGCTGAAATTTATCATAAGTATAAATGTTTTTAATAGAGATTTAATAGTTTTAATAGCTTTAATGTTTAATATTTTAATATTTTAATAATTTAATAGTTTTAATTGTTAACTTCTTAGGTTTTTAACACAACAATGTCATTTTTCAGTGTTTTGCTCTCTAAAAAAACGATTTTAGCGCCAGATCAACGCGAAAATTTGTTCTTGGGGATTTTCAAGGTTAGGAAATCCGAATCTGTTGTTAATTTTCACATAAACTCACTACGAAGCCAGTTCAAAACTTGGGTAATTAAAAAGAAATGGATAAAAAAGAGCGAAAACAAATTTACAATTAGTTTTTGGCTCTATACCCAAAGGAAATATGCCCGAATTTTCCCCCGATCCCCAAAAACTCCTGTATACAAATATTTAACTTAGTCTGTCTATAAATTAGAGTAATTTCACGTGGCCCATTGTCGCGGCGAGCGAGCAGCGGTGAGGCCCATTGGACAGTGGTGAGGCCCATTGGACAGTGGTGAGGCCCATTGGACAGGGGTGAGGCCCATTGTACAGTGGTGTGGCCCATTGGACAGTGGGGAGGCCCATTGGACAGTGGGGAGGCCCCAGTGAAGTTAGACACGCCGATCCTTCTATGGGTTGGGGCTGGGAATACAAAAAAATTCGCGCCGGGATTCGAACCCGCGATCTATCGCTTACGGGCGATCGCTCTACCAATGAGCCACGTATCCCATTGCCACCGTAGGGTATATAGCCTTACTGTTAAACGTACTTTCTTGTCTTGAGCTTCTCCTCCGAACCGGTGCCGCGGTGCCGTCTTCATCTTCTTCAGGGATGTCCGGTCCCACCTAAAATGCAAAAAAAAAACATTTTTATATATAACCAATCATATAAACTCATTCTTTAAGCAGCCATATACCTAAAAAATTTAAAATTCTATCTCTTATTCAACAGTAAAACGAAATCTTACATCCGATCGATTCCCAATGGAGTACAATGAGGTATTCATCGGGGAATGAGTGGCAAGATCTCGAAACGAGGTCATCATTGGTATATTCTGAAAGGGAATCATAAAAGGATCATAAAAAATCTTAAAAAGATCATAAAAAGATGATAATCTTGTTTATAAAAGCAAGTCAAGTAACAAACTAACCGAGATTTGTTGCTGATGTTGTTTGTGTTGATTTTGCGAGCCTTTATTAGTTGATGGGGTCGGGTCATCGCCTTTGGGTAAAATGTGCTCATCTCGATCCTAAAGCTTTTCCAATTTTCAGCTTTCCAAAACAATTTTGCTCTTGAAAAGAATAAAATCTCTTAAAAAACAACATACCGTAAATACTGTAATAGTACCCCACCCCCCGTATTGACGGTGGGGAGCGTTGCGTAGTCTAGCTTTGAATGAGTTTTTCTCGACACTGGCTTATGCTACAATGTTCGCTTGGGTATCAAAAAATAGCCCTGAATTTCAGCTATTTTTGATACCAAAGACGCATTTTTTGAAAGTACGGGCACTTTGAAAAAAATGAAATACTAAAAAATGAAAACTTTTGCGACTACCCGACTGTACGAGGGGTGTGGGGTACTATTATAGTATTTACGGTAAGAACAAGGAAATCTTAGAATATGAAGACTCTAAGTAAAACCTGTGCTTTGAAATCCTCCAAATCGGTCGATTGATCCATCGAAAATGATGGATTTGAGTTCCTCGAGTCGGCGTCTCCTAAAGAAGCTTTTGAAGCGGAAATTTAGAAAAATAAGATTTATACATGCAGTGAATAACTTAAAAATGATAGAAGCTTGTCGTTTGAAAAGCTGAAAGCTTGCCCTTTATTTTCCCTGGAGTGCCTTGGAACTTACCCCATACGAGAATTTTAGGCACATTTGGCAACGGCAAACGCCGATGCTGGCGACAATTTGAGCAGACTGTTTTGATTTGATACAATCGACATTTTCAGAGATTTACTTTTAGACAGATTTCTGAGTATCAACCGATCATGGGTTGCTGGGGAATGTGTCTTGGTGGCCAAGTGGTTAGGCCAAGTGGCCAGGTGGCGCTCGGCTCTCGACTCTCTAGCCTCTAGCCCTAGTTCGAGCCCGGGTACTTGGGTAAAACATTTGCTTGTTGTAAAGAAATTCTTGTTAAAGTCATAAATGTGAAATCAAAACAGTATCCTCATAAACAGTAAACACTATCTGATGCCAAATCAAAAAAAAAAAAGAAAAAAAAAAACCAAACAAAAAAGAGAAAAAAAAAACTTGTATGGAAAAAAAAACACCCCCCTTAAAAAAAAAAAAAAATTTCCAAAAAACTAGAGCTTGAACTAAAGCCAGTTGAGAGCCTAGCGCACTAGCCGCTTGGCCACGACGACATAGTTTGATGATATAGCTTGATACTCTTGATAGCTTGATACTCTTGATAGCTTGATACCCTTGATAGCTTGATACTCTTGCTAGCTTGATACTTGATACTAGCATAACACTCAAAAACTATCTTTTACACAAAAACTTTAAACAGATTTAAATCAAGAATTTGAATCCATTACACAAAAACGATTAAGCTAGTCGGCTTCAGTGACAAATTTGTTACAAAATAGGCTAGCTCGCACTTCGAAACTCGGTGGTAAATAAAAGAACGATCCCTAGCAAGTGTCAAGCTTCTAATAGTTGCCAAAAAATATCGGATAAAGCTAGCTTTAAGGTAATTTGTTTTTATGTTACTGAGAGTTCAATAAAATTCTATTCAAAAGTAGTTTTTTGCTTTTGCTTACTTATAAAGAGAGTTATGCGTTGAATTTTAAGGACGGATTATTTCTTGTCATCCTGTAATTTATGGTCAACAATCAGTTTTTAGAATTTTCCTGATAATGAGTTAAGAAGAAAGTAGCTATAATCCTTGTTGAACTCACGTCGATCTTCGTCCGCGGTTTCCTCAACGTCCGGAGGAAACTGGGCAATCTCGTCTTCTGTGTACACAGAATGAATGAAAAACTCGAGCCCACTCGAATCGATGTCACCCACTGCCACCTGAAATTGATGAATAAATGTGCAAGTGTTGATTTGGATAAAAATTCAATTCAAGAAGAAATAAGCTCTGAATTTTATCAATTCTTTTTATTTTGAATCTTCTAATTCACCAAAATAGACACGAGCACTACAAACAACTACGAACGGAAACTACAAACGCTTCTAACTTGCTTCAAATCTACCGGATTGACATGATCTATAGCTTAAGAAATAGAGAATCTCAAAAGCTTTCGAATAAACTAAAGCAGATCTAAAAATATCAATTCTAAAGAAAGTTATAGTGGTTTGCAGTGGTCCTGACTCAAAATAGACCGTACTCGCGCGTAGTCGACGACAAACCACTGTAGCTTTCTTTAGAATTGATATTTTTAGCTCTGCTTTAGTTCTATCGAAAGCTTTTGAGATTCTTTATTTTTTGAGTTATAGATCATGTCAATCCGGTAGATTTTTAGAGTTTCTAGTGCCTAGGCCAAAATCTTAATCTTTAAAACTAAAAAGCCACTCTTACTTCTCTTATTTTCCCCGATGTTGCTGGTCCCATCGCCGAAACAGTTGGCTCAATGTGTCGTTGATAAAAACCGGGAGCTCTTGCACGGAGAATGCACTCATGTGCTGGTAATTTCTTTCCATCAGCTGCAACTAGCAACAAATCCGCGGAATCCATGTTTCCAACCTGAATAAGACATTTTTAAGAAACCTTGATCAATGAAATGTTCAATAGCAAACAAAAATTGGTTTGTTTACTTTAATAGCAGACAATTTCTGCTCTATGAACGATTACAAGAGTTATTTGATGAAAATTTCCTTTTTCTTACAAAGGAATGACACAAGCATAAATATTTACTGCAAATGCATCAAGAAAAGCAAAAGAATTGGCTAGGGAGGATTCGAACTCAAGCCAAAAACCTTCATAAGTTCCATAGGCTAGCACACTATCCACTAGACCAGTAGCCGTTGGGGCGTTGCTTTGTTGAGGTCTCATAAAGAGTCCGTAATTTAAGGGAACTTTCTAGGAACCAGGAAGGAAGATTTAAGGGAGTTTAAAAGAAGATTCCTGGTGATTTACAGTTTCCAATTTTGATTTATAGCCGATTCTATGTGATGCCGATTTTATGTGATGGCCACGAAGCGATCCAAAACTTCGAGCTGATGTCATTCCCTGTTAGCTGTCAGAAGACTTTGGAAGTTCCATGTTAACTGTCAGAAGATTTTGGAAGTTCCATGTTAACTGTCAGAAGACTTTGGACATTCCCTGTTAGCTGTCAGAAGACTTTGGAAGTTCCATGTTAACTGTCAGAAGATTTTGGACATTCCCTCTTAACTGTCAGAAGACTTTGGACATTCCCTGTTCGCTGTCAGAAGACTTTGGAAGTTCCATGTTAACTGTCAGAAGATTTTGGACATTCCCTCTTAACTGTCAGAAGACTTTGGACATTCCCTGTTCGCTGTCAGAAGACTTTGGACATTCCCTCTTAACTGTCAGAAGACTTTGGACATTCCCTGTTCGCTGTCAGAAGACTTTGGACATTCCCTCTTAGCTGTCTTCTACATTCACTTTGGATTATAGAAATGAATTCGAATCGTTTAAAACTTAAAACATTTCACCAACCAATGTTGCCATCTGCGATCGTAGCCGGTGTGCTAATTGATTTTGGAGTCGTTCACGAGCGAAATTGTACTGCTCCCAAACGGCGGCCGAACAACGCATCACACGATGCCCACACACATCCAATCGCTGAACGGTTTGAAAAAATGAATCCAGGAAATTCCAATTTATTCATTATCCACGAGAGTGAGCTGAGTAAATAGCAAAAATCTCAGCACTTTGCTTGAAAAGCTCTTTTCTATGATTTCAAATCAATAATTGTAGGGAAAAGGCGATTTTTTCCGAAAAAAAAATTGATTGAGTAAGTGACATGAAGGGAAAATGAGAAAAGAAAGTAAAGAGAGGGAAATGAAATTCGACTCTACTCGTCGAAAGTCTTGGGATTAAGAGTGGACAGCAAGACGGACATCTTAAAGGTTTATAGGGGGAACTTGTGATGGATGGATCGGTATACTTTAACTTTAACAAATTAAAGGATCGAATTGAAATCATCTAAAGAATTTTTACTTTATGCTAGTGTTTTGATAGTGAACTTAGATATTGAACTTAGATATTGAACCATCACTTTACCAAGATTTGAATTTCTTTTTGGCATTAGCAAGTCTGTTAAAAGTAACTGATGTCAAAAAGCAAAGCTGAATTGATGTTAACGGATGTAACTGATGTTAACGGATGTAGCTGATGTTAACGGATGTAACTGATGTTAACGGATGTAACTGATGCTAACGGACGGAGTAAAATGACTAGTAACTGATGTTAAAATAAAACTAAACAAAGTACAACTTCTAGCGTAAGAAAAAAAGATTTGTAAACTCAATAACCACATTTAAAAGCTAATTCTGGATTGGATTGGATTAAAAAGACTAAAGACTAAAAATTGGATTAAAAAGACTTGCTTTTGTCAATACGAGTACGCAAAATGAGTGCAGAAACACTTTTGATATAAGAAAAACTTTCTAAAGCTTTTGTTATATCAAAAGTTTTTATACTTTATAAGAAATGAGTGTAAAAACACTAAGAAAGATAAAAATTAGTTTGAAATCTCTAGAGAATGATGGCAGCAAGTGTAGTGTTGAAGAGGCAAAGTAAGGACAAATTTATGAAGAATTTTCGGTTGATGAAGTTTGTATTTGTTAAAGAAAAGTTTAGGTTCAGGAAAAGTTTCAAAATTCAAAAAAAAACAACACTAAAAACCTAGTCTAAGCCTTCAACTCTAGAATCCGAAAACAGAAAAATCCAATGGGTGTCAGGATGTGTCTTCTTTTGGGGAACAAGGAAAAAGAAGTTGAAAGGCATTCTAGAAGAAAAAGGAGAAGAAAGAAGAAAGAGGAGAAGGAGAAGAAGGAGAAGAAAGAGAAGAAATAGAAGAAGGAGAAGAAGGAGAAGAAGGAGAAGAAGGAGAAGAAGGAGAAGAAGGAGAAGAAGGAGAAGAAGGAGAAGAAGGAGAAGAAGGAGAAGAAGGAGAAGAAGGAGAAGAAATAGAAGAAATAGAAGAAATAGAAGAGAAAGGGCCATCCGAGCCCCATTGGAAAAGGGGAGGAGTGGGTAGAAAGGAGAAGGGGGATGGGTGGCTGACTATGAGAGAAGAGGAATCAATAGACGAGAGGGACCATAGAAGGGAAAAGGGGACAGAGGATCGGAGAGACACCACCATTTGACCACGGTGAAACTCCCGGTAATTACATTCGCTTTGTTTTGCTATGGAGAAATATTTAAAGCAGTTAGCGGTGATGATTGAAAGTGAGAAATCTGGGAGTAAAGATTGATTAGAACAAGTCTTCTGATCAAATATCTGATCTAATCTGATCTGATATTCTGATTAAACCTTTTCTGATCAAATCAGAACCGCAAACCCTTTCTCTTCTGATCAGATTATAGCTTTTACTGATGCTGATGCTTTTACTGATGCTTTTACTAGAAAATATATTATTATAGCATTGAATGAGAGCCTAGATCTAGAGTTTTCGATGCTGATTCCGAATCAGTTACCGTATCAACTTAAATCTCAAATTGATTAACCCTATTTAAGGTCAACATCAAATTTAACATCAAATTGATTAACAAATTGAATTGAACAAATTTTACATCAAAATTTAACCGATTTAAGCCTGGCTTCTGGTCCAGCAACTGCTAAATTCTGCCAAATTCTGCTAAACTGCTAAATTCGGGTCCAGCAACTGCTAAATTTAGCAAATTTACTTAATTCAACGGGTTTACTAAGTTTGGATTTAGTAAAATTTTGCTAAATTTCCTCCGAGAGTGTTTTTCAGTGCCGTCAGCTCCGAAAAACACTTATAACTCTCCTCTGAACTCTGAACAAAGCTATCAAAAAACCCCATCACAGATTCGAACTCCGACATACTCTGGCTACAAAAGAAAACCAATTTTAGCCAACTTTCGCTACAAAACAAGCCAATTTTAGCCAATTTTGAGCATACGAGCTTACCGCAAATCCCTAGAGCGGCATCCCTAGAGCGGCATCCCTAGAGCGGCATCCCTAGAGCGGCATCCCTAGAGCGGCATCCCTAGAGCGGCATCCCTAGAGCGGCATCCCTAGAGCGGCATCCCTAGAGCGGCATCCCTAGAGCGGCATCCCTAGAGCGGCATCCCTAGAGCGGCATCCCTAGAGCGGCATCCCTAGAGCGGCATCCCTAGAGCGGCATCCCTAGAGCGGCATCCCTAGAGCGGCATCCCTAGAGCGGCATCCCTAGAGCGGCATCCCTAGAGCGGCATCCCTAGAGCGGCATCCCTAGAGCGGCATCCCTAGAGCGGCATCCCTAGAGCGGCATCCCTAGAGCGGCATCCCTAGAGCGGCATCCCTAGAGCGGCATCCCTAGAGCGGCATCCCTAGAGCGGCATCCCTAGAGCGGCATCCCTAGAGCGGCATCCCTAGAGCGGCATCCCTAGAGCGGCATCCCTAGAGCGGCATCCCTAGAGCGGCATCCCTAGAGCGGCATCCCTAACGTTAATTTGACGCTAACTAAAAGTGAAATTTTTCCTAAAACTATTTTGTAAAAAGGGCTTTAAATAATGTATACTATCACTAAGTATAACCTATAGATGATGGCAATACACTTTAAATCGATTAGAAGAAAATAATTGAAAGAAAGTTTTTGTCAACAAATGATAAGGGTCCCCTATATGGATTTTCGAAGATTTGACCCTCTAATGTTTTGATTTTAAATGTGTTTTTCGTATTTTTTTAGACTAAAAGGGATCGAGTTAGAGTGATTTAAGCGAAAATCATTTCTTTTCGATAATTTGGTACCCAATTATGTGATTTTTCTGGGGATCCGAAAAATGGGTACCGAATAATAGCTAAGCTAACTAAAGAGCTCTAGCTAACTAAAGAGCTCTAACTAACTAAGCAGCTCAGGCCGCTCAGGCAAGCTAACATACCGTAAATCCTCCAATAGAGGACTCACGGTATGTTAGCTTTATGTGACGACATCAGAAGATTCAGTTTACAAGAAACAAAACTCAATTTTGCTAGATTCAGCATTTAGCATTTAGCAAAGTTGCTAAATGATAAATTGGTAAATGCTAAACTGTTAAATCCGTTTAGCAGAATTGCTAGATGGTAAATGGTACATAGTTTGATGAACCCGGGCTCTGGCCAGGCCAAGCATTGCCTTACAGACACTAGGGGCTGGATTGAAACATCTGGGAGCTCACTAACCAAAAAGTTGGTTAGTGAATGGTTAGTTAGGTAAATGGTAAATAGTTTGATGAACCCGGGCTTTGCTCAGGCCAAGCATTGCCTTACAACCCTAAGAGCTGGATCGGAACATCTAGAAGCTCACTAACCATCTTGAATCTTTTGCTCTTTTGCTTAAACTAGGCTACGATCTTCTAAACCTTCTATTAGCCCAAATCAACTACATAAATGAGATCTTAAAAAGCTTTAAAACTAAACTTTAAAGCTATACAATATCTAAAAAAATCTCAACCCTCATTCATTCATCTCTCTTTTTCGTTTTGTGCTTCTATGGCTTTCATCGGAATGCAATCCGAGATGCGAAAGCCGGATAATTGTGTTGAAAAGAATGGCCAAAGGAGAGAGGCCAAACACCCACTCAAAGATTCCAAAAGGCTTTACAAAAACGTTAGACCACCGTTAGACCAACTGTTCATCAAAAAACAAGTTTACTGTATTGAGCTGGCTTAAGATTGGCAAATCTTTCAGGTCAAGATCTAGATCAAGTATTGGCTTTAGCATGGCTCACAAATAGTCACTGATCAGAAGTATCCGAAAGACCACACCCTCAAAGTTTCCGAAAGACTGTCCCTTCCTGAACCAAAATTTACCTTTTCCCACTGTTGTAGTACAAACAAGTACTGTTGTAGTGAAAATTGTGCCATTTTTAAAGCTCAAAAGGGAATTTGAGCTCATTTGCCCACCATAACTAGGTGTTGTGGTCAAATGACATGTGCTATTCAATGCAGAATTCAACGCCATTTCCGAATCTGCTTTCCCTTTCTGCTACGAAGCCTTCTGTCAAAAGTTATAAGCGTGCAAAGTTTTGTATGGCAGTTCAAAAATCACCGTTAGTTTATAAGCAGATCTCTTAGAGGCTTTAAGAAGCAGTCGTAGCCGCGTGGCAGTGGGTTAGAATTCAAGGCAAAGAACAAACTAAACAGCTATCAAGGCAAAACTCTCTAGTTCGAGTCCGCCGTTCTGCTTTTCTTTGCTTTTTTGGATTTGCAAAGTTCATTTTTCTCTATTTCAAATACGTTTATCTTAAAATGCTTCTCATAAAAATGTTAGGTAACAAAACTAACAAAACAACTAACTAAAGAGCTCTAGCTAACTAAAGAGCTCTAGCTAACTAAAGAGCTCTAGCTAACTAAAGAGCTCTAGCTAACTAAAGAGCTTTAGCTAACTAAGGAGCTCTAGCTAACTAAGGAGCTCTAGCTAACTAAACAGCTTCAGCTAACTAAACAGCTCTAGCTAACTAAGGAGCTCTAGCTAACTAAAGAGCTCTAACTAACTAAACAGCTTTAGCTAACTAAACAGCTTTAGCTAACTAAAGAGCTATCATTAAACCAGTTTATTACTGTAGTGTCAAAGTCAAGAATTTGTTACTTTTGTGTTAAGTAAAGTATCAAAAAAAGCTTTTCATTCTTAGAAATAACTAAAGAAAAACTCACTCATCGTTGTAGAATCACGGAATTTTAGGCGATGAATCTAGTAACAAATTTTGTCTTTCCGCAAAAAAAAAGGAGAAGCATTTTGTGTGGACAAGTCTATCAGAAAAAGGCACCCAATGAATTCTTGATCACTCATCCCATTAATCCCTAAAAAGTTTCTCAAAAGAAGTTGAAAGGAAAGCTGTAGAAAGCTGTGTAAAAAGTCTACTCTATCATAATAAATATTTGTACAAAATCTAATTTAAAGTTGAGTTGATTTTGTTTTGTTTGTTTGTTTTGTACTTTGAGAGTACTTTTTGTACTTTTGGAGTCAAAATTCAAGCTACAAAGCTTGGCCTTTTAGTGCTGTGGCGAATAGCCAGAGATGGGAAATGGGATTAGAGAGAAAACAGGTGGTTTTATTTGCTAGAGTTGTGCTTTTGGAGTTTAAACATTCATAGATGAATGGTTTATTGAATTATTATTGAAGTAACAGCTATTGAATTATTGAATTATCAGCTTATTGTTAAAAATGTTAATTAGGTACTGAGTTAATTAGTTAGTTAGTTAATTAAGTAGTAATTAAAGACCTTTCAGGTATTCATATCTAAATCCAATGTGAAGCTTTATCTAACAAGCCTATCTAACAATCTAATTGCAACAGGATAGTCTCATTTCTGTACTAGTCTATAGTAAAATGCTGTACTGTGATTACTGTATTTAGTACTGTATTTAGTACTGTACAGTAATCACACTTTAATTAGTCATGAGCTTAATTCCCAAGTTGCTGTTTTCTTTTTCATTTTTATTTGAGAATTATTATTGTAAGAGTGTGGCGAATAGCCACTAAAAAGTTACCTAACTGGGATTAGAGAGAAAACAGGTGGTTTTATTTGCTCTGGCAGCCTAAAATTTGGAAAAATATTGAGGAAATCGGTGCGCCTTCATTCTATTTCGAGCCCCAAATCATTGTTTTGTTTTATTTATTGTAGCTTGTTAGCTGAGTATCTTGTGTTAAAGCCTATATAAGGCAACTGTTGTTCATTTGGTTCGGTTATCTTTCATTTTCTTTCTGCTTTCCTCTCATTGTGTCAAATTTGTGTACTAATTAGGACGAAATTGTTTCTGTTTTTTATCGTCGCTTTTAATTCATTTGTCGATTTGGAGCCAAAGCATGCAAAGATATAGTCAAATGTTCAATCAAGATTGAATATTTTGACAGAATGAGAATTGCATCAATGAATAGAATATGCAAAATTTCGAAAAATTGCCTAAAAGAACATCCGGGACCATACAACAAATCACTCATTTCTTGCAGTCATTGCGGTGGTCGACACCACGTGGCTTTCTGTGAGAAACTTGGAATCGAAATGATCAAAGGCCAGGCTTTACTTTTTTCTGCTTTCCTCTCATTGTGTGAAAGTTGTGTCCTAATTAGGACGAAATTGTTTCTGCTTTTTATCTTTGCTTTTAATTCAATTGTCGATCTTGTGTGAAAATTGCTCAAGTGAGAGCCCAAAGGTTCCGAGTCAGTCGGGTATTGAATAAAGTCGGCTATTCAAGTGAGATCAGATATCTTGAAACAAGAAATAACGTGTCTTGAGTGAAGAGTACCAAACACGCGAACAATATTTCTTTACAAGTGCACTTAAAAATTGACTGATTGACTGATTTGACGTTAAAAAACAATTTAGTGTACCAGAAAGAGAGTGTTTCTGCTTTGTTAAAGTTCAAAATAGATTCTGCAAAGGAAAGAAATAAAAGAAATAAAAGAAAAGAAATGAAAAGAAATGAAAGAAATAAAAGAAATGAAAAGAAATAAAAGAAATAAAAGAAATAAAATGAAAAGAAAAGAAATAAAATCAATCCAAATTCCTCAAAATTTTGTTCGAACAATGACAAATCAATAGATCAAAAATCTCATTGAATTTTCATATAAAGAAATGAATCAATGATTAGAAAGAAAGCCGACATTTTGTGGGTGTTCAGTGGGAGGGAAATAATAGATCCATACGGTGGTTGACTATGAGCGAACAATGGCTGTAAGGTCAAGGGTCACACAAGAGATTTCCCAATAGACTCCATGTGAATCATGCTGGGCAACTAGTAAATAAAGAAGACAACAATAAGCTTCAGCTTGGTAACTTGATGTTAAAATATCAAGCTAATCAAGCTCAATTTATCAAGCTGATCAAGCTCAAGTTATTAAGCTAACTTAGCTCAAGTTATTAAGCTAATCAAGCTCAAGTTATCAAGCTAATTAAGTTCAATTTGTCAAGCTAATCAAGCTCAACTTATCAAGCCAATCAAGCTCAATTTATCAAGCTAAAATCAAGCTTGCTCTTAAATATCCATGTTAAAATCGTTAGTGCAATTGTTCTTTTGATCGAAGTGCAATTGGACTTCGATCAAAAGGACTACGAGCAAATTCTATACGTGTGGAGAACTTTTTTTTCTACATTTTCCATTTTAGCGCGAGTCGATGAGTGTGAAATCGAGAGAGAAATGGAGATTTGACAGAAAAGAGAAAAGAGAGAGAGAGACAGCAATTTTGAAACTGGCAAGCGATGAATGAGGGAGGGGATGAGTGCACTCACAGCCATAACTAGCACAAAATTTGCATTGAAAACGCTGGGATTTCGCATGGCATAAGGGAAGCTGAGATCAGCAATGCAAAAGCTATAATGAGCCTTGATTACCAGAAAATATGTATCTACCAAACCAGAGAGAGTTTGAGCTCATTCGAAAGCTTGCAAAATGAATTCTATAATTCCAATCGGGAATTTCTTTTTCGATAAATAATGCCAAGATTAAGGGCTTTATTTTTCTATATAGCTTCTTGGAAGATTTTTACAGCCATCACAAGATTTGGATTGATAAAGATGAGTCGTGATTTTTGTGTTAGTGGAAAATTCGGTGCGTTTGATTGAAAGTTTGTTAATTAGGTACTCAGTTAATTAGTTAGTTAGTTCATTAAGTAGTAATTAAAGATCTTTCAGGTATTCAGATCTAAATCCAATGTGAAGCTTTATCTAACAAAGCCTTCGTTGCAACAGGATAGTCTCATTCCTGTACTAGTCTATAGTAAAATTGTAGAAGGACGAATGATTAAAAAACCTTTGGCATAAACGCAATTTTAGAATAAAGCTATATAGCCTTGCTGGTATTTGAGCAAAGAATTAGGAAAGTTCATTGAACTTTCATAAAACAATAGGCAAATTGTCGAATAAACTCTCAGCTCAGAGAAATGCCGGCTTCAGCTTCAGTTTCAGCTGAATTTCAGCTAAGTTTCAGCCAAGTTTTCAGCTAGGTAAGTTTTTTTTGCTTTAGAAAGGTTCAAATGTGAAGTTTCAAGCGTTTCAAAAGCGTTCCTTTCAAAAGAAACCAAAAATTGAAGAGTCTCTTGGGAGGAAAGCGAAAAATTTGACTCTTTTTTTCATTTCACCCGTTCATTCACCCCTTCAAAACAGGAAGTTCAAGCGGAGTCGCCTTTCAACTTTTCAGCTTTTCACAACAGCTTTTCACCGACTCTTGTGCCCAAAAGGGTCACTATAGTTATGAAATTCTTTTAAGAGTTTATTAATGATTATTAAAGTAGCAAGCGGAGTCGCCTTTCAACGAGCACAGCTTTTCACCGACTTTTGTGCCCAAAAGGGTCACTATAGTTATGAAATTCTTTTAAGAGTTTATTAATGATTATTAAAGTAGCAAGCGGAGTCGCCTTTCAACGAGCACAGCTTTTCACAACAGCTTTTCACCGACTTTTGTGCCCAAAAGGGTCACTATAGTTATGAAATTCTTTTAAGAGTTTATTAATTATTACCAAAGTAGCATGAAATCAGTTATCCGTTTGAAATATTGCAACAAATTTTGTAGGTGGCGTCTTCAGATTGGAAACAGCCGGCTGTTTCGGGGCATCTCGTTGGCGACCTAGAAAGTTTGAATTTAAAATTTAAATCTAATAATTGAGATTTAGAATCTAGAAAGGATATTATAGTTTAAAGGCTGTTATTCCACAATTACTGTTAATCAGGGTGGCTCCAAAGCCAGATCAATGGCCAAGTTCAGTTTGGTTCTGCTCTTGTCGGGGGCTACTTTTTAAATGCTAAAGCTAAAGCTTTTGGCTAAAGGCCTTTGATACCGAAAAAACTTTCCATAGAACTTTCCATAGAAAGTAGAATGTATTAAATACCATTCGAAAGCTCTAATTCTCAGCATCTAATGAAGATTTTTCGTTTAAAGTCAATTTTTAGCTATTCAATCGATTCTTTTTAAGGCAGGCTTCCATTTTTTGTGATTTTAAATGTAAAAAATGCTTCGAAAAGCTTTTTTTCAACGGAAAAGCCTTTTCACAAGTCTTTGATTTAAAATAAAATCAAATCTGAATCAAATCTGTGCAAATTTATTGTTAAAACAAGCTCACAACTTACTGCAAACTCCACCTTTTGACAAGTCGAGAAATTCGTATTTTTGTCTGGTTTTAAAATGTCATTTTTGAAAGTCAGAAACCTTATAAAATATCATTTTGGAGTTAAATTCTTGAATTGAGTTTATCCTGATAAAATGTGTACAAATTTAAGCATGTTTTCAGTTTTTCATATAAGAATTAAACCTAGAAACCTAGAAAACCAGGAAAAATGGTAGCGTACTTGGCCCGGACTTGGCACTTGGCCTGGATTCATTCCGAAGTACCTCAAAAGCTAAAAATTAACGAAAAACCTTTAGTAGATTAATGATGCCAAGAATTAGAGCTTTCGAATGGTATATAATCCATCCTTGAACACCCCTGTAGTTCACAAATGCTGGCTTTTCTGTAGTCTGATCGATCAAAGGCCAAATCTGAACTGAACCTGGTTCTCTAACCTGGTTCTGGCCTAACCTGGCTTTGTTTAGATGACCTAGAATCCTACAGTATGACTAGATCTAATGTAAAGCTAGCTGCAATCTAATCTCTTTGATCTCTTTGGTCAATCTAATCTCTTTCTACCATTCTCCATCTTGATCCCCACACGCGATCACCATATTCGTTCGATCTCGGAGAGCCGTGTCTTTTGTACAAAACGTCAAGTCTGCAATGGAGAAATAAACCGAATTCAATAACTTATATACATTTTTCCCTTTGTCGTTGCAATTGAGGCCGACGAGTGTGGAAGAACTTTCCAAAGTCATAACTCGATGTGGTCATTGGTTCTTCAGTGACCTCTTCTTGAGTCATTGATTCTGTCCAGAATAGCCAATCGGTGTCAGTTGTTGTTGAGGTGGGAAAAGAAGTAGCTTCTTCCTGAAATCACGAAATTGAATTGAGTCTTCAAACAATAAAGTTCAACTACTTACAGTCGTCGTTTGAACCTCTTGTGTGGTGACCGTTGGATAGAACTCTGTTGGGTGTTTCTTTTTGTAGAATTTGTAACGCTTGGTGGTTTGTACTGGAGTTAACTCTAGAAATTTTGAAATTAAATCTATTTCTTCCAAAAAAACCTTCTGGAAGATCTGGGTATTCAAGATTTTCTGCATCTTCCGTCGTCAGTGTCGTCGTTTCCGGGATTATTGTGGTTGTTGGTGGTGTTGGAGTACTTGTCGTTGACTCGATTACTGTCTTTGGTGTGGTCATTGGTGCTAAAATGGAACTGTAGCTACTGTATTAAGTGTACTGTAAGTTTTTCCAGCAATTTCCCTATAAGGCTACGTTAATACAAAGAAGCATAAATACTTGGAGTTTTCCGTAGTTCCTCTAAACGTTTAGTCCAGTAAGACCGGGTTTTAATTGGTAGACTCAATAAATGAATAGTTTCAATCAATTCATCGACCCCGAAAACCCCCGGATACAAATTTACAGCTAAATATCTTTTTATGCCATCGACAAAGCAAAAGAAAAATCTCTATGATGACTGGCGAAATGCTCTTTATGCGAGGGCGTAATCGCTCTTGATCTGGCACACGGTCCCGATAGATAGGCGTTCCTTTTTTCTGTGGGTCGTCCATTAAAAGGTACTGAAATTCACGTCTTGTTCATGCGAATTCATGCGAATTTGTGTTCTCACTCCCGGCTACGACAAGATGAATATATCCGTGATGCTCACTGCTCGTTTCGATGGGAAAAAGTTGCGCCCTTTTGTTGTGATGCCAAAGAAAACTTTGGATAAAAAGATCGAATCAAAAATTCAATTCGAATTATTGCTCTGTTGGAAAGAGGAAAGAAAAACAAATGCCTCATCTTTCACTTTTGATTACTAAGGTTTACATAATTTTTTTCTAGAAGTTGCACTCTTTTATTGGATTAATTCTCGGCTTAAATTTGACTCTATTTTTGATATAAATTCCACATCGCTCCAGAACTGGAATACCTGAAATACCCAAGATTGGAACTGACCGAAAAAGCTGATTTCATCTTTTAATACATCTGATTTCACCGTTATACAAGAAAAATCATGAAAAATTTCACCAGAAAAACTTGTTTAGTTTAAAATTCAGGAAGTTTACTCTGTATTTTCTAAATTTACTCGAATTTTCTCTGTAATTTGTAATTTTCTTTCTCTCTTTCTTCTTTTGCTACAAATTCTACGACCTTTTAAAGCAAACCTAAAGCAACAAGCAAATTTAAAGCAATCTAAAGCTAAAGAGATAAAACAAAGTTAAAGCTAAAGTTTAACTTCGGTTTTTCTCAAGTGAGAAATAGCTGAGTACCTTTTCGCTTTGGTTCTTCATTTCTTTCAGCCACGACATCACTTTCAACTTTCTCTAGCGGTTGTTTCTCCATTTCCATGGAATTTTCCTTTTCTCGAAACTCCCCTGACATCATCTCTTTAGGTATTACTCCTAAAACTGTACTCCTTTATTTTTAATTCTGATCTTACGTGGTTCAGCTTTTCGAATCTCATCATATTTTCCGTTTGTCGAGAGTCTTCTCACCGCTTCTTCAACATCGATATCTTTCTGGAAGCCGAGATCGAGTGCTTTCAATGGAGCCTCAGCGTTCATTGGTCGGAAGAATTCTCGAGTCTGAAAGAGATGGCTGTTCATTTCTTTATAGGTATATAATCTACTAGTTCCCTGGTTTACAAAGCGTTTAAAAAGATTAGCATACTTCTATAGTTTAGTACTTCTATAGCTTAGTACTTCTATAGCTTAGCATACTTCTATAGTTTAGGCAGTAGCCGGTAATTTTAAGCTTTAAACTTTTAAAGTGATCAGGTTGGTCAGGAAAGATTTAAAGTAAATCCGGCTAGCTTTGTGGGCGAATCTTTAGTCCTATTTCAGTCAATTCCCACCTTTTTCTCCTGTACGTCTCCTTTATCTTCAAATGGTGAATATTCAGTTTCTTCATCAATATGTTTAGCATTGTCATCCTAAACTTGCTTTATCAATTCAATTACGAAAATTACCGTATGGAAGACCACTGAGTTTTCTCTTAATTTCAGCTCTTGATAACTTTTTTCGATGTCACTTCTTGATGAAGTTGTTGTGGTGAATTCGGGATCCTTGAATTCAATTTTTTTTTTGATGGAGATTTAGATCACTGACCAAATATTCGGGCTCCTTTGGCTGCAATGTTGTTGTGGTTGGTTTTCGTCGTCTGATGATCTTTTTGATGATCTAAACATTGACTCCAGTATGAGCTTATTTTGTTTGGTTAAAACGTGAGCATCGGCTAAGAAAGGGGCACTGAATGTTGAACTTAAATTTCACCTTTTTATGTTTCACGATCTTTTTCTCCGTCGATTTATCGGGAGTAAAGACACTCTCATGGCTTTCTTCTACATCCAACACTTCCATCAATTTCTACAAAAGATTGATTGAATTTGCTAAACATGATTTAATTTTGCTTTGAATTTGCTCATTTAACTGGTTGAGCATAAGCCAAAACCGAATTCTTACAATTTTTTCTTTCAGAATATTGTAGATTTGACTAGTTCTGCACTTTGAGCTCAAAAATAGAAACACATCCTTTATAATGCGTCGAAATCTTTGTCATTTGTAAAACATTTACATATTGAACTAATTTAGCTTAAGCAAAAGCAAGTCAGCTTAGACAAGAGCGCTACAAACTACAAGATTAGGCTAGAAATCCTTTTAGAAACGCGCCGAATGGATTATTTTGAAAAGTTTTGGGTCAACTTCAGACCAAAAAATTGGGCCAACTTCAGGCTTTTGAATGACGCCAAAATCTATCAGCTGTCAGCTTGGCTGTCTTGTCAAGTTTTTTCTTGTCAAGCTAGCTTATTGTTAGTTAGACTGGATTCTAATAGGCTTAGACAGGAGTATTTTAGTAATATCCTTGTTTTAAGCTATTCTTTGTCCTTTTGATTTGACAAGCTTTCCAATACTTGAGCCCAAGTACTCAAATCTCAAATCAATCAAGTCCAGTACTCAAATCAATCCGCTGATGAATGAATCCGCTTACCTCTAAAAGTCTTTTCTTCTTCGCTTTATCACTATTGTGTTCCGATTTTTCTCTCTCAACGGATAAGTTTAGATTTTCTTCTTTATCTGACTGCGCTTCTTCAGATGAATTCTAAAAGTTTTCTGGATGAATTGCCCAATCCTTTCCCAAACCTTTCCGATTGGATTGGATTGGAAACCGATTGGAACACTCTTTTCCATTCCATTACAAGCACACATTGCAGCTTTAGCATCAGTGTTTGTTATTTTGATTAGCATTTTTACCAAAGCACCTTTATTAGGCAACAAGAAAAGCGATCAATCACAGACAGGGAAAAAAGGGGTTAGTTTTACGAAAGACTTGTTAGACCCGATTTTTGTTGAAGTTGAAAAAGTTGAAAGTTGAATTGATAAGGAGTACAGCTCTAGTACATTTTTTGAATCGTACTAGAGCTCTGAACGGAAACACATTCTTTCTAGTGCATTGGGATCTTCAAAAGCAGATTCAGAAGTGAGAATCGAGTGCACAGAAAGGATGTGTTTCCATTTTTGAGCACAAAGTACACTTTAAAGTCTACATTGCATTGTTAGCGATAAGTTATTTGAAGCTCTAGAAAATTGGTTATATTTGAGTTAATCCTCTAAATCGTAAATGCTCACAACGTGTTTTCTGAATGGTCGAATGGGAGCCCGACGGATCGGCCCTTTCTTCAATGATTTCAAAATGATAAAATCGGATCCAGTGTCGTCGATTTCTTTCGGAAGAGATGCATGCTAAAATAAAGTTTTAGCAAAAGCCCTAATCCATTTAAATATTTATGTTTTACCCACTCTAACTCCGTCATTCAAATGATCAGCTGATAGCCTTTTATACTTTTCCATTTCATAAAACCCTAACTAGTTTAGACTTATAATATAGTTTTATCTACTTTGTGCGCTTTTTTATCTATTTTATTTTAGTCAGCAACTATAAAATACCGTAAATACTGTAATAGTACCCCACCGCCCTCGTACAGTCGCGTAGTCGCAAAAGTTTTTTAGTATTTCATTTTTTTTAAAGCGCCCGTACTTTCAAAAAATGCGTCTTTAGTATCAAAAAATAGCTGAAATTCAGGGCTATTTTATGATACCTAAACGCGCATTGTAGCACAAACCAGTGTCGAGAAAAACTCGTTCAAAGCTAGACTACGCAACACTCCGCACCGTCATTATGGGGGTGGGGTACTATTACAGTATTTACGGTAGCTAGAATCAAACAATCTACCTAACATTACAGTAATCTAGCTGATCTATTTCAAGTTAACTCTATTTCAGCTATTTTTTGATACCTAAGCGCGCATTGTAGCATAAACCAGTGTCGAGAAAAACTCGTTCAAAGCTAGACTACGCAACACTCCGCACCGTCATTATGGGGATGGGGTACTATTACAGTATTTACGGTGAGCATATTTTATACTTGAGCTAGGCATTTATTTTTAAATTGTCTATTTAGGTACAGGGTGACCGCGAATTATAGCGACAACTTTTTGGAAAAGTAGCTAGAAAATGCCTAACTTATTTCAAAAGTGGCAAGTGTTATATAGAGAATTGTAGCCCTAATTCTTGGCAACATTTATCTACCAAGAACTTCCCGATTGGACTTATACAACACATTTAACAAGTGCTTGAATGAGCGCTAGTCGACATCTCTTCGGTGAATCTGTCATTTGGCCGCTTTTCTCTATTAAAAATTGTTAAGAAAAGCTTTTCAATATTTCTTTTAATGCAAGAATAGCGTTTAACATTAATAAGGATGTAGATTAATAATGTAATATAGAACCTAATAATGTAGAAAAGCGGCCAAATGACAGATTCACCGAAGAGATGTCGACTAGCGCTCATTCAAGAACTTGTTAAATGTGTTGTATAAGTCCAATCGGGAAATTTTTGGTAGATAAATGTTGCCAAGAATTAGGGCTACAATTCTCTATATAACACTTGCGACTTTTGAAATAAGTTAGGCATTTTCTAGCTACTTTTATAAAAAGTTGTCGCTATAATTCGCGGACGCCCTGTATAAAAAAGGCGCAGGGATATAGCCAAAAATCTTTATCGTTTACTGTTTTCCAATTTAAATTTGATTTACTTCAAAGAGTTTAGTTTTCAAAGTAGCTCTTACTTGCCAAAATTCAATGTCAATTTTCTAGCCAAATTGACTTACTCCAGTTTGAACGTGTTTCCTCTGCTCAATCTCGAATTCGCGACTTGTCGGTTGCGGGAATTCATGGTCAGCAAAAGTCAACCTAGAAGCAGTTAGCATAGCAAATAGTAGCAAATAGTAGCAAATCTCACTTCGAAAGATCAACGATCTCCATATTTGCTTCAGATGAGGTTTGTGGTGGACGGTATGACTCGGGTCGTTTGAAAACCTTTAGTGGAGGAGTTGTTTCGGTGGTTGGTCGAGTTGGAGTTGTCTTAGTTGTCTACAAATTCAAGTTAAACTTAAAAATCACCAAAGAATAGAGTCTAAAGCTAATTTCTTCTTGAGTTTGAGCAGACTGCAGTACTAAAACCAAGCGGAACTTAGCAAAATGTCCGAACATAAAGAAACGTGGCACAATAATCGTAAAATAATGTCGTATCGTAACGTGTTGTCCGAAAATAATCGTATGGAGCCGTAGCTTTTTACCTTTATTTCTTTCTTTCTTTCTTTCTTTCTTTCTTCCTTCCTTTCTTCTTCCCCCTTGTCTTTCCTTCTTTCTCCTGACAAGTTAAGGTACTCAGTGGTTAGAGCAATTGCTTGGTTAGAGCAATTGCTTAAAAAGTCCGTCGAGCAATCCGTCGAGCAGGTCAAGGGTTCAATCCCCTCTCCGGAAATCTACTTTTTCACTAGTTCCTCCTTTTAGCAGCTTTAATCAACCGTCTAGTATAGACAAATTTAAGGTCAAAGCTTTACCGTAGCTTCTGTAGTTGTAGTAGTAGTAGTAGCTGTTGTTGTTGTAGTTGTAGTAGTGGTAGTAGTAGTTGTAGTAGTTGGGGTTGGTCTTGTGACTTCGATGGTGGTTTTCCTCGTTGTCACCGGGATCTTCATTTCCTTTTCACCCAAAAGTTTCGCGATGCTTTCCTTGAAGATTTCGTGTGCCTCTTTCTCACTTGGAGCTGACTCGATTTTTCTAAAAATAAAATTGAGTTTATTTTGGTTTGAATACAATAATTTCCATAATTCTAAATACCCTAAAGTCGCGAGTATAAGTTCATCCGAGTATAAGTTCTGCCTTAATTTACATTTAAAGGGCAGCAAGAAATCATCTTTTTGATCGTTCTGTCGAGAATTTTATGATGTTTCACCAAACAATTTTGGAAATTTAGACGAGGTTCCGGTTCCAACCGAACAGTCGAAGTAAAAGGAAAGGATGATATTTCAATTGCTTCAACGGGAAATGAGAAGACGAATTTCACAGTTGTGCTCGGAATTCAGAACAGAACTTATACTCGCGACTTTAGGGTAGTTCTAATTTTGAAGATTGACAAACTTTAGAATATCAGAAACCATTGGTGGAACTGGAGCTTTTCCTTGTGAGGTCACTGAAGCGATTCCATGAATGACAGGTCGACGGGCTAAATTTTGATTACAAAATGAGTACTTTACCCCACTCAGTTAATGTTTTCTTTAAGAAAAAAAGCTTCTTTTAGCAAATTACCATACTCAAACCGCTAGTTTCCATTTATTCAGCTCAATTTTGATATTTTAAGCCTTGTGATTCATCGAATGATATCAAAATTGAGTTGATTTAGTTTAATTAGGATAGTTTCCAAAAATAGATATTTAAAATAGATAAAGAAAGCCATATTTATACAAAGTAATACTTTGAAAGTAAACTTAAAGCTTTAGATTTATTCACAGCTTTAGATTTATTGAAGAAATCTCACCATTTTCATGTTTTCCTTGCTCTTCCTCTCCTGAATCCTCTTTTGAAGCTAAAACGATGATCATTATGGGAAATGAAATTACAGGTAAACTTGCTTTCGGCTTTTAAACTTGCTTTTTAAAACGTGCTTTCAATTTCACTTACAACTTTCATGATCCATTGGCAATTCGATCAATGGCACACTCGGTCCTTTGTGCTCAGTTTCCCTCTCGTGATCTTCCACCGAATTCGATTCCTCAACCGGTGCTTGGGCAAAATCCTAAAGAACACTGGTAGACCAGAAAAGTAGCGTTTGCAATTTTGAGCATAAAGTCCCAAGCACAAAGGACTTGAGCCTACAACTTACAATCGCCACTCCATCATCACTGTCAACAATTGTTCCATCTCGATTCAATTTGATCAGTGTCAACTTGGGCTCTCTTTGCTCAACGATTGGGGATTGAGTTGGTTGGCTAAATTGTGGATAAGATTTGATGGAGGCTAGAATTCTTACTGAGATCTGAATCTGGGATTTACGGTAATGGGGGCAAGAGACGAGCTGTCTGGAGTTGTCTCGGTCACTTCATTCACCGACTCATTCTTCTTCACTGGCTTCAGTGGATCTTCTTTTGTCGTTTCTTCTTCGCGTTCACTGAATGTGCTTTGATTTGCTCTTGCTTTCGTTTGTTCTTTCTTTGATTTGCTCTTTCTTTAATTTGTTCTTTCTTTGTTTCTTCTTTCTTTGATTTGTTCTTTCTTTGATTTGCTCTTCCTTTCGTTGCTTTTTCCAAGCATCTACTATTAGATTGGCCAATAAGCCCTTAGAATCTCCTTTGAAAATGTTTTCAAAACTAACGACAACTTCAAATACGGTTTATTTCGTTAAAAAGCTCTAAAATGCCTCTAGAAAATAGCTTTTGAAAGATTTCAAGAATTCTTTGTTCTAGTTATGCTAAACAAAATGCCATTTATTATAGTTTAACTTATAGAGAGTCTTTTTCTGCATTGAATGGTATCAAATTTGTAAAAAAATATTAATTCCGCGTGATTTTATGCGATTAGTTCGGATTTGGACGTAACATATATAAAAGAGTAGTGTCGGTCTGTCTGTCTGTTCGTCCATCGACTGTCTGTCTGTCTGTCTGTCTCTCTGTCTGTCTGTCCGTCTGTTCGTCCATCCCTCCATCGTTCGTACAGGCTTTTTCTTAGCTGCTTTTAAGCCAAAAAACCGGCTTAAGATAAAAAGTTCAAAATTGAGTGGCACTATGGGGGTGAACCAGGATCGTGTGGGTTGTAGACCAGCACACTGTTGACTGTGCCATGGCGATGATAAGTATCGGCGATGATAAATGCCAGAAAAACAGCACCAAAAACCCTTTGTTAAGCGGGTTTTTCGGATGGTCTTAAATACATTTGAAAGTTAGCTTTTCCTGGTACGCTTTTTCAACTAGAGCCCTTTTAGAAAGGAACGGAAAAGAAACCGAAATAGCTCACACCAAGTTCAATTGCTCTAGGAGAGACCAGTCAAGTCTAGTATCAAGTCAAAAGCCAGGTCGAGCTCTCTAATCTTCCCTGTCCACTAGATCAGAAGCCTGACCTGATCTGCTTTGGTTTACAAGTCTTAAAACCCAGTTGAGACCCAGCTTCTGAGTTCATTTCAAAAAACTATTAAACAGCCGATTCGGATAATAATGTAATTTCAACTCACTCAGCTGGGATGATCATTGAAGCTTCTGTTGTCGGTTCTGCAGTCGTTGTCTTCTTTTGCGGAACATCATCATAAATTCCTTCTGAAACTTTGTCAAACTGTTTCTTTTGAAACAAACTTTGTTGAAAACTTTTGAACCAAACTAAAGAAATGAAAGATTCAATGATTTCAACTGCAATCTATTCTCAGTTCCAATTTTCAACCTCACCAATACTCCTTGGTGCTAGATCGCAAAAACGGACTCGATACTGCATATCTTTCACAGCAATAGCATTGATCAATTGATTATCATTCCTAAAAAAGCTTATTTTCAAAAGTTTTAAGTTGACCAACTCAATGATTGTGCTTCTCGTTGGTCCAAGGGGTTTATTGAAGACTTGTTCATTGCAGTTGAACTCCTCTCGACTTCTTAGGCGGCAACAAAGGATTTGGACTCTAGATATGGATCTTTTATAAAATACATTTATTCACACGCATAATACGATATAAAAATACACAAGCATGACTTCTAGCACTTAATCTTAAGCCCTAAATGCAGGAAAGAAAAAAACCATCTATATTTGAGAAAAAAAAAAAGTCCAAAAAAAAACCAAAGGGGATTGAACCCTCGACCTCCCGACTAAGGAGAGAGGGTTTTTAACCAGTCGGCCATGGATGTCTCTTTGCCGCTCGGCCATGGCAGCCTCTTAGCCAGTCTAGCAGTCTCTTAGCCAGTCTAGCAGTCTCTTAGCCAGTCTAGCAGCCACTTAGCCAGTCTAGCAGCCACTTAGCCAGTCTAGCAGCCTCTCAGCCAGTCTAGCAGCCTCTCAGCCAGTCTAGCAGCCTCTCAGCCAGTCTAGCAGCCTCTCAGCCAGTCTAGCAGCCTCTCAGCCAGTCTAGCAGCCTCTTAGCCTCATAGCGGCAGCTTGTCAGAAAACAAAAAAAACTAGAACTACCTTGTTTCAGCGATTCGAATGATTCCAGCTAGGTATTCACGATTTCCGCAAGACATTTTACTTTCTTCGTCAATAATCGGATCAAACATTGTCGAGTAATGACAGTCTTCTCTTTCCATGTCAACGATTCCTTGCGGAATGTTTTTCCAGGGATATAACTAAATTGATAATTGTTGATTGATGTTGATTGATATTGATTGATATTGATTGACATATTGACAAAATTGATAACGAAACTAAATTGACACAAGCTGAGAATGTTGTCAAGTCGAAAAGAATGTTAAAATTAACTATTCCTTTTGCTAGGAATTGTTTCTCGCTTTTCTGGCTCAAATCTAGGCAGTTTAGGCATTGACGAGGTCAATTGCTCTAACAATAAACCAACTATTCCAGAATTTCTCTCGTTTTTTGAGAAAAAGTGTGTACTTTTAAAAAAATAGGCTCATTCTCTTCTAGACTTAATACCTGAATCTACACTAAATACCGTAATCCTGCCAATCTAGACTGAATACCTTAATCTAGACTAAATACTGTAATCCAACTAATGCAGACTGAATACCTTACTCTAGACTAAATACCGTATACCAGCTGATCTAGACCGAATACTCAATCTAGACTAAATACCGTAACCCAGCTAATGGTGACTGAATCCCTTGTTCTAGACTGATTACCTTAGCCTAGACAAAAGACCGGCTGTAGTTGACGGCTTTAGGCTTTAGTTGACGAGTTTCTATGTTCAATTTCTTGTTTGTGAGCTTTCTTTCACACATTTTGTGCATTTGAACACAATTTGTAACAAATGTTAACGTGTTAACAAGTCAGTTAACATAACTCGGCTCGTTTTTTGGTTTGCCATTGGCAATCTATGTATTTTGCTCGTATCTTAGCCGGATTTGTTTGAAAAACGTTTCAATTTGCTTTCATTCGACTTGAAATCAAATTTTCTATCGAATAAAAGCAAATTCAACGTTTTTCAAATAAATCCCGCTAAGATACGAGCAAAATACATAGATTGCCAATGGCAAACGGACGGAAAAAGGGGGCGGAGTTAAGACGGCTGCTTACTTTCGAACTAGTTAAGCCAAAAAGTACCTCTCAACAACTACCGACTTTGCATGAACCTTTCCTTGAGCTTTAGAACTAGTTGTAAAGTTTTTGAGTGTCAAATTTTGAGTGAACAAATTGTGTTCAAGTGTTTGAAACAACACAAAATGTTTGAAAAACAACTCAAAAAGAAGATCTTGAATTTAGATGCAATTTGTTGCAATCTGTTGCAATTTGCTGAAGTCTCACCTCTGATATTTCCTCGCAAGACATTTCAAAGACGACATCTTGCCGTCTTGCTCCCACCGATTCAACCATTCTCACACCAAGACCATTGGCTCCTAAAATCGGTGTACTGTGTGTGACAATAATCATAAAAATCTACTATATATAAAGCAGAAGAGACGTATGTTCGTCCGTCTGTCTGTGCGCAGTCATTGGCAAAAAGGGATGGGGTTTAGATTGCGTGGAAAACGCGAACGTTAGTGAGCGTTTTCCACGCAAAGCCTGAGCCTAAGCCTAAGCCTAAGCCTGAGCCTAAGCCTGAGCCTAAGCCTAAATAAGCCTAAGCCTAAGCCTAAGCCTAAGCCTAAGCCTAAGCCTAAGCCTAAGCCTAAGCCTAAGCCTAAGCCTAAGCCTAAGCCTAAGCCTAAGCCTAAGCCTGAGCGTAAGCCTAAACCTAAGCCTTCCGCTGGTAATGCAATAATCGGTGTACTGTATAAGCAATAAATCAACTTTGAAGAACAACTTAAAACCAACCGCAAGTGGATCCGAAGCCTAGAATCCGAAGCCTAGAATCCGAAGCCGGATCGAGATATAAAGCAAAGGACAATCATACGTCATTTTTGTTCAGTCTTAATACAAAAATGACGTCGTTTTGCTCTTTGCCCTATAACTGAGCTTTTTCTTAGCAAAAACCTTAAACAAATTGTACTTTTCTCTAGCCAAATTTTATGAGGATTCTAATGAAATTAACCGTAAGTCAATCCGATGCTTATACGTCGAGATATAAGCAGTGAAAGTTGATCGGCTTCTGCAGGTTTTTCGTAAGAAAAAAATCGCAGAAGCCGGTCAACTTTGACGCGGTTTTTCTCTATCTTCTAACAAATGAGTATTCCAAACAAACTGCACTTTTCTCTAGCCAAATTTCATGGGAAATCTATTGAAACTAATCGCAAGTCTTATTTTCTTATTATTTATGTCAAATTTTCAAAGTTTATTATGAAAAAAAGATTTTTCAAACAACTCCGCGACCTTTCAGAGTCATTTTCGACAAAACTTCAAACAAGAATCTCACAAGAGTCTGATTTCCTATTGAATTATGCAAGAAAATCTTTACAATTACTTTACATTGCTAGATTTAATCTAATTTTAATCGAAACCTTTATAGAAAGATATAAATCGCAAGCTTTTTCGACAACAATTTACCAGATTTCTTCGGGCATTCGATCCGAAAATTGTCGAACGGTGACGAGACAAAGACATTTTTCAGTGAAACGATCGGAGTCACGAATAAAATTAGCCCCAATATGAGCCTCATTCTGAAAGTAAATTGAGATACCGTATTTACTCGAATAGAAGACCGGTCTTCTATTTTTTCAATCATCCCCTAGACCCCGTCTTCTATTCGAGACGATCTTATAATCGAGACCGGTCTTCTATTCGAGTAAATACGGTAAATTATTTCAAGAAACAAAACAAAAAATGAGCTAAAAAGTGAATGGGATTATTTTCTGTGTTTAAGGGTTGAAGTTTTGGGTGAAAGGTGAAGGGGGGAAAGGAAAGAGAAAGGAAAATCGGGTTCTCTCTTTCGTTTTCCACCACAATTTGGGTCAATCATTTCTCGGATTCTTTTAAAGGAGACAATCTTATAGATATCTTTTTGATAGTGCATTTTGAGAGATTCTAGATAATATGCATAACTAATTTGGATCAATAGATGAAAAGAGATTGGGCTTGAAAGATTGAAAGCTTGAAAGCTTGAAAGCTGGAAAGCTTGAAAGCCTGAAGCTTGGAAGCTTGAAAGCTCGAAATTTTGAAATTTCCATTGAATTTCTATTGAATTTCTATTGAATTTCTATTGAAATCTCTATTGAAACAAGAGCATTAAAAAGTTTAGAATAGTTTTAATGCTTCAAATCATTTCAAAATCGATAAAAAGCCTTTTGTTTCAACATTGTAAGAGTTGTGTTTTGTAATATTGTTGCTCAATGTAATATTATAGCTTCGAAAGGAATTTGATCAGATTATGAATCTCGAGATCCTGAAACTCTTGACGATCTCGTGTCGCTCGTGTACCTTTTTGTGGACTTTATTTCCAGTTTTCTCGTTCATTTCAAACCGCCTCAATCGGGGGTTTTAAATGGGATTCTGGATCTAGGAGTTGAAAAAGTTTTGGTTCAATTGAGCAAAGTTTACAAGGGAAAAGCAATAGTAGGATTTGGTTGATTGAGATAAGCCATAGATCATTAAACGCAGAATTTCACACTGATTTCGAAGCTGCTTTCCGTTTTTGCAAAATCGCTTTCTATAAAAAGTTAGACGTGTTTAAAGTGTTAGGGTGAAAAGGCGAAAATTTCGAGCCGAATATGCCTTTATGGATGGATGGATGGATGTATGAAAAGCTATTGAAAGCTATGAAAGCTAAAGGTTGCTCATTATGAAGGTTTTCTCATCATCACCACAGGCTCTTCAAGCCTATGGTGATGGTGTATTGGATAAGACGCTTGCAAAACGATCGTCGGCCTTTTTTTGCTCAAGTTCGATTCCTTTTTGGGAAAACTTTTGTTTTACGTTTGTCTGATCTCATTTGGGCACATCTTACTGTTGCCTCTCCCTTGCTAGCTTTCCCCGATGATGATGGTCGGTTTTTAGCCTTATGAAAGTTGAAAAGTCGTTCCAGCTGAAGCTGAAGCATATGAAAGCTAAAGATTGCTCATTTCAATCAGTCAAACTTCTGCTTTTTTGAGTCTAGCCTCTTTGTTGGGTAACTGAACCGTGCAGCACCCGGTAAACGGTGTGCTAGAAGGCCTGCCTTTAAGTGGAAGCACAAAGCACACCTATGGGGTTATTTTGAATAGCGAAGTGCTTTATGCTCTTGTAAATTTTTCAGATCTCGAAAGATCTTTTGTGAAGTCGATTGTGCATTTCTTTAGAAGATTAATCTAGCTCAAGGCCTCAAAAGCAGAGGGTCCAAACAAAAAAAATAAGTTCAAAGGCTTTCATAAGCCAGATTTGTATTCTAGTAAATCTATATTTCAGTTTGTTGTAAAGCTATTTTTTGGTAGTAAATTAAGATCTTAGAATGTTGACCTTATAAGCTACGATTCCATCAACAAGAAGTTATCGTAATCGACTCGAGTTAGGGAGTATGAAATGGCATCGACTTTCAAAAGTTTTTCTGAAGCCCATAAAAGCTCCAGACAATCTAGTGTTTGTATAATCAAAAAGATCTATCATTGCTCTACCAAATGGCTTTTGAGAGATTCCGAAAAGGTTTTGTTTTATGGATTTTATGGGCTCCTAAACAAGACCAGTCAAAAATGAAAGTCCGATTCGTCGTTTTGACTCGTTTCTTTCACAAAAATTCCACAAATGTCAAAAGAAAAAAGTTATAGCACATTTCATTACATAAGTACTCAAATTTCCTTTAGCTCTTTGAGTTATAAAACTATAGCAAAATCAATTCCATGATGTCAAATAGGGTCGATTTATAAAGAAATTAAAATATTAGCTTCCATAACATCATCCATCACCAAGTAATGTTAAAAAAATTACTTTGTTGCGGAAGATTTGTTTACAATGGGTTAGAAAGGTGATTGATTCTGCCATGGCGAATTGAAGCTCTATTAGCTCCACAGTAGACATGGGAAAATTCCAACTCGAACCTATTGGGTTGGGGAGTCTGAAATAACGGCGACTTTCAAAAACGTTTCTTGAACGCATAAAAGCTCCATATTCATTGTTTGTATGATCAAAAAGATCTATCATTGCTCTACAAAATTTGAGAGATTCCGAAAAGCTTTTGTTTTATGGTTTTTATGAGCTCCTAAACAAAACCAGTCAAAAATGACAGTCCGATTCATCGTTTTGACTCGTTTCTTTCACATAAACATAAATTGACGTCAAAACAAATAAGTTAGAGCACATTTCATTACATAAGTACTCAAATTTTTGTAGTGATCTCGTCAGTCATTTACTCTAAATGATGATTGATAGATTTTGTGAAAAAAATTATTTTTATTGAATTCGGGCGCTTTTGAGTTGTATTTGAAATATTTCAAATATGATTTTATAGAGAAATAAGTGATCTTTTCTAATTATACTATGTGTTATTTGATAAAGATTACTTAATGTTATAGAAATTTCTTTGAAAATCAGCATTTTATCCTCCTCAACCCGACAAAATGCAGAGTGATCCAAAATTATGGCGACTTTTCTCTAGAAAGCTGAAAAATGTCTAACTTAAGCTATTTAAATCTTATTAAAACTTCCTGATCTGATAAGTTTAAGCTACTTAAAAATGAGCTGCAAGTTGGCCAAAAACTGTTGGCCAGTTGGCCAAACTTGCCTCCCCAAAGTAGTTCTCGCAAGCTTAATCTATTTCAAAGTGTCAAGTGTTACATCGAGAATTGTAGCCCTTAATCTTGGCTACATTTAACCACTAAAAATTCCACAATCGAAGTTATGCAGCTCATTTAACAAGCTTTGCGAGTAAGCTCTAGTCGCTCTAGTCGACCGCTCTCTGGCGAAGTGCCATAGAGCTCATTCGAAAGCTTGTAAAATGAGCTGCATAACTTCGATTGTGGAGTTTCCAGTAGAGAAATAAAGTCAAGATTAAGGGCTTCAATTCTCTAAATAACAATTGACACTTTTGAAATAAGTTAGACATTTTCTCAATCGAGTTTCTTTCGCAATTCACTTTCCGCAACCAAAAGCCACCATTCGATCAATCGAAAAACCAAAACTTTCAAATAAAACTCCATTTCCTTAAAGATTTCCTTAAAGTTTCGATCTTTCGACCTTCGAAATTGGTGACAAGATTTCTCAGGGCCAAAAATAGACAAAAATAGTCAATGTGAGAAAGGAGAGAGAGATCACAAAGTGATCGGCAGCTCAATCAAATCCCGAGACGAGGATCAAGGGCTCGTTTTGTTTGTCGGATTCTCTAATCTCTTTCCCCAATCTCTCAAATATCGATAATTTCCGTTTCTGTAGATTTTGACTGACTGACTGACTGACTGACTGACTGACTGGCTGACTGACTGTGTGGGTGATCTTTTTTTCAGTTGTCATCTCGTTTGTCACTTCTTTTACCGATCCTCGATCCATCTTTCAACATTCCAACATTTTCTCAGTGATCAAAATGCGCACTTCCTTCAAATTTTCCATGAAAACATTCTAAACTAATGCAATATTTTGAATTTTGAAGTTTCTATTGGATCAAAAGATTGATTACCAATTGTTTCTGAGTTTGAAATTTATTTAATTGAGCTTTCCGAACAGATTCACAGCACGAAAATTACTCTAGTCAAACATTTTCGACAAGTAAATTCTCATTTGCGTTTAGTTAATCGTTTTTTCAAACCGATTTTCATTTGATCAAATCTTTGCGAGTTGATTAGACACACCCAAATGACTCAGAAAAGTTAATCTTTGATTTTATAAATGTGCTCTGGATTGATTGATTGGTAACAATTGGTAATCAATCTGCAAATGTAAATGTAAATGTGCACTGTAAATGTACACTACTGGACAATGAAATATGATATTTGAAGAAAGATCATCACTTTCGCGCGTCTGTAACTCCCTGGTCTTTGAGTTTAAACTATTAGTGTTATACATTTTCTGAAAGCTCTTTTCAAGGGCTACACAATGGTAATATTAATATTTAGAAATACGGTAAAGACAAGGGAGTTACAGAGGCGCGAAAGTGACGATCGTTTTTCAAATATCATATTTCATTGTCCAGTACCGTAAATGTAAATGTGCTCTGTAAATGTAACTCACGATCAAATGCTCTTTTTTTTTGGTTAATTTCATTTGGTTTTTTCAAACGAAAGCGTCTGTTTTTGATTTTTTTGTAGATTTAAATATTTTACTTTATTGAAACTCTAGGTATAACTTTTGTAATGTTAAAATCAATCAACAGTAAATTTTAGCGCTTTTGTTTTATGCATTGTTTTTTTAGTTGTATTGGGTTTTGTTCGCAGAAAGTTCGCAGAAAGTTTGCATGTTGATTTCTCAAATATCAAGCCATCAATTTTTTTTCAAATTTTTGAAATAGCCATTTTAGTCATTTTTTTGCCAATCAACATCCATTTTAGTCAAAAAAATAGCCATTTTTTGGCCAAAAATAGAGGTTATAAAGTCTATTGCTCATTTCTATTAGATTTACCTCATAAGGAATCGTTTTTGTCATGCAAAAAGTAAGCTGAATACTGTGAGCTGGAAAAGGATACTTTTTCAAAAAATCTCGAAAATTTTATGGGAAAGTTGCACTCATTTTTTACGAGTAATTTCTTGGCGTCGACTTGTAAATAATAGAAAAAAATGTTCTTGAATTCGTGGATTTGTTTTTAAGAAATTCTAGTTCAAATCGGTGCAAGGACTTTCTTGCCAACCTAATACCGTATTTTCTCTAATAGTAGTGCACCCCGACAAGCCGAGTTGATGACTATTTACGGCTTTCAAAGTTTTCCCAGAAGCTCAACACTCTAATCCTCCATTAGATCTCATCGTCAGCTACATTTCCCGACCCCACATCGATAGGTTCTGATAAGCGGTTCTCGAGATTTCGAGGAATTTAGGCAAGGCCCATCGTGCACTACTATTAGAGAAAATACGGTAGTAGATTATTCAAGAAGAATGACTTTTGCAAGAATGACTCAATCGATGTGTTTGTCTCTCTCTCTCTATGAGATCAATGACATCATTGACCTATGACTTGACTGTCTCTCTCATTTCCTTTCTTTATGAAGAACACTTCTCGATCATTTCAATCAATCATTGATTCACATTTTACTTTTCTTGTTTATCAATTTGCATTGATTCACATTTTACTTCTTTTCTTGTTGCTTTTCTTTACTCCTTTTCTTGCTTCTTGTTTTATTTTTGAATAAGCGTTGATTTCATTGATTAACCATTGAATAACCAATGTGTCGATTTGATTTTGACTTTTGTTGTAAGAATATGAAACTCAGTGCGCTAAGGATGATGTCGTGCTTCGCTAATATTGCATTCAAGTAGTCTTCGCTCAATAGCTCATAAAAAACTAGGCCTAAACTAACAACTAAATGTCAATCTTTTGCGAAACGTACCCAAAGAGGCTGTTGGGTCAGTCAAAAGTCATTTTTCTTTTCTTTTGAATTCTTTTTTACATCAAATTAATATTATTTAAGAGATTACTGATCAAAGAAGTAATTTTCGAGTGTTTTTCTGAAAAAAACAAAATTTTGACCGGTGGGGAATCCGAATCCGACCAGAGGCAGGGAGCGGTGGGTCCGAAGTAGAGTGTGCTCCTTGTTGACAGACAATTTGTCAGACAAATTTTCATTGACAACTTTTTTGTCAGACAATTCATCCGACAAGACTTCCGACAACGCGTTTTCTAAAAGGTGCGCTTTTTAAGCAAAGCTATAAAGGTCGCGCAAAGCTATAAAGGTATAAAAAATTCGCAAACTTTTCTTAAAATATAGTAATGAATAGTTTTATTTAAGGATTTAGGTTTTTTAGGGCGTGGAATTTTTTTTTGGAATGGTTCTAGTGCAAATGTAGACAATAGGCCTGATAAATTCGTAAATAATATAATTTTTTAATAGTGTTTATTAACTTTTCCCGTTTTAAATGTTTTCTTTAATTTTAAATAGCATTTAAAAAATTTTAAGCTTTAGCGAAAGAGTAATAGAGTTAAGGAAAGAGTAATAGAGTTAAGGAAAGAGTAATAGAGTTAAGGAAAGAGTAATAGAGTTAAGGAAAGAGTAATAGAGTTAAGGAAAGAGTAATAGAGTTAAGGAAAGAGTAATAGAGTTAAGGAAAGGGTAATAGAGTTAAGGAAAGAGTAATAGAGTTAAGGAAAGAGTAATAGAGTTAAGGAAAGAGTAATAGAGTTAAGGAAAGAGTAATAGAGTTAAGGAAAGAGTAATAGAGTTAAGGAAAGAGTAATAGAGTTAAGGAAGGGTAATAGAGTTAAGGAAAGAGTAATAGAGTTAAGGAAGGGTAATGAGTTAAGGAAAGAGTAATAGAGTTAAGGAAAGAGTAATAGAGTTAAGGAAAGAGTAATGAGTTAAGGAAGAGTAATAGAGTTAAGGAAAGAGTAATAGAGTTAGGAAGAGTAATAGAGTTAAGGAAAGAGTAATAGAGTTAAGGAAAGAGTAATAGAGTTAAGGAAAGAGTAATAGAGTTAAGGAAAGAGTAATAGAGTTAAGGAAAGAGTAATAGAGTTAAGGAAAGAGTAATAGAGTTAAGGAAAGAGTAATAGAGTTAAGGAAAGAGTAATAGAGTTAAGGAAAGAGTAATAGAGTTAAGGAAAGAGTAATAGAGTTAAGGAAAGAGTAATAGAGTTAAGGAAAGGGTAATAGAGTTAAGGAAAGAGTAATAGAGTTAAGGAAAGAGTAATAGAGTTAAGGAAAGAGTAATAGAAAAAAAGAGTGCAAGATTTTAATGTACATTTGCATTTTGAAAAATTTGCTGATGCAAAGCATAGGGTTACGGTAGCTTACGGCGCGCTTTTTAGAAAACGCGTTGTCTGCAAGCAACACACTCTAGTCCGAAGCGCTAGCACACTACCCACTAGGCTACCTGGGCACACAAGCCGGTCCCACTTAAACGCCTTAAGCAAAGCTAGCTAGCTTTCTGTTTAGCGAAAATTTGAAGGCTTATATCTCAAAAATGGCTTGTGATAGGTAGGATTTGAAAGCAGTTTTTGGATGCCCTTAACTAGGAGGTGTTTCCAGCACGGAATCGCTTCTGAAATCTAACTTCAAAGGGTTCCTTAGTAAGGAGAATGTCTAGAAATTCAACTTCTACAAGTCTTTTTGTAACTTAAACGAATGCATCTATTCATTTCTAGAGATTATGGGTACAATTATTGTTTCTAGATATTATGGGTAAAAGATTTCCCCGTTCTCATCACCTTTGCGTATCCCTTGGCTATTCTAGCCACCTTCTTGTTCAAATCTTGTTCAAATATTGTTCAGATCTTGTTCAAATCTTGTTCAAATCTTACCCAAAACGACCTTTGACCCAAATCCCATCACAAATTGAACTAAAAATCTTTTTGAATCGATTCCATAGCTCATAAATTGATGCTATCAATCTCTTTATCGTTCTTTATCGTTCTCTAAACTCTCGAAATCTTTTTCTCTCGTTTTTAAAAGAGATTGATTTGCTCGAAAATTGCTAAATTACCCGGAAAAGTCACATGTCTTTTTTTCGAAATTTGCAATGTTTTCTGGCAATAAAAAAGATGAAAGAAAAAGATCATTTATAGCTGATCATTCAATTTCTTTCAACTGCTGAATATTTTTGGATCAAACAAGTCTGCTGTTGATTTGAAAAGGAATGTAATGAAGTCGAAAATCGTCTTTTTCTTCGCTCTTTTTAATGAAGCGTTGGCTGTACAGGAATTTGTGGTGGGTTTTTGATTTGAATTGTCATAAGATATCTTTTTCTAGATATTATAGATATTCAAAGTGTCATTAAATATCTCTAATATCTTCAAATAACAAAATACCAGCAGAAAACGCTCACTTTGTTCTGCTGGGGAGGCGGGGAATCCAATTTAGATGTTAAGGCTGTCTCCTTTTTAAAAATGGACATAAAAGTCAGATTCTCCATAGCTGAAAACTCCCGGGAACAAAATATCGCGTGTAAAAGCTACCTAATACAAAAGCTACCTAATTACCCGCGATTGTGGTTCGTTTCTCGAACTGCGCACCATGAAAGAAAATAGCATTTTCGTTATAAAGAGTTATATAAAACGATAAATTATCGTTTCAATACATGAAAAATCTAGTTCTAATGGTTACAAATCTGGAAAGTGCCTAAAAATCTAGAAGAATTCAAATGCCGCGAATGTCGGCTGTTTAAAACGTGACAAGAAAAGACAAGAAAAGCCAAGAAAAGACAAGAACAGGACAGAAATTTCTGCACGATCTATTTACGGTAACGGTGTAGCTAGACTACTGGACAATGAAATATGATATTTGAAAAACGATCGTCACTTTCGCGCCTCTGTAACTCCCTTGTCTTTGAGTTTAAACTATTAGTGTTATACATTTTCTGAAAGCTCTTTTCAAGGGCTACACAATGGTAATATTAATATTTAGAAATACGGTAAAGACAAGGGAGTTATAGACGCGCGAAAGTGTGATCTTTTTCAAATATGATATTTCATTGTCCAGTAGTCTAGTTACACCGTTACCGTAAATAGGTCGTGCAGAAATTTCTGTCCTGTTCTTGTCTTTTCTTGTCTTTTTCTTGACAGAAATTTCTGCCGATCTATTTACGGTAACGGTGTGCTAGACACTGGACAGAAATATCATATTTGAAAAAAGATCATCACGTTCGCGCGTCTGTAACTCCCTTGTCTTTATCATATTTCTAAATATTAATATTACCATTGTGTAGCCCTTGAAAAGAGCTTTCAGAAAATGTATAACACTAATAGTTTAAACTCAAAGACAAGGGAGTTACAGAGGCGCGAAAGTGACGATCTTTTTTTAAATATGATATTTCATTGTCCAATACTGTAGGTGTAATATAATCCAAATAAGAAAAAAGGAAAAATTCAAACAAATGATCTAGCAAAAATCTCTGACTGTTCACAAAGTTCTATTCTAAGAAATTCGCCGCTTTTAAAGCAAGATCCTATTCACAAAAACAGTAAACTATCACTGCAGTAGACATGTCCATTTTCGAGTTTTGGCGGCCGGGTCGGGTCAGCGGGTCCTCCGGGAAAAAAGCCGGGTCGCGGGTCGAGTCAGCGGGTCACTTTTGACCCGACCCGACCCGACCCGACCCGACCCGACCGACCCGACCCCCCCCCGCCCCCCGCCCGCCCGCCCGCCCGCCGCCCGCCCGCCCGCGACCCGACCCGACCCGCTGCCCATGTCTACACTGCAGCACTCTTTTTATCAAAGCTTTTAGAAATATAAATGTATAAATCATAAATAAATGAGAAATTTAGGCTGAAGCCTTCAGCAGTTTCGATTTCGATCACAAGCACTCTCCATCAATCAAACTTTTATTATTCGTGCTCTTCGGTTTCTTGAGTACTTTTGTATTTCTGGTGAGTGAGAGAAAGAAATTCAGGCTTTAATTGACGTTAAGATTGTTATAATCTTTATCTTTCGCGGTGTAATGAATTGGATGGGTTACAACAACAACAATTCAAGGCGATACGAGCTTCCATTTCATAATGTAAGCCCTAATTATGAATGGATTGAAGAAAAAAAGAAAGCTTTCAGCCAGTTGTCGTTCAACCAGAGGAGATTCAAGGACAAGAAATGAAAAAAGACAGCTATCAGAATATTCTTGTTCATTCGGAGTTGATCAAGATGCAAGCAGGTAATTTATAGCCTTTCATTAGCTTATTGTGAGGTGTACTTTGTGCTTATTCTTATAACCAAAACGCATCCGTTCTATGGCACTCAAATCAAATCAAATTTCGCTTCTAGAGTCTAATTAGAGAAGAGTATTAGGCCAATAGCCGGAAAGACGAGATTTCTCGCATCATATAGTCTTGGGCTGAGTTTACGCTTGTCAGCCAACGGTCGTCGTGGTATAGTGGGTCGTGTGCTCGGTTACAAAACTGATCGGACTGATCGGCTCGCGAGTTCGAAGCCCACGCTTGACAGGGGTCTTGCTTTTTGTTTCATAGATGTTTTTGATCAAAGATGTTTTGATTTACACAAATTCTTCTACCATTCCCTTGCTTGATCATCTTGTTTCACTAATGTTAAATATAAAAGGTTTCTTATAATCAATTATTGGGTTGGTGAATTGAAAACTGCCGGCTATTGTCATATGTGACAGTTTGAGCACTTTCTTCAAAAGAAACCCATTTTGGTGTCAATGGGAGAGTTGTAGAGAATCAAAAATCAAGCTTATATCCTAATTTTCAGAACGATTCAAAAACTGGTTTTCAAGAAATGTCAAATTTACGAATTTTCACAAAACTTGCAACAAAACTTGCATTTTAAGCGAAACTACTAAGTGTATCCTTTTGGAAATTTGGATATAAGCTTGATTTTTGATTCTCTACAACTTTTCCATTGACACCAAAATGGGTTTCTTTTGAAGAAAGTGCTCAAACTGGGATCTCTAGTCTCCATCTCCAGTCCTCCATTTTTGAGTCTCACACTTGTCTCACACACAAACCAAAATCCTACTACGAAAGAGGAATCCGCAAATTGCCTGTAAAATGGGCAGAAGTCGTCAATAATAATGGAAATTATTTGGAATGAATTGATGGTTTTATGTTGAATAAATTTTAGTTCAAAGTCCCGCAGTTTTCAATTCACCAACCCAATACTTTAATAGAATAGTTTGTCTGAAATCAACGAGCTGAATTCTATCTTTCCATTTTCGTTTCAAAAAAATCCACGTCCAAAATTTCATTGCCAATTTGTTGAATTTCTTTTCGAAATCCCAGTGATCTCTTCTCTAATAAAAGTCAAAATTCTTTTAGCTGAATTGAAATCTTTAAGTTTTTCAAGTTAAAGCAATAAAGCAGCAATGTAAAGAAGCAATGTAAAGCAATCTTACAATCAAAACGTACCAGTTCTGACGCTATTGCTCTTCGAGTTTCAAAGCCAATCCTTTTCACCTCCAAAAATCCAAGTTGGCCAAAAATCCAATCAGAAATTGCCTTGAATTTTAATGTAAGCTACAAAACAAAACGTTTCTAAAGCTATAAAGCAATTAGCTAAAGCTAGAGCTAATTTTAGGCTATGAAAGAGTCAATTGAGTTATTCCGATGCAAGTTTAAGCCAAAAACGTATTCAATTAGTACTCAAAAATCCAATGGTAAGCTACGTCCAAAATCGAATTGCCAATTCAATTCTAATGAACAAAACTTTCAGGCGGCACTGAATCCCCGCTGTCGCCCTTCGGGATGACAAAAGTTGAACGCCGAGAGCTCGCCAGATTACTAGCTGGATCAGAATAAAGTTTTGAGTAATTTTTCTTGGAAATTTGTACTTTCTTCTATTTTGGCATTCTTGTATTCTTGTATTTCTCATTTAATCTTTTCTAAAACCTTTCCTCACTTTTGTTTAGTTTCCACCCACACTCTCATCCATCTAAAACTCGAAAACTTTCACCAAAAATCCTTTTTTGATCTCCTTGTGATTTTCTTTTTATGTTTGATGCACACGGGTGATAAATGTTTTTAATAAATGTTTGCTTTTATGAAGAAGGAGGTGTTTCCAACACGGAATCGCTTCTGAAATCTAACTTCAAAGGGTTCCTTAGTAATGAGAATGTCTAAAAACTCAACTTCTACAAGTCTTTTTGTAACTTAAACGAATCTTATATTATGGTACTCAAAAAAGACTGGATTGTTTAGACTGTTTAAACTGTTTAGACTGTTTAGACTGTTTAGACTGTTTAGACTGTTTATACTGTTTAGACTGTTTATACTGTTTAAACTGTTTAGACTGTTTAAACTGTTTAGACTGTTTAGACTGTTTAGACTGTTTAGACTGTTTAGACTGTTTAAACTGTTTAGACTGTTTAGACTGTTTAGACTGTTTAGACGTTTAGACTGTTTAAACTGTTTAGACTGTTTAGACTGAGGTTTGAACGTTCTTGCCTAATCTGGCTTTACTTTACTTGGCCTACAATCGGTTTTTAGAAATTCCTTGTTTATTCGAACTCTTGCCTGCTACAGGTGATGAAAATTCACTTTGATTTGAACTTTATGGTAAGGTCGCTAAAGTAAAAAAGCTAAAGTAAAGAAGTCAGAGTAACTGGCTTTCTAAGCACAACTTTTCAAAAAGTGTAAGCAAGAGAAGTCTAAACAGATTGCTTTCTAGTCTAAACAGGCTGCTTTCTAGTCTAAACAGTCTAAACTTATGAAAATTCAGATCTCTGGCTGTTTTCGTTCTCGTTTTCGTTTTCGTTTTCGTGAGTAGACACATAAAAATCAGAATTCCATATTTCAAGAAGTTTCCTGTCAATCTTTGTGCTTTTTTGTACATTGAAATTGAAAAATTGCTTAAATAGTTGCTCCCTTTATCAGTTTGGAGAAAGCTGGCGAAGAATTTCGAAATTTTGCCGACTCACCGCTCGAGATTCTCTGCGTCTCCGTGAGTTTTAAATCTTTCTTCTCCAGCTATATGAATCTAGGATCTCTAGCAGTCTGGTTTTTCTTTTCTTGCTTTCTCTTGTCTTTCTTTCTCTTTTCTTTCTCTTTTCTTTCTTTCTTTCTTTCTCTTGTCTTTCTCTTTTCTTTCGCTTTTCTTTCTTTCTTTCTCTTTTCTTTCTTTCTCTTTTCTATCTCTTTCTCTTTCTTTCTTTTTCTTTCTCTCTTCTCTTTCTTTAATTTCCCTGGTACCATTGATCTTTTCTGAGCTTTAAAATGTCTTGAACCCCAATCGTCTCTAAACAAATTCTATTCCTCTTCATGTACGCCAATCTCTTCGTTTCTCTAGGTGTTCCTCACCAAATCTATTTCTTTGCCTCTTGCTATATCTCTTGTCTCATTGCTTACTCTATAAGTCTCTCATTGCCTTCTATGATCAAGATCTGTGTCTCTTCACATCTCTATCAATCTAGATTCTCAGATCTCTCTAAATCCTCTCCTAACCTCTAAATCCTCTCCTAAACTTATGTGTCTTCCCATTTCACCAGATTTCTTTGATCTCTCTCTCACCAAATGGATTTCTATTTCTGTTCTCTCACCCCTTCCTCTTCTCCACACTTCTCTCTAACCTCTTCCACCCATTTCTCACCGATTTCTCTTCCCAACAAATCCCTAACCAGCTCTGTTTCTCCATCCCTATCATCGCCTCTTCCCATTTCTCTCACTCTCCACTTGTCCCAGTTCTTTTCTTTGCCTTTCCCATTTCTCCAATCTCTCCCCCATCCCTAACCAATCTGTACCTTCGCATACCCTTCCGCCTCCCCATTTCTCTCATCTCTTCCCATTCCATTTCTCTCTTCCTGGTGGGGACACAAAAACCGCGACGCGTTCCCCCACTCTCCGGTTGTTGTGTCGCGTCGCGTCTTTTCGGTAGTCCACCGATCGTTTAACTCCCCAAAAACACGTAGCCTGTCCTGTCTCCATTGCATACACACATTCCTCTATCTCTTTTTCTCACTTTTCCAATCGTTCCATTGACATAGACATCTGGTTGTATGCTGTGAGCATCATCATCGTTTTCACATCTCATCGATTAATCATTTGTTGCTTCGTTTCCTTTTTTTGCAATCAATCTTTTAATCAATCTTTGGTGACAATGTTGTCAAAGGAATTTTTGATAGATTTTGTCAAACCAATGACTTTCAAAGCTCCAATTTGTTCAAATAAACTTTCAATTGTTTAATAATTCGAAACTATTGCGTTAATTGTTTGATTCTTTGCTATTGTTTTAACTCTCAATACATCAAGAAACCTTTTCTTACATAAGCTTATGACAATTCTGATTTTTTTAAACCTTTTTAAACCCTTTTGAACCTTTCTAAACCCTTTTGAACCTTTCTAAACCTTTTTAAACCTTTCTAAACCTTTTAAACCTTTCTAAACCTTTTTAAACCTTTCTAAACCTTTTTAAACCTTTCTAAACCTTTTTAAACCTTTCTAAACCCTTTTGAACCTTTCTAAACCCTTTTGAACCTTTCTAAACCTTTTTAAACCTTTCTAAACCTTTTGAACCTTTCTAAAGCCTTTTGAACCTTTCTAAAGCCTTTTGAACCTTTCTAAACCTATTTAAAACTTTCTAAACCTTTTGAACCTTTCTAAAGCCTTTTGAACCTTTCTAAACCTATTTAAACCTTTCTAAACCTTTTGAACCTTTCTAAACCTTTTTAAACCTTTCTAAACCTTTTGAACCTTTCTAAAGCCTTTTGAACCTTTCTAAAGCCTTTTGAACCTTTCTAAACCCTTTTCAACCTTTCTAAACCCTTTTGAACCCAAGTTTATCCAAAAACATTGACCAATTTATCTTTGAATTCTCATTTTCCAGAAGATATTCAGCTTATGGAGGCTTTTCGTCAGACTTTATATCAAAAATCCCCTGTCAAATCTCCTGTTAAACCATTTTCACCCAAAAATTTGCTTCAACAACAATGAAACTTTAAAATTTGTTTAATTCAGCAACTTCTAAATTGATTCAAAAACGTTTGTTGCCCATTTTTTTAATAAGCTTGGATTTTTTAGATTTTTGACTAGATTTTCTAGATTTTTGACTAGATTTTCTGACTCTTTAAACCTTTCTAGAACTTCTCTGACTCTTTAAACCTTTCTAAAGCTTTTCTTGGACCAACTGACCATTTCGTTGACCCTTTGACCTTTCCCGAATTTCAGCTATAAAATCCAATCACTCAGAAATGTTATTCACAGCCTAATCTCATTTATTTGCGGTGCATCAGGTCAAACGACTCCGCCAAGTTTTTCTCTTCTTTTTCGAAAACTTATCAAACCTTTTCCCCCACTTTCCTCTTATCAAAATAAGCCTAAATCGAATGGAGACGATTTCCCGAATGTTTCCGTTTACCAGAAGAGATTTGAATAATTTTCCCAGCTCAATGTTGAAAAAGTTTTCAATTTACAATTATTGAGCGGTTTTTTTGATCGATTTTTGGATTAAAATAGAAATAAACGTAAAACTTATCTATTTTTTTTGTTTAGAAAAGTTTTGCTTTCAAATAAGGCTTTTCAAATAAGGCTTATCTTTTTTCAATCAATCAATCAATCCTTTTTCTCTATTTTTTTTTGTTCTGGAATGCTTTTTCGATTGGAATTTTGTAAAGTTTATTCAAATTGTCAATATTTCTTTCTTTTACTGAGATCTCCATTGATTGTCCATCCATTGATTGTCCATCCATTGATTGTCCATCCATTGATTGTCCATCCATTGATTGTCCATCCATTGATTGATTAACCCATTTGTCCATTGATTAACCCATTTGTCCATTGATTAACCCAACAGTCCATTGATTAGCCCATATAAAACAAAATAAAACAAAATTGCAATTGTGCATAGAATTAAAGTAAGAAAAAGTGAATTTTGAATGATTCAAACGGTTCAACTTACTTTTTGCTCCTAATTTCCACTCTCAAATGACTTAAAATTGACTTCAAATGACTTCTGAATCAAATTCCAACCACTCAAAACCAATAAAATCCTTTTCAGCTTAAGCTTTCACCTTTCAAACACCTTTCCTTACACAGTTTTTACTCAGTTTTTACCCAAATTTTGTTCTTTGATCATTTTTTGATGATTCTTTGATGATTTTTACTGTTATTGAGTCCGTTTTACTTGATTTCATTGACTATTTTGCCTATTTCATCTGACTATTTCAGACATCTGACTATTTCAATTGTTTCCAGTGTCATTCAAATTTTACAGCCCAATTTTTACCTTTCAAACACGCTTTTCTTCAGCAATTTTATTCCATAACAATACGAGTTTTGATCTAATTTTGTTCTGCAATGATTTCTACTTTTTTCCCTTCTTGTTGTTGATCAATTTCATGTGGTTGATCGAATTGAGTGCTCTCTTTTACAAATCTCAAAGCTGTTCACGGGATTTTCCGCCGATTATCCCCTCACTCTCTGAGTAATCGCATTTTGATGAAAATGTTTGGAAAATAACATTTTCCTAACTCTTAAACTACTTCTTCTCTTTTTCTTCTATTAGTATTTTCGAAATAACTTTCTCATTGATGTCTTTTATTGAAGAAATTTGATCCTTTCATGACTCAGAGCTCTAAGTTATTTAATTTCTGGTTAATTGGGGAAATTACCGTTATCTCTGCAATAGTATCGTCCACTAATGTCCAATAATGACGTAAAGTCGCGTAGTTGCTAAAGTAAATCATTCTTTCTAAAATAAACTGTTAATACCAAAAATTCTTCGCTTCAAGCGCTATCTTTTGAGCTCTAATCGCAAATTGTCGCGAAAGCAGCACTGAGAATCGAGCGTCACAAAATTGTGCTAAACTACGCGACTGTACGGCTACTATTACAGTTATTAGTTGTAAGCAGAGTACAATACCTGGCTAGTGGCCTATTAAAGTACAATAATCAGCTTAAAGGTGTTACTGATGTTCCAGCTGAGCCACCGGGTCCTAGCAGTCGTAGCCTAACAGACCTAGGCCTAGCATCTGATCTGATTCTAGGATCCGGTGGCTCCGGTGGATCCGGGGGCTCAGCTGGAACATCAGTAACACCTTTAAGAACATCTTAAAGATACTCTGACGCTGATAAGTTTGATTTCTTGCTCTTAGTTAACTCCCTCTGGATTGAGAGAGATCAAGTGCGTTGTGGTGTAATGGTTAGCGGAGTTGACAGTCAAGGAAAAGGTCGTGGGTTCGAGTCCTGGCGACGCACGAGTTTTTGATCTTTTCTAGTTCTTTACTAGTTTATAGTCTAAGTGACTAGAATTAAAAGAAAAGGGTGAATCTCGTTATCTCCCATATATAATCTCGAAATGTCAGGCCATTGGCAGGGTACCCAATGGCTTAGTGGCTAGTGCGCTCGCACCGAATCCGAGCGGTCCGGGCGAGATCATGGGTTCGAATCCGCTTCCGGTCAAATTTAGTTTTCTTTTTTTTCTTAAGAAACCTTTTCTTACCAAAAGCTCAAATCTAATAGAAATAACCTTTTTAAAATAAACTCGTGCTTTAGAAGACCATTTTAGCAAGAGATTTTCGACTGACAAAAGTTTAGAAATTATGCGCCCTTCCCAAATCAAGAGCGGGAAAAGAAACAGTGTCTAATTCCAAGCTTTGGAAGAAATTTTCAGCTTTCACGCATCTAGTTCAAGCCTTTTCACTAAATTCAAACAAATTCAAACAAAACCCTAAACTGTTGCAAACCACAAAGCGTTCTCTAGCAAATTAGCCCAAGAACATGAGAAAATAGAGAAGAAAAAAAGAAAAGAAAGAAAGAAAGAAAGAAGTCAGTGCACTTCTTTCCATCTCTCGACAAACAGGACCGTTGAGGACCGTCTCCTTTTCATCCCCAATTTCTCATCATCTTCACAATATTTCTAAGAATTCCAGAGTTGCTCTTGTCTCGGGAAGATCAGGGGGACTTCAAGGGAGGGGGGCACCGCTCTCCACACAACCACCCAATCCTCCCCCTTGTTCTACCACCTGATCGTAACTCTTCATTGATTGCTTTTAAGTCACTTTTTTTCATGTAAATGTATGATTACTTTTGTTTTTATCCTGTTTTTATCTTTTGATACGAAATCTTTGACTTAATCTAAATTACTTTTGACAGAAAAACTTTTTGATTATGGTTTAAAAGGTTTTCATTTATCCAAAACCAAAAAAAAAAGCATTCTATTATTATTCTAGTAGTAGTAGTAGTAGAATTCTAGTAGTAGACTCTCTAAAAGTTTTCTTGACTTCAAATTCAAATTCAATTCTCTTTTACTTGTCATTTTCTTGAAGAAGATAGATCGTTATCCATTAAACCATTAAAAATTGATTTTGCGCCAAAAACTTTTGATCTAATAGCAAAGCGTCAATCTAATAGCAAAGCAATCCATCATTTCAATCCAGCATTTCAATCGCTCACTATCTTTCCATTGCTTTAGATCTAATCTAACACCAATACAGTTTTTCGGAGCTAAACTCTGTTACCTACTGTTATGCATATTCGTTCATCAAGCGTTCCCATTTTTCGTTTCCCTCTTTTCCATATCACTCCTCTTTCACGTGTTTTTCATTACTATGTATTGCTTTTCTGCTTTTCTGCTTTTCTTTTCTCCTTTTCTCCTTTTTCCCTTTCACCCCCGCCTTTTCTCTTTTTTTTATTTGTCAGCTGATCGGCTGTTGTTCGTTGATCGATTTAATACGCTTTTGAAATTCGAAACTTGTAAATTAAGCTTTTTTATGTAGTAAAACAAATACAATAACGATAAAATGCCTGTAACGGACTGACAGACGGACTGACAAACGGACACTTGCCTTTTATATATAGTGACCAAGCTTAAAAGCTATTTTCAAAATAGCTTTTTAAGCTTTAGTTTGTTTAGAAAAGTTGTAAGCCGGTTTTGTTTATGTTCTCTGAGCATTCTCCTTATTTTCTAAAGTAACTCAATTGTTTTTAGTCTAAGCCTTGGCCGCAGGTTACAATTTTCGTTGTTTAAAGAATTGAGTAGCTATTGTGCTTGATCTTTTTTCGAAATCTTTCCTAAAAAGAGGTTTATCCTCATGCTAAATCCATTGATAACACTTTTGATCATAGAGTTTCATTTTTTTAATGCTTTTGTTGTCCATTAGCTGTCCATTAGCTGTCCATTCTGTCTATCACTGTCTATCACTATTCATTAGATCATTAAATCAATTAGATCAATTCAAATCTTACAATCAAATCCTGTGATCTTCTTTCATGGACTGGTAGTGGAAATAATGGAGGTTCAAGATTTGAACCCATGGCCTACCGCTTACCGGGGTAAACCGCTATGGCCTGGGTAAGAGGCCGCCATGACCGGATGGTCAAGATGACCCTATGGCCGAGGGGTAAGAGCCCGGTTTCTTAGTCGAGAAGGTCGAGGGTTCAACCCCGTCGGCTACTTTTTTTCCCGGATATCGGTTTTTTTCTTCGCTAGGTGCCTCTAGGGCTTAGGCTTAGGGCACAACTCCAGCAACACAAGCACAACTCCAACGAGTTATACTTGTGTTGATGTTCATGTCAATGAATCTTAATGTTATTCATGTGAATGTATAAACGCTTTAACACATTGAGCTAAGCGAAACGAATCCTAATCAGGTTTGGTTCAACTCAAAGAATGAGTCTTTGAGTTTTGTTTTTAAGCAGACAATCGATGGCCACTCAAATTCCAGCTAAGTCTAGTCCCAAGAAAACGAACATTTTTAGATAAATGGGTGGAAAAGGAGGAGAAAAGCTGTTGCTCAGTCTGCTCCAGTATTACAACCGTTCGTCGGTGCAGAAAGAGATCCCGAGATGAATCCTTTCTTTTCCCCTTCCGCCAATCATCTTGTTCTCATCGATTCACCCATTCTGTTCCCTTTTTTCCATTTTCTTCGTCATTTCCGATAGCTCTCACTTTTTGCACTCGCTGGAATTTTTATTTCGCAAACTTTGACTCAAATCGATCGGAAGCTGTTGTGGATTTGATTTTTTAACTGAATCAATCTTGAGCCTTGGATATTGAGCCTTGAATATTGAGCCTTGGATATTGAGCCTTGAATCTTGAGCCTTGGATATTGAGCCTTGAATCTCGAACCTTAAAGCTTAAGCCTTGAATCTTGAATCTTAGATCTTGAGGCTTGAATCTTGAATCTTAAATTCTAAGCCTTGAATCTTGAAATTCAAACAATCGACAAGCTTTACTGCTTTACTTAAAGCTTTACTGTTTTATTTATAGCATAAGAAAAAGTAAAACTTGTTTATTTACAGCTTTTGAAAAAAAAAGCAAAACTTGTTTGTTTCCAACTTCAGAAAAAGTAAATCTTGTTTGTAAACTTGTAAACAAATCTTGTTTGTAAACTTTAAAACATCAAAACTAACATCTCATTTCGAAGTTGATCCCTTTTTTCGAAAGTTTTGTGCTGAAAAAAAAGCATTCTTCAAATCTAATTACTTTTTGTTTACTAATTACTTTTCGATTTTTGTTTTTGTCCTTCTTTGTCAACAATCCCATCAACAATCCATCAATTTTTTTTTTCAGTTCGGAGCCCTTTTGGAATCTGATGCTCTTTGCGTAAACAACTCCTTAAAAACGGCTTCCGGCTCAACAAAGGTTTGTTGATTGTTGTAAATTAATGATTTGACTTGATTTTGATTCCATTTTCGTCTCATTTTCATCTCATTTTCGTCTCATTTTCGTCTCATTTTCATTCCATTTGACTTACACTACTGGACAATGAAATATCATATTTGAAAAACACTTTCGCACTTTCGCGCGTCTGTAACTCCCTTGTCTTTATCATATTTCTAAATATTAATATTACCATTGTGTAGCCCTTGAAAAGAGCTTTCAGAAAATGTATAACACTAATAGTTTAAACTCAAAGACAAGGGAGTTATAGACGCGCGAAAGTGACGATCGTATTTTCAAATATCATATTTCATTGTCCAGTACTGCACGTATTTTACGTACTTTACGTCTTTACGTACGTACTTTACGTCTTTACGTACGTACTTTACGTCTTTACGTACATACTTTACGTCTTTACGTACGTACTTTAGTCTTTATGTATCAAATCCGAACTTCCAATGTTAACTCAATCTTCCGTATTGCTTAAATTCTCCTGTCTTTTACAGACGCGCGAAAGTGCGAAAGTGGTTTTTCAAATATGATATTTCATTGTCCAGTACTGAAATTGTCAACTTTTGAAAGTTTGGAAACTTTTGAACTTCTCGAATTGCAGGTCTCCCGCAAGCGGATGGCCCCGGCTCTTGTAGCTCCTCCTCTACGCTCTGGAAAGGTTTAAACCGTTTTTCAATCGTTATATTTTATATTATAGCGTTAGCTATTAGCTTTATATTATAGCGTTAAGTTAGCTGCTCGTTGAAGTAAAATTCAAACGAATCTAAAGAAGTTACCACTAGCAAAAGCACAATGCTAACAGAAAAGCACTAAAACACAATTCGAATACTAAGAAAAAGAGTTAGATCAAAGCTAGGCTTTCATTTTTAATTTTTTGAGAAATTTTGAGGAATCTAGAATTAGATTAGTCTTAAATTTGAACAATTTGAAGTTTACCCAATCTTTTTTTGGACTAATCTTTTTTGAGCACTCAAAACTCTTCTCCTTAAACCCTAAATCTCATTGACGTTCGAGTCGAATCATATCTTCGAAATGAATCAGCTGTTTTAAAAGCTGTTTCGTTAAAAGATTCTTTCTTTTCAGTGACTTTATTGATTTTTCTTTAAAATACCCATAAGATATTGCTTTTTATGAAAAATTTTGAACGCTTTTCAGGACGCAAAAATGGACATGACGGCTCCGGTTGGAATTGTTGGCGATCCCTATGTGGTGGGTTTTCAAAAGGGTGGAAAAGAGTAAAATTAACAGTAAAGATAACGAAAATTGAATTGAATCTAGCCAAAAAGTCGGTTAGACTTCAAGAAATAGAAAGAAAAGGGTTGAGAACGATTTGTAAGCATTTCTAAGCTCATCTCGAAGCTGATCTCAATTCTAAACTGATCTTGAAGTTGATCTCGAAGCTGATCTCATTTCTAAGCTCATCTCAAAGCTGATCTCATCTCTAAATTGATCTCGAAGCTGATCTCAAAGCTCGTAGTCAATAAAGAAAAGCTTTAAAAGACGTCTATTCTAGAAAACTCTAGAAAAATCCGATTTTAGAGTACGATTTTGAAGTCCGATTCTAGAAAAGTCCGATTTTAATACATTCAAAGCCTCAAAAACAGTCAATGAAACGAAAATTGAAATGATCAAAGTTTAAACTCCCATTTCGATCACTTTATCTTTCTGAAACATTTACTTTTCAAGAAAGAATTTAGCTAGAAGAATCTAAGTGTTAAAGTTTAGCTAGAGGTTCTAATTTAGAGAATTTAGCTAGAGGAATCTAATCTAAGTGTTAAAGTTTTGCAAATCAAGAGATTCAGATTGAATCATTTGTCTAAAAGTCATTTAGTTTAGCCTATAGCTATTCAAAAAAATAGTATACTTTATCAAAATCAATTGTGAAATGAAGTAAACTGTAAACTCTGTCAATTGTATTAAATAAACTCTATCATTTGAACCAAGTAAACTATTAATATTTAACTCTATTAATATCCAAAAAAAAACTGCGTACTTTGGTGTCACGAGTAGCGTAAAGAGAACAACTCAAGGAGAGGACACAACTGGATTCTGGCAAGCAAAAGAAAACGAAAAAACCAGTCTCGACAAGAGATTTGTCAAGGATTTACCAGAGAAAATTGCTAAGATAAAGAGAATAGATTGAAGAGAATAGATTGAAGAGAAAGTTAGTGAAAAGAGAAAAGAGAAAATGAAAAAGTGAATACTCAAGTAAAAGAGAGATTCACAAGGATGATTTTTGGATTTTTGGAAATTTTTTTGCAAAAGAAAATCAGAGAAAATCATTGACGCTATTTTTATTTCGAAAAAGAGTTCTCGTTTCTCAAAACAACTCACTTTTCTTATCAAATCTCTATCTGCCAAATCGATTCCTAAATTCGCGTTTAAACCTAGAATTTTGCTATTAGCAATCTTACTCTATTTTGCTATTTCGCTATTAGCAATCTGAGCAATCTTACGATTAGCTTTCTGCTTAGATCAAGAAAGAGAACTTCCAACTTCTTTAAAAGATTCTTGTTCTTCACGAGACTTAATTAGTTTGGGAGTGGAACAAATGCGAGCTTTTTTGCGCACCCGGACATTTGCGCACCTTTTTTTTTCCGCACCTTGCCCATTAGGGCACCTTTTTCCGCACCTTGCCCAGCAAAAAAGCTCTAAAAAGCTAATATTAACCAATTTCTATTCCAAAAGTTGTTTTTCTGTTTTTCTAGGTAATTTTAGGACGTAGAATCGAAATTTTGACATATCAGAGCTTGTGAAAACAAACGGACGGAGTTATACAAAGAGAAAAATCCACAATCCCATTTCTCTAACTTGATCTAGCCGTTTTGTTTTTCAAATTGGTTCCACAAGCTCTGTTATGTCAAAATTTGAATTCGACACCCTCAAATTACCTAGAAAAACAACTTTTGGAATAGAAATTGGTTAATATTAGCTTTTTAGAGCTTTTTTTGCTGGGCAAGGCGCGGAAAAGGTGCGCTAATGGGCAAGGTGCGGAAAAAAAGGTGCGCAAATGTCCGGGTGCGCAAAAAAAGGTCGCATTTGTCCCACTCCCATTAGTTTTATTGTTAAATCACCACTTTTCTTAGTCTTACTGATTTCATTTTTAAGCTCAACTCACTAAGAGCTTTGTATTTCCTCTTTCTTTTCTGGTGAGAAGATACTTCATTGAATTCATTGAATTCAGTGCATTCAATAAGATTCCCGGAATTTAACCCAATCTTTCCAAACCTACGACTAATTATTTGGGATTTGCAAAAGATTTTCAACCTTTATCTCAATCCGAGATATCTCTATATCTCAACCCATACCCTTTTCCCCCTCTAGAAAACCTTTTCTTCAAGAAAATCCTCAAATTTCCCACACTAAACTCTTTATTTCTCAAAAAAAAAGCCACTGTTTCCCGTCTTTTCAGTCGTCAGTCGATGTTTTTCAGTCGATGATCTCTTTTTTTTCAATCTTGCTAACTTTTAGCTTTCTATAACTCTTTTCTTTTGCTTTTTTTCCAATTTCTCTCCAAAATCTTCACATCTTTGAGTCGATTTTCCCGCCTTTTTTCACTTTTCTCACAGAGAAATGTGTAAAATTTCTCGTTCAGCCAGTTGTCACAACCCAACCTGGAAAACCTGGAAAAGGGAAACTTTTCACTTTTTCTCTCCACTTTTTCTCTCCACAACTTTTTCTTTCATATATCAGCAGTTTCTAAGCGAATTTCTCTTGTTTAACATAGCAAATTGAAAGGTTTATGCGAGAATTTTGCATTTCTTAAACATTTCTTAAGCATTTCTCTTTGAAGGATCTCTTTGAAATGAGTTGAAATGAGTTGAAATCAAGTTTCGATCAAGTTTTGATCAAGTTTCGATCAAGTTTCGATCAAGTTTCGATCAAGTTTCGATCAATTTCGATCAAGTTTCGATCAAATTGAGGCCAAAAAAAATGCTCAAATAAAAACTGAGATACTAAAAACGAACTTCGTAATAAGGAACCAAATTTAGAGAGACCGCGAACCAAATTTAGTAATAAGGAGCCAAATTTATCAACTTCAATTCACAAACGAAAACACATTGCAAGAGAAATATTCAATTTGATAATAAAAAAAAGAATTAGGTCAATTGATTGACTCTTCGCTAAGCTGGAGATTCTTTTGAATTGAGTGCGGGTAATTGTGCTCTGTAGAATGTAGAATGTCAAATCTAATCGAAATCGAAATCTACATTCTACAGAGTGGCGCACAATTACCCGCACTCAATTCAGAGGAATCTCCAGCTCAGCGAAGAGTCAATCAATTGACCTAATTCTTTTTTTTTTGCTATAGCTTTCGAATCAAAGTTTTGTTTGAAAAGTTTGATTGAAAAGTTTCGGATTGAAAGTCACAAATTATTTCATTTTAAAGAATTTACTTTATAAAAGCTTTATTGTATTGATTAGAGACTGTACAAAGAAGGCAAAGAATTTAAACGCAAAAATTTTCAGCCAGCCGCAAGTGTCGGTGGCTGGGACCCGCAATTGGGTCGAAACGTCGCCTACGCTGTGCCGCCCGGATATCAGCCGGCTTTCCCGGCAGCTGAGCACAATTTTCAGGTAATTTTCTGCTTTCTGACTATTTTGGACTATTCTCTGTAAAGAAATTATGGTTCTTGCGTAGTTTCCGGGCATTTTTGAAAGAATCCCGGGTATTTGAAAAAATCCGGGTATTTTGAACGAGTCGTCACACTTTGAAGGCCTATAACTTTGTCTAGAGATCATATCTTTGTTAACGCTTTATATCATTGGACAGAGCACCTTTCAGGCTTTCAAATGATACCAAATAGAGCTTGACTCGATTTTTCATTCCCATGCAAACAAGGCGAAACGACACCCGAGTTGCATAGGCCTCATTTGCTCAGAGTTGGCTCTGACTTTCTTGGGCCTGGTTGTCCAATCAAGTTCGATTTGGTATCATTTAAAAGCCTGAAATGTGCTCTGTCGAAGGATATAAGGAGTTAACAAAAATATGATCTCTGAACAAAGTTATAGGCCTTCAAAGTGTGATGACTCGTTCAAAATACCCGGATTTTTTTTTAATATTCGGATTTTTTCAAAAATACCCAAAAACTACAAAACCAAGAGCCAAATTCTATTTTAAGCCTTAAAAAGAGGAAGTTAATTCAGCAGATAGTCATCAAATTTCAGCAAATCCTTGCGCCAAATCCGCAACAATACTACTCAATTGCTCAGCCCGGTCAGCAAAGAGCGGTGAGTTTTATGAAATTTGTTCTTTGTTCTTTGTTCTTCTTTTCCTCTTGGAAACATACTCTTTCTGGCGCACAGGCGGAGAGATTAGTGGGCCAGAAGGGTGTTTTTCTTAAGTACAAAGTACACAAGTCGATTTGCTCATCGAAAATGTCTTGAAAATCGAGATATTATCCACGTTTTGGTCTCGTTTTTTTGCTAATAATGAGTACATTTTGTAGAATTATTTAAACAAGTGAATAGGGAAAAGAAAAGAAGAAAACAATGTTTGTACAGCACACAGCTCATCCCGTGCCTTTTCTCTTGACTTTCCCACAAAATCATCAATTGAATGTGAGGGGAAATTTTTAGCTAAAGGGGATTTGCATAGAAAAGAAACTGAAACTGAAAAAGATTTAAAGATTAAAGATTAAAGATTAAATCTGAGAATGAAATCTGAAATTTCAATTGATCTATGTAAAACGATCTACCGTAAATACTGTAATAGTACCCCACCGCCCTTGTACAGTCGCGTAGTCGCTATTAGCAATCTGAGCAATCTTACTATTAGCTTTCTGCTTAGATCAAGAAAAAGAACTTCCAGCTTCTTTAAAGATTCTTGTTCTTCACGAGATTTAATTAGTTTTATTGTTAAAACACCGCTTTTCTTAGTTTTACTGATTTCATTTTTAAGCTCAACTCACTAAGAGCTTTGTATTTCCTCTTTCTTTTCTGGTGTGAAGATACTGGATAGCTCAGTGGTTAGAGCGTCGGCCCGGAAAGATCGGGAAGGAAGCAAAGTGCTCGGAAAGGAAGCAAAATGGCTCAATCCCCTTTTCTTACTGTAAATACTGTAATAGTACCCCAGCGCCCTCGTACAGTCGCGTAGTCGCGTAGTCGCGTAGTTTTTAGTATTTCATTTTTTTTCAAAGCACCCGTACTTTCAAAAAATGCGTCTTTGGTATCAAAAAATAGCCCTGAATTTCAGCTATTTTTTGACACCTCAGCGCGCATTGTAGCATAAACTTGTGTCGAGAAAAACGCGTCCAAAGCTAGACCCACCCAACACTCCGCATCGTCATTATGGGGGTGGGGCACTATTACAGTATTTACGGTATGTAGATTGATTTAATTATGCAAATTTTAGGGTGACAAGCAGTACGCTTTCACGATGACACCCGATCAGCTGAGGAATCCACCAAGAAATGAGGTTTGTCATTAGGAAAAGAGATTTCAAATCCTATCTTTCAAATACAACACTTGAACATTGAAGCCTCTCAATCTTAAAATTAAGATAGACAAGTTAGACAAACGGGTCGAACTTGTCTATATACAAGCTTCTCAGCTGATCCGGTGTCATCGTGAACGACAATAAATACTTTCAGGTGGTGCGCCCGAGTCGACCAATTTACCGAAACCCGGCCGAGGCTCCTTTGCGGAAATTGACCGTCGATCTCATCAAAACCTACAAGAATATCAATGAGGTAAAGTTTGAAGAATTTTTTAAGAATGAAAAAATGATTGAAAATTGAAATTGCTTCAATACAGAGTTTTTCTAATCAAAAAAAAAGAGTTATTTAATTTGCGCGGGGTAAAAAAGGATTTCATTTCAAGAGCTCAATTCCCGAGCCAATCCATAACTTTTTTAGAGTTTCACAACAGTGAAATGGTTTTTATTATAATAATAATAATAATAATAATAATAATAATTCTTATTATTATTATTATTATTATTATTATTATTATTATTATTATTATTATTATTATTATTATTCTTATTATTATTATTATTATTATTCTTATTCTTATTATTTATATTTATATTTATTCCATTTATTACTATAACCTAAAAAAAGCTTGTCAATTTTACTTCCAAAAACTGTTTTGAATAGAATAGAACCAAAAAAGGACTTTATTATAAATCCAATTTTTTTGCCGTAAATGTTATGAGTTTTGTGGACAATGTGAAGCTTTTTATGAAGCAAATAAGTCTCTTAAAAAGAAATATGGATCGATTTGCGAAATTGAACCCTTCTACCATGGGTGACTTGTCATTTTTCGAGTTTTCCGATGATCAGATGATCTAAAAATGATCAAATGATCTAAAAATGATCAGACCACTCAATTTTTAGCTCCACTTTCAACCTTTTTAAATGAAATTTAAACGATTTTAAACGGTTTTAAATGAATTTGAACGAATTTGAGCCGATTTGATCGAATTTGAGCCGATTTCAGCCGATTTGATCCAATTTGAGCCGATTTGATCGAATTTGAGCCGATTTTAGCCGATTTGATCCAATTTCAGCCGATTTGATCGAATTTGAGCCGATTTCAGCCGATTTGATCCAATTTACATAACTGGTAGACTATTTTTGTCAAAAACAACCTTGTTTTCTTTTGAAAATCCTCAGTTTACCCTTCTTTTTTAGCTTAAATTATAGCCATAAACTAGTAAATTGGTGTCTAAAGGAAAACCCAAACCGAAAATCTGACTCAAGTAGAATTGGTTATCTCGTTCCGTAAAGCATTCCATTGATCGACTGTGCTTTGGAGTCTTTGGGTGATAAAATCACAAGTTTCTGAAGATTCTGATGAAGTTATCAAGTTATCAGAGTTTCTTAATAAAATCTTTGCTTTTTCGCAATTATTTTTAAAGATCAATTTGAAAAATTTGCTTTTGTAGTAGCAAGCTGTTGAAATGCGAACTTTTTAGCATGCTTATCCAACAGATACACGTCCCGCCCCTTTTGTCATTGGCAATCTAACTTTGAGCTCAGATATTTTGGCTTTCGGCTGTTCAATTGAAATATTCTTTGGATCATTAGATGTGCCAAGTCTTTCTCTATCGATTGGTACAAAAACTATCGAAATTGGACCAACCAACACCAAGAAATTTGAGCTCGAAGTTAGCGCAGCCCACCCCTTTTGCCATTTCTAACTTTGAGCTCAAATATCTTGGTGTTGGGCTGTTCAATTTTAATCTTCTTAGTATCATTAGATGCGTCAAGTCTTTCTCTATCGATTGGTACAAAAACTATTTAAATTGAACGACTCAACACCAAGATATTTGAGTTCAAAGTTAGATTGCCGATGGCAAAAAGGGGCGGGCGGTCCCACAATCTTTTGGCATTAATTGATACGTGATGAGAGGTAATTTTGAAGATCTAAGATAATCTAAATCAAAAACCTAAGCAAAGCTTTAGTTTATTTGTTCAATTCGGAAACTTTTTGCACGAAAATCTCGGGGAAAAGGTGATAAAATCGGGGAAATATTTGCCGCCTGAACCATTCCCCATTTCATTCATTTTTTCCCATGAAAAGTTGACTCTGAAACCCTAATACTCTCTCTCATTAAATGTGCGAAAAGAAAAAAAGAAATAAAATCAATTGGAGAAATGGAGATTTTCCGGTACTTTTCCTGATCATATGAGAGAGATTTCAACTTTCTTTTTCCCGCGAAAACAAGCCAGTTGTTGAAGTGATCAGTGATTTTTTGCTGATAATTTGCTTTAGATTAAGCTAATTCAAAGTTTTTTCATAGATTTTGTAACAATAAGTTGAAATTTTCATTCGCTTTTGACGTTTCTTTTGGCTCATCGGTGGACGGGCCATCTTTTGGTCCATCCACCGCACTCACTAGATGATTTGGCCCATCCCCCGCAATCACTAGATGATTTGGCCCATCCCCCGCAATCACTAGATGATTTGGCCCTTCTCCCGCAATCACTAGATGATTTGGCCCTTCCACCGCACTCACTAGATGATTTGGCCCATCCCCCGCAATCACTAGATGATTTGGCCCATCCCCCGCAATCACTAGATGATGGCCCCCCCCACCCAGATGATTTGGCCCCCCCCCATCACTAGATGATTTGGCCCATCCCCCGCAATCACTAGATCATTTGGCCCTTCCACCGAACTCACTAGATGATTTGGCCCTTTCACCGAACTCACTAGATGATTTAAAGTTTCAATTTCCTCTGTTTACAATATTCAGACGATAAGACGGATAGTTTTTGTTTGATTTGAAAGAAGAAATCTTGAAAGCTGAAAGTGCATCTAACGTCACCAGACATTAAACGTGCTTTACCGTTGCTAAATGAAGTCTTGACATTTCAAGCTGTTAAATCTCTCTGTTGAAAATAGCGATTGAACTATGAACTAGTTGTTGAAGCTATTAAGAAAATAAATGTACCCACTGGGCACTAAAATGAGTCTGAAAAACTTCTAGAAACTGTTTTTTGAGCTCAAAGACTTATAGACTAGTTCTAAACGAATGTAAGATTAAGTGAACAATCACAAGTGTAAGTTGAACTATGCCTCGTGGCTCAGTTAAACTATGCCTGAGCCTAAGCCTAAGCCTAAGTCTTCCCTAGTAAGAACCTAGCCTAACGCCTGGCTTAACATGATCTGGCTTTGCTTTTGGCTTTGCTTTTGATCTGGCTTAGTCTATGAAAAGATAGCCTAGTAAAATCAGGTAACTTTCCTGGTCCTAAGCCTAGTAAAGTCAGGTAACTTTCCTGATCTAACGTCTGCTGGCCTGGTCAAGCTTTGGTCCTGGATCAGAGATCAGAACCGTGGCCCTGGCTCTGGCGTGATTCTAATCCTAATCCTATTTCTTCATTTCAAATTCAAACAGACATTTCATACCCATATCAATAAGCGTCTAAACAGCTTAACGGCTTCAACAATAAGCTAGATCTGTCCAAGAATTGCTATCTGATTTGTCTGATTTGTTGAATCTGATTTGCTAGATCATCTCCAGAAAATTTAGGGTAATTTCACTTTTTCGGGTGTTAAATTGAAAGAGAAAGAGAGTGAAAGATCAAAAAAAAAAAAGACAATGTCTCATTTTAAGGCATTGAATGGGATAGAATGACAAAAAAAGCCCTTAAAGAGTCCTCTATCCATTCCTTTTTTTATTCCTTTTCTGCATTTGGGTGTCTCCTTTCAAATAATCCGGCCAATTCGGTGATCATTGCCCAAATTTCCTGCTCATTTTCCCTTTATTTCCATAAAAAGCGGCTCAGCTTTTGCGTAAACTAGAGCAAAATCAGCTTTTAACTCTTTCTTTTTCTTTTTTCTCTTTTTTTTTTATAAAATTTGAGATCAAGATTGAGTGATTTTGCAGAAAAAATGATTCATAAATCATTAAAACTTTTAATTTTCGGTAGAAATTCAAATTTTTTGATCATTTTTTGATCATTTTTCGACTCTACAACTTCTTTAGACTACAATTATGATTAGAAATATTGAGATTTGTGAATTGAGTCTCATTTTCTGTTTTTTTGGTTTAATGATGATTGAATTTTATGAGAAATAACAAAATTTGATTTTCTACTTTTTTGCTTTAGCAATAATGCTTTAACAATAGTGCTTTAGCAATAGTGCTTTAAGAATAGTGCTTTAGCAATAGTGCTTTAAGAATAGTGCTTTAGCAATAGTGCTTTAAGAATAGTGCTTTAGCAATAGTGCTTTAAGCCTTTTCCCTCTTCCTCTCTCTTCTTCTCTCCCCTCTTCTTTTCCTTTTTTTCTTTCTTTTTTTTTTTTTTTTTTTTTATTTTTTTTTTTTTTATTTTTTTTTTTTTTTTTTTTTTAATTTTTTATTATATATTTTTTTTTTTTTTTTTTTTTTTTTTTTTTTTTTTTTTTTATATTTTTTATAAATAAAATTTTTTATTTTTTTAAAATTTTAAAATTTTTTTTAAAATTTTTAAAATTTTTTATAATTTTTTATATTTTTTTTTTTTTTTTTTTTTTTTATTTTATTTTAAAAAAAAAAATTAAAAAAAAAAAAAAAATTTTTTTTTTTTTTTTTTTTAAAAAAAAAAAAAAAAAAAAAAAAAAAATTTTTTTTTTTTTTAATTTTTTATATATTTTTTTTTTTTTTATATTAAAATTTTTTTTTTTTTTTTTAATAAATATTAAAAAAAAAAAATTTTATTTTTTTTTTCTTTTTCCAATTATTTTTTAATAAAATAAAAAAATTGTAGTTTTAGGAATTTCTGGGTAGAAAAATGGGCAAAATGGGGAAAAAGGGGAATAATTTTTGAAATTGTTGAGCCTTTTCAGTCTGATTTGATCCTTTTAATAGATAGATCTTCCAAATCCCTAATTTTCATGTACTTTGTGCTCGAAAATGGAAATAAACCCTTTCTAGCCTACTCGCTACACTTTTAAAGCAATAAAGCTTCTAAGAAAAGTTAGCTTGAGGCTAGGAAAGCTACGTTTCCAAGCACTTATTCACTTACCAAAGTCTTTCATTCATGTGCTTTGTGCTGATGAAAACAAGCTCTTCCTCTTCCTATTGCTCTTCCTCTTCCTATTGCTTTTCCTAGTCCTCTTCCTAGTCCTCTTCCTAGTCCTCTTCCTAGTCCTCTTCCTAGTCCTCTTCCTAGTCCTCTTCCTAGTCCTCTTCCTAGTCCTCTTCCTAGTCTTCTTCCTAGTCTTCTTCCTAGTCCTCTTCCTAGTCCTCTTCCTAGTCCTCTTCCTAGTGCTCTTCCTAGTCCTCTTCCTAGTCCTCTTCCTAGTCCTCTTCCTAGTCCTCTTCCTAGTCCTCTTCCTAGTCCTCTTCCTAGTCCTCTTCCTAGTGATTCCCGATGCTTTAGCTTTTAATGAAGAATTATTGTGCCAGGAAGATGTGTTTCTGTTTTAAGCACAAAGTTTACTTTTAGCTTTAATCTTTACCTTTATTCTTTATCTTTAATCTCTATCTTGAATCTCTATCTTTAATCTTTATCTTTAATTTTGATCTTTAATCCCTATCTTTATCTTTAAATCTTTAATCTTTATCTTTAAAATTCGATAAACTTAGCTTTCTATCATCAAATCTAATCTTCAAAATCCTCAAAAAAAACGCCGTTTTTCCAACCCAATCACTTCACGAGGAAATCGAAATTTTTGAGGAGCAAAAGCCCGAGGGTAAATCCCATTTAGGGGAAAAAGAAAAAGGGGATTTTTTTGTGAGAAATTTTTTTTTCCCTGACAAGACAACCGAACTTTTTTTTGGCTCTTTCGCGAATTCTGATTCGCTCTTTCTTTTTGAAAAAGCCCATTCGTTTTCCCCTTCTTGAGCACTTAAAAGAAAGACCTTTTCCTCCCTTAAAAGCCTAGAAAAGAGTTTTTTTAATGTTTTCATATGAATGGCTTTTAAACAATCAACGGTTTTATCAATTTTTATCAATTTTTATCGATTTTTCTTAGCAAAATCATCCTTTAAAAGCTTTAGATTTCAGTGAAACCTTTAGTTTTCTGTTTTCTGCATTTTAAATGCAAATTCAATGCAGTAATTGAGTGGAGAATTGAAAAGTTTAGTTGTTTTAAATGCAAATTTATCTTTTCAATCATCAATACTCCTTAAATGATGATCCTTTTACAGTAATCTTTGTCTAGGTCTACCGTAATCTTGTGTTCTTTGTGCAAAACTGTAAACAACCCCAGCACACTGGATTCATTTAACCATTGAGTCTTATTCTTGTTTATTTTTGTCACACTTCCAAGGAAAAGGCACCAGGTCAAGGTGGCCTTTCAAAATGAAACCCATTGTACCTATTAGATTCGGGGCCAATTTGGTTCCGATTTGGTTCCGATTCAAATTCGGGGCCGATTCGATTCAAACTCAGGACCGATTCGGTTCTCAATCCGTTTCCATTTGGTTCCCATTCCGGGCCGATTCGGTTCCCATTCGGTTCCCATTCGGTTTCCAATCGGTTTCCACTCGGCGTCGATTCGGTTAGCATTCGATTCCCATTTGGTTCCCATTCCGGGCTGATTCCGTTGCCATTTCGGACCGATTCGGTTACCATTCTTTCCCATTCCGGGCCGATTCGGTTCCCATTTAGTTCCTATTCGGTTCCCATTCGATTCCCATTCCGGGCTGATTCGGTTACCATCCTTTCCCATTCCGGGCCGATTCGGTTCCCATTTGGTTCCCATTGGGGGCCGATTCGTTCCCCAAAAGGTTCCTATTCGGTTACCATTCTTTCCCATTCCGGGCCGGTTCGGTTACCGTTCGGCTCCCATTGGGGGCCAACTCGGTTCCCATTTTGGTCCCATTTGGTTCCCATTAGGTTCCCATTAGGTTCCCAGAATAGAACTTTTTACGCTGATTCTGAATCCGGTTTTAGTTTCTCCAGCCAAGCTCTGTAACGTGAGATATTTGGCATACAAAAATTGACCCCGATTCGTCTATGCTTAAAAGCTTTCTTTATCGTTCCCCAATTTATCTTTATCGTTCTTTATCGTTCCCCTTTCTTTATCGTTCTCGTGGCGCAGTGGATAGTGTGCTAGCCCACGGTTTTTTTCAGATTTTTCAAACGTCGAGTTCAAATCCCCATACTGCCAATTCTTTCAGAAATTTCAGAAACTCTTTCTTCCAGAAACGATCAGTGTCGAAAAAAATGGAGAATATATAGAGAAAATAAAAAAGATAGAGAATTTCGTGCGCTAGAAGGGGTGCGTTTGTAGATTTAAGCACGGTGCACGAGAAAATGAACAATATAGACAAGAAAAGGACACCGAATTGTTCAAGCTTTAACAAGTATGCTAGAAAGTAGGCTAGAAAGAGTGTGTTTCCATTTTTCGCTACAAAGTATACGTTAAAATTGATTCTTAGTTATATTTCTAACTTTCTAGTCTTTCAATCCTTCACAAAATCGATTCCATTAAATGCTTGGCATTGTTTATGTTATGCCCTTCCTCTAAAAGGCCTCTCTTGAGCTGAAGTTTGTTGTAGTTCTCTAGAAAATCTATCTAAATTTTCAATTTCTCTAGCTCTATCTATTTATCTAATTTCCATTTCAATTCTCCTTTTTGAATCAATTTTCTCGAACATTTTGGGGAAAGGATTTGAAAGAAAGCCGGGGACACATCTGCTCTCTTTTGAGCGACATTGAATAGGCACTCTTATAGTCAGTCAATCGAGCTTCTTTCAAAAAGTCTCATATTATCCACTGGAGTTTTATTGATTAAGTCCAGATTCTAAAATTCAATGTCAAACTTTTGATGGAATTATTAAAATCTAGCTCAATTGCAAGCTCAATCTCAGCTTCTTCTAGGCCAGCTTGACTGGGAATTTCTGGGAAGTTTTGGGTAGTTCTGGGAAGACTGGGAAGACTGGGAAGTTCTGGGAAGTTCTGGGAAGCTCTGGGAAGTTTTGGGAAGTTCTGGGAAGACTGGGAAGACTGGGAAGTTCTGGGAAGCTCTGGGAAGTTTTGGGAAGTTCTGGGAAGTTCTGGGAAGTTCTGGGAAGCTCTGGGAAGTTTTGGGAAGTTCTGGAAAGACTGGGAAGTTCTGGGAAGTTTATTCAAACTTTTCAAGATTTAAGGACATTGAATTGAAAAAGTTTAAGACAAATTTGAATTTGTTAAAGATAAAATAGCTAGCTGATGGGTTTACATTGACTTTTGATCACTTCTTTCGGTTCAAAGTCATTTCCAGATCGTTCCCAGATTTCATTTCCAGATCCAATGCTTTCCAGGTTTTATTCCAAGCTTTAGAAAGCTAAAACAGCTCTCTTTAAAAGCATTTGATTGGCTTTTGATTGGGATTTTTTATCTAAAATAGTTTAGTAGCAGCTTTTGATGCAAATCCGTTTTAGATCTTTTTTTATTAAAAGCCAACTTTTCCAAATACTCAAAAAAGCTATGGGCAACTTTTAAACTTAAAAAGAAAACTCTTTTTATTAAGCAAACTATTAAGCAAACTTTTCTGATCTTTTTGATAGACTTTTCATAGACTTTCATAGAGCTTTCATCGACTTTTCATAGACTAAAGCTTTTCCCAACTTTTGTAAAATGGGAAAATGGGAAATCCCTTTTCTTTTTTTTGTGCCAAACAGATCTTTCAGTGAAAAGTCAAGAAATCTTTAAAAGCTTCGTTTTTTTCTTTCAAAAACATATGCCTAGCTCATTTATCAATCGTTGAAATCTCGATTTTTGATGAAATTTTCAAATTCTGCATTGATATTTCAAAAATTTCTTTATGACCTTTGAAACGAGCGCCGATCTTTTTCAGCTTATGCATTTTTGAATCACCGCTAGAGGTTTGCAAAAGGAAAACAAGAAAATCGAGTTGTTAGCTTATAAATTTCGATGTCGACGAGATATTTGTCTATTTGTATACTTGTATATTTGATATTTCTTTGTTATTTCTTTGGTATTTGGGTGTTTTACGGTTAACGGAGGGGAGCGAGTTTTCGACCATTTTCTAACCCGATTTTAGATAGGTTTTTGTTAATAAATTTTTATGAAAAAATAGTTTCTAAAAGTTGACGTTCTAAGCTATCTAAGTCTTATTAAAACTTCCTGATCTGACAAGTTTAAGCTACTTAAAAATGAGCTGCAAGTTGGCCAAAAACTGTTGGCCAGTTGGCCAAACTTGCGTCCCCAAAGTAGTTCTCGCAAGCTTAATCTATTTCAAAAGTGGCAAGTGTTATATAGAGAATTATAGCCCTTAATCTTGACACTTTGAAATAGCTTGCGAGAACTACTTTTCCAGTTGTCCGGATGATTTTGCTCAATCCTGTAGAGTTGGCAAGTGACTCGGCGATCAATGATAATGATCAAGGATCAATGATAGCTTTAAGAGCTATTCTCTAGCTATTCTCTAGCTATTTCTAAATTTCTAAATATCAAATAGGTGTAAATAAACTGTTCCCAGATCCAGAAGTTTCACATTTCTCTTTAGAAAAATCATCTTCGACTTCACTTTTAAACAAAATCCTTTTAACAAAATAGTCTACAAGTTAGAGAACTTTTTCCATTTTCTCCATTCCATCCAAACCGGAAATTTGCATTTAAAAGCTGGTTTTGTTTTGAACTTTCTTTTTAAATTCAATTTCCATTTAAAAGCCTCATTTAGTGGATCACTTTTTTTGCAATGTTAACCCGAGATTTTCGGTGTAACAGAAAAGACAAGAGAATTTGAATGAGAGACAAGAAAATGCGCTACAACTCGCTGTGCTGTCTCTGTGTGAGTTTGAAAGAGGGAAATCAAAAGAACTCTGTGTTTGAAGCAATTTTAAATACTATAGAATGAGATTTGCATTTAAATAAAAGCTTTAATCGAAAATTTTCAGTCGTTTTACGCTCGTAAGCAGCGACGACACGAGCCGGCTCATCAAACCGTGCATCCGAGCTCGTCTACAGGTAAAACTTGATAATATTTGGATGAAATTTGGATGAAATTTGGAAAAATATCTTCACATTTTTGATCTCATTGGCTGGCTGGCTGGTGAGGAATGGCTTTCTTTCTATAGGCTTTCATGCTTCCCGCCAGACGTAGCAATGCGGTGGTGTAGTGGGTAGTGAACCCGTGGCGCTTTCGATTCCCCTTTTGAAAGTCTGGTTCGAATCCCCTAACCGTCAAATCTTGCTGAAGATGCTGAAGATCAGTTTTAGGCTTTTCTTGACTTTTCCAAATGCTGTTATGTTAATTTATTGAAGTTTAAATGTGAATCGATGAATTCCAAGCATTTCCAGGCCATCAACCCCTCCCTCAACAGCCTTCATCCCAAACAATGGCCCCTCAACCACAACAGACTCACATGCAACCACCAGCTCAACAACCGACCGTCTCAACGAGCCAACAAATCCCGCAGACACTCATCCAACCCCAGAATCACGCTCAACCAACCGACTACGTACTCCAACAACAACATGCCTATCAACAACAGCACAAGTGAGTTTTTATGGAGGAAAATTGAAGATTTGGCTGCTAGTGGTGAACAGATAAATCTCATAGTAAAAGATGTGGTCTTCAATAGTACTTTAAAGTACTTTAATAGTACTTCAAGTGCTATAAAGTGGCTTATTTCGTTTTATTACAGTAACCGGAAGAAAAGGTATTCAGTCGGATCAGTAGATTGAAGATTTTTAGCGTAGTTGAACACTGAAAAGGTGTCACCTGAAATTAGCTTGAATAGCGCTAGCTTATTGGAATGAGACGTGCTTTTATGATGCTAGGATGAGCAGGGTACTAGCCTTGGTGCACGATTTATTCAAGTATTCAAGCTGGAAAGTACTCAAGCGTTAAAACAGACGATCTTTCGTTCGATAGAAGTAGTTGCTATCCACAGAATATTGCTATCCACAGAATATAGCATTACTAGTACTGTGTTTGGCATATTGTAGGGTACTGACTAGGAAAAGGTCAGATTTCAGAGGCAAATTCGAGCCAAAGCTTTATGACTTAAGCAAGTCGGAGACGGGCAACACGATGGTGTTTTTAGTTTTTGCCAAAATGCTCTAGATTCCTGTAAAAGCGGATTTGAAATTTGACCTTTGAAAGTGCACTGAAAGTGGACTGAAAGTGGACTGAAAGGGATTAAAGCCTATCACCGCCCGGCTGAGCCAGTGGCTCGGTGGCGCAGTGGTGGTGGCGGGGGCTCCCATCAGCCGGGGGTCCTCGAGGCATCCGAGTTCAATCCCCCTTCGAACAATTTTTTTTCTTGTTTAATATTTTAAGAAGTAAAGTTGTATTTTGAGTAGTTTTGAGCAATGAAATTGTATTTTAAAGTCGTTTTGAGCAAATAAACTTGTACTTTGAGAATCTTTAGCCTTTGTGCGTCTTGCGTAGGTTGTAAAGCTTTGCCCGTAGATTATAAAGCTTTTGTTCGAATTCACCTCTGAAATCTGACCATTTCTGCTGGTCCAGATGCTTTAAACGTGAGCTTTAGGCTAACAATTTCCAAGAGTTCACATAAATCACTCATCTTCAATCGTGAAAAAACGAATTGTGCTTTAATTTCCTCAAATCAATGCTAGAATCAAAGAAAAAGCGCAACAGACACTCGGTCTCCGCTTATTCTTTCCTCAAATATCTAAATAAACCCCAGAAAAGCGAAGATGAACGACCGTTTCTATTTGTTTTTCAAAAAAAAAAAAACAATTCAACAAAAAGTTGAACTTTGAAAGGAAAATTGGCTCCATCTGGTACTTATAACGAGCCTTTGTACCACTTTACAACATAAAGCTAATGGAGAATGACTAATGAGCTCTTTTGTCTCAATAATCTTTCTGTTCGAGTTCTTTTTAGCTTTTTAACAAGAAAAGTCAATACAAATGGGCTTATCTCTTTTCCCAAGTCGTGTCGTCTATTTGGGGTGGGGTTTGCCCAGTTTTTTTTTGTTTTCTAAAGCTCAAAGTCTTTCGGAAATCTTCTCTTCATTGCAGAGTCGAGAATTTTCAGTATCAAGTTGCACGTATCTACCAATTACATAATTTAAACTTTGTCATGTTTTGATTTTTTTTAACAATAATCTTTTGTCTTTTGCGTAAGCTTCTAATGGTTCTTCTTCCTCTTCTTCTTCCTCTTCTTTTTCTTCCTCTTCTTCTTGTTCTTCTTCTTGTTCTTGTTCTTCTTCTTCTTCTCTCTTCTTCTTCTTCTTCTTCTTCCTCTTCTTCTTCTTCTTCTTCTTCTTCTTCTTCTTCTTCTTCTTCTTCTTCTTCTTCTTCCTCTTCTTCTTCCTCCTCTTTTTCTTCTTCTTCTTCTTCTTCTTCTTCTTCTTCTTCTTCTTCTTCTTCTTCTTCCTCTTCTTCTTCCTCCTCTTTTCTTCTTCTTCAGACACTTAAAGTTCAACATTCTTTAGACAATGAGTTTTATTCTTATTTTAAATACGAAACCTTGTTCTTTCACATTCTTTCAATCTATTGGACTGAACTAGAATTGAATTGAACTAGTTGATCAAACTTGTAGAATCAAAAGTTTTCTAGAATTTATTGAGATTGGGTTATAAGTCAAGCATTTTATGTGAATCTCTAGAGATCTTAATCCAGCCATTTAGAGATCTCTAGAGATCTTAATCTATATCAAAATCCAAATCCATTTTATCACAAATCTCCAAATTCAAATCAAAATTTCATCCAAGTGTCCCTTTCTTTCCCAAGAGTTTCCTAATTTCCCAGAAAAGTCCCAACTTTCCCAGCGTCTTAAGGACAAGATCTAGACGTGACAAGGGCAAAGAGAAAAGAGAAAAGAAAAGAGAAGGCTAAAAAGAGCATGTGTTAGTCAGTTGAACGTCCCGGAAATTTTCCGAGTATCGAGTCATTTCAAAGTCAGCTGTCGTTTGAAGTGAGTCGTACTCTTTTTCAAGACACGAGACGATTTCAGCACTCTAATTTTTTCGCTTTTCTCCACAAATCTCCCCTTTCTCCACAACTGCACCTCTTTTTGACCTAAAGCCAGTAAAAAAAGCTGACCATAAACTCTTAAATTCCCATTTGCTTTTCAGATTCCTTTCTTTTGAAAAGATCTTTTTAATTACCCTAAAGTCGCGAGTCTAAGTTCTGTTTGGTTTTCGCTTGCAAATTGACGGCTGTCTCCGGTGCGGTGTGTCGAGGGTTCGAACCCCGCTGCAGCATAACTTTTTTGCTTTTTAAGAACAATAATAGAAGTAAATTTATTGAGGGTTATAGCAATTTTATGCTATTATTTGTTGCTGTTATGGCTGTTATTTGTTGCTCCGGGCGTGGCTCGGCGCGTCCGCCCTGCTCCTCTCCGGTGCTCAGTCTTATGGATCCCTCCCTGGCCTCTTCATGGCCCTCCCTGGCCTCTTTATCCGGCCAAAGTCCACGTCGACGGTCGAAATGCTTTCCAGAGATGCTTTCCAGCGTCTTCTTCAACACTATCGTCTGGATGTATCCATAACAAATAGCAATGGTGATCGGCTGTCACCCTGTAGTATCCCGCGCTCCAAGAACAATAATAAAAGTTTATATAACAATAAAAATGTATAAAAACCCAACAAAAAGAAATTCAAAGCAATTAAAACGAATGTAAATTAAGGCAGAACTTATACTCGGATGAAATTATACTCTAGACTTTAGGGTACTTGAAGTTTATGTCTTTTTCTGCCGTTTCAGCTTTTTCTAGCTTTTTCTGGCTTTTTCTAGCTTTTTCTAGCCTTTTCTAGCCTTTTCTAGCCTTTTCTAGCCTTTTCTAGCCTTTTCTAGCTTTTTCTAGCTTTTTCTGTATATTATTTACCTGTTTAAGGTGAAGATTTTTTGGGAAAAATGATTGAATTGCTTACATCGGGTTCTCTTGTCGCCTACTGGCAGCCGAAGCCTTTCTCACCAAAATATTATAAAATGTATCGTTTTTTGAGAGTTTTTAAAGCATTTTAAAGCAAAATTTGTTACAGAAAATGTATCGTTTTCAAGAGAAAAGTTAAATAAGCACATTTTTTGAGTAGAGCAGAGCATTTTTCGATCATATGAGCATAAATGAGCAAAGCCGAAAAGCTAGTTTATAAAAAAAACAGTTAAAACTCAAACAGTACTACCGTTTTCAACAATAAAAGTATTAAATTGTAAAAATGAAATGCGTTTTGCAAATGCAAAGCTAATTAGCTTCAAAAAACATCAAGTCTGAATCATTCTTTTGGCAAAAAAAACTAGTGAGATAGACTTTTCCATATTAAAATTCGTTAAAGTTACTCTAAACCAACTTTGCTATGTTAAAAATCGTTAAAGTTACTGTAAAAAAGCGTCCAAAGCTTTCTTGCATCGAGATAATAGGAAAGCAAAATAGGAACCGTATTAGAACCGTATTAGAACCGTATTGGAACCGTATTGGAATCGAGATTGCACAAAGAAAGCTTATAAATTCACTGTAAATCAGCAATCTCAAGCTTTGTTGCGTCTAGATTGGACAATAGATTCGTCTACCGTATTTTCTCTAATACATAGTAGTAGTAGTAGTGCTCTGTAGTAGTAGTAGGGATCTGTAGTAGTAGTAGTGCTCTGTAGTAGTGCTCTGTAGTAGTGCTCTGTAGTACTGCACCCAAAGCTTTGCCTAAATTCCTCGAAATCTCGAGAACCGCTTATGAGAACCTATCGATGTGGGGTCGGAAAATGTAGCTGACGATGAGATCTAGTCGAAGAATAGAGTGTTGAGCTTCTGCAAAAGCTTGGAAACGAGTTGGTGACCAAAATAGTCACCAACTCGGCTCGCCGGGGTGCACTACTATTAGAGAAAATACGGTAAATCGTCTTTAAATCAATGCACAACTTATAAATTCATTGCGTAGTCGAGTAATCAATAAATAGTAGCCAACAAAGCCAACAAAATAGCCAACAAAGCCAACAAAATAGCCAACAAAATCCAAAATCGAGTAGCCAACAAAATCAATCAATTCTCAAGCTTATACGTCTATTACTAAACTCTAAATTTAGATTCGAACCCCTTCAACAACTACCCGATCAAGTGGCCCACTCGAGTCATCAAGATCCCCAATTTGAGCCACAGACAAAGACTAATCGAGCCAGAGCAAGCAGGTGACCATTTTTCGATATTTAGATGGGAAATTATATAATTATAACAGCTAGAAAGTTGATAGATTAGAGAAAAGTTATTAGAAATAGATTAACAGGGTTTCGACCTCTTTCGAAAGTCGATAAAAGCTTGAGAGGGATTTATATTTGATTGTTTTTAATCTATTGTTAGATTTGATTGATTTCATTCTATTGATTTCATTAAATCTGTTGGTTTGATTTAATGAATCAAGCTTTTTAAAAATGAAGCTCTCAAGCTTTTTAAATCAAGCTCTCAAGCTCTCAAGCTTTTAAAATCAAGCTCTCAAGCTCTCAAGCTTTTTAAATCAAGCCCTCAAGCTCTCAAGCTTTTTAAATCAAGCCCTCAAGCTCTCAAGCTTCTCAAGCTCTCAAGCTCTCAAGCTTTTAAAATCTATCGGCTTTCGAAAGAGATCGCAACCCTGTTAACCTGTTTCTAATAACTTTTCTCTAATCTATCAACTTTCTAGCTGTTATATTATTTCATTCTATTGATTTCCTATTGATTTAGTGAGTCAAATCTGTTGATTTGATTCATTAAATCAAACAAAATCAAATTTTCCTTTTTTCCTTTTCACCAAAAGATCCCCTTTCGAAAAAAAAATCGAAATAACAAATGAAAAACTTTTCAAAAACTTTTCAAACAACAACTTTTCGGGATCACTTTTTTTTCATCTTTCAAGTGCACGGATACTCGCTTTTCTTTTGTTTACTAACAAATCAGCTGATAGGGAAAAGAATTTGAAATTTGAAAAGGAAAAAATGAAAAAAAGAAAAAAACCCGTGTCCTCTATGTGTTGATCTCAAAAAAACAACAAAAAAATAATGAAAACAATGAAAACAAAAAGCAATATTGGAATGAGATGATGCATTAGCTTAAGAGAAAAGCAAAAAAGAAAAGAGAAAAGTAAAGTAAACCTATTTTCTTTCTTGATAAACACCCTTTGACCAATGAAATGAGCACTTTGGTCAGTTTTTAAAGGGCAAACGAATAATTTCGTTGAAAAGGGATACTTGCTTTGCAAACTTTTACACGTTTAGCAATGAAAAAAGTCATGAAAAACATTTTAGTAATGAGAAAATTTAGAAACGGTCCAAACAATGATGGTTATGATGACACGAATTTCGACTATATTGTTAAAGAAGGCGAATTCTTCAATAACAGGTGATTTTTGAAAGGATTACAAGAGGTTTTGAGTCTAATTGGCTGACTTTCCCCGGTCATTTGCAACTCTGCAACTCTGCAACTCTGCAAATGATTGTAAAGCTAACTTTACATAACAAGATTTGTTTTTTAAAGATCTAATCACATAAAAGCGACTCAAAACACAACTTTACTGATGTTTTTTGATTTACGATTCTGATTATAAAGATAGATTTGCATTTAATTAATCATTTTCATTTACTTCAAATCTATTTGACTAGCTAGATTTGCATTGAACAGTTTTCTTGCATTGAACAGAACAGAACAGAACAGTTGAACAGAACAGAACAGAACAGAACAGTTGAACAGAACAGAACAGTTGCACAGAACAGAACAGAACAGTTTTCTACAGTTTTCTTTTGGAAAGTCACGGGGAAAAGAGTTACAAAGTACCAGCTGTACAATTGTTTCAGTACAATTGTTTAATTGTTTACCCAGTATCGACCCAATCTCAGTTATCAGTCAGTTAAACTTCAATAACAATCAGTTTCCAGATATCTCATCATGGGACCAATCGGCAAGGGTTCTTTTGGCCAAGTGACCAAAGCGTATGACAAAGTGGGTGAAACAGATATTTATTTATATAATACTACATACTATTTAATTAGTAATGCTTCCTAAGTCTTACTACAAGATAAAGCATCAAGCTACTCGATATCTACAAGATAAACCATCAAGATACCAGAGATAAACCATCAAAACCTCCGGTAACTTGATGGTTTATCTTATTAGTGATCTGCTAGTGATCTGGTAGTGATCTGCTAGTGATCTGATAGTGATCTGGCAGTGATCTGGCACCTCATCATCGATGAAGAGCTTCTTCTGAAACACTTTTATTTGGAACAAAAGCTTTTGGTTTACTTCAGTGACCGGGAATTGCTTCTTGTTCTTGATGACACGATTCACCTAAGAAATTTGTTTGCCGAAGTTCTAAAACCATTCAAGTACCTCATCTTGTCGTTCCACTAAACCATTTGTGTCGTCGCTGAAGAGTGACATCCAGACGGGGGTCTAAATATAAACTTTGAGCAATTTCCAAATGAATCGCCACCTCTTCAACAGTTTTCTTCTCCTCTGAATCGTCCCATTGCTTTGTCTGGCAGTGATCTGGCAGTAATCTGCTAGTGATCTGCTAGTGATTTTGGAAAGTAAAGTAAGGGATGGTAAAATAGATTTTCGGAGCGGGGATTGAACCAGGGCTTTCTTGCTTTCCTACTTTCCTGCTTTCCTACTTTCCTACTTTCCTGCTTTTCTGCTTGCTTTGCCGGCAGATGTTCTAAGCTATCTGGTAGCTTGATGCTAGAGAAGAAAGATGGAATAAAGAGGGAAGAGAAGGAAGTACCAGACTCTTCCTGCCCTACTTCCTTCTCTTCCCTCTTTATTCCATCAGAACACGAAACAATAAGTAACCTAAGCAACAAGTAATATTCAAACATTACTAATTGAAGAAAACATTAGTGATAAACTAGTTTCGAACTTGAACTCGAAACCCTAACAGCTTTTGGGTAAAAGTAACTTGTTTTCCAGGTGGAGAAAGAGTATGTGGCGATAAAGATCATCAAAAACAAGAAAACTTTCTTCGATCAAGCTCAGATCGAGATCCGATTACTCGAAATGATGAATAGGCACGATTCCGAGGGGAAATACAATATTGGTGAGTTGAATTTGGAGGAAATCTGATCGAAACCAGTTGCTCAAATGGTCAACTAGTTAGGAAATATCGTCAGGTCGATTTAGTTCTCTTTAGAACTATAAAGGAACTATAAAGGAACTAGAAAGAAACTATAAAGGAACTAAAAGGATATCACCTAATCGTCAGATCGATTTTTCAATCGCATTTCAATCAGATCATTTGTTTTTTTCATGTAGCTAAGTCTTTTTCTCAAAATTTAGAGTAAGTATTCTATTATCTATCGTTTTCAAATTATTTACATTACTTAAATCTTTGAAATGTTTTATTTCAGTGAATCTGAAGAGCCACTTCGTGCACCGGAATCACTTGTGTCTCGTCTTCGAGTTGTTATCATATAACTTGTACGATTTGCTGCGAAACACGAATTTCCGGGGTGTTTCGTTGAATTTGACAAGGAAATTCGGGCAACAAGTGGGTTTTTTTCTTTGAATAAAATCAAAGCTAGATAACATGTAAGCTATAAAGCTAGATTTTGATTTTAAAGCGCTAGATTTTGGTTTTAAAGCGCTAGAAATTGCTCTACACTCAGCAAGCCGGCTAAATGCACTTTTTCAAATCAAAATCTAAGGCCAGCTTACATAAGCGAAAGTCGTAAAGCAAGCAACTGGGCCTGGATCCACCAACTGGGCCTGGATCCACCAACTGGGCCTGGATCCACCAACTGGGCCTGGATCCACCAACTGGGCCCGGATCCACCAACTGGGCCTGGATCCCCAACTGGGCCCGGATCCACCAACTGGGCCCGGATCCACCAACTGGGCCCGGGTCCACCAACTGGGCCCGGATCCACCAACTGGGCCCGGATCCACCAACTGGGCCCGGATCCACCAACTGGGCCTGAGTTCACCAACTGGGCCTGAGTTCACCAACTGGGCCTGAGTTCACCAACTGGGCCTGAGTCCACCAACTGGGCCCGAGTCCACCAACTGGGCCTGAGTCCACCAACTGGGCCTGAGTCCACCAACTGCTAAATTTAGCAAAAATTTTGGGTTTAGCTTAGCTATTTATTTAGATTGTTAAATTTAGCAAACTTTCGCTTTGCAAAATTCAAAGCATTTAGCAAGTTTGGATTTAGATTTAGCTAAATTTAACAAAATTGTTTTAGTATTTAGCACCTAGCATTTAGCATTTATCAAAATTCCTAAATGCTAAGCTAAGCGAATCCCCATTTTGTTGAGCGTGGAAATTTCAGCTAGCGAAAACGCTCCTCTTCCTCTCATCACCGGATCTTTCAATCATTCACTGCGATTTGAAGCCGGAAAACGTGTTGCTCTGCAATCCGAAACGCTCTGCAATCAAGATTATCGACTTTGGTTCGTCGTGTCAAACTGGACATCGGATATACCAATACATTCAATCAAGGTAAACAATTTACTTAAGATTTAGTTTCTTTTCTCTACAGATTTCTCTAAGCACTTTATTCCTTTCTTTTTTTCAAAATTTCTACAATTTCTACAATTTCTAGTACGATTTGCTTTCAAATTTTCAGATTTTATCGTTCTCCCGAGATTTTGCTGGGTATCGCCTATGACACAAAGATTGACATGTGGTCACTTGGTGAGCTTTTTTTGTTTGTTTTTTTTTGTCTGTAGATCCCATTTCTCGATGAGTTGAGTATGATGAAAGGAAATGAGTCATTTTTCTTGGAAAGATCAACATGGAAACATCTTTTGAAAGCCGTTAATTTATCTCTTGAGTACTATATACACTACTGGACAATGAAATATGATATTTGAAAAAAGATCGTCACTTTCACGCGTCTGTAACTCCCTTGTCTTTACCGTATTTCTAAATATTAATATTACCATTGTGTAGCCCTAGAAAAGAGCTTTCAGAAAATGTATAACACTAATAGTTTAAACTCAAAGACAAGGGAGTTACAGACGCGTAAAAGTGACGATCTTTTTTCAAATATCATATTTCATTGTCCAGTACTGTATAAAAGAGCAATGTCTGTCTGTCAGTCTGTCTTTACGGGCATTTTCTCGGCCGTATTATGACCAATAAAGCTAAAACTTCTTTAGAAAACCTTAGAATATATTGTACGGACGATTTAAGATCAAAAAATTCAAAATTCAAAATTGAGTGGCACTACGAGGGGTCGAACCCGGCTCGTGTGCGCTGTAGACAAGCGCGCTACTGACTGCGCCATAGTGACTATGGAGCTATAAAAGAAAGAATACAGCTATAAAAGAAAGAATGCAGCCATAAAAACCCAATGTGGCACTACTGGGGGCGAACTTGGCTCGTATGGGCTGTAGACAAGCTACTGACTGCGCCATAGTGAATTTGCGTCGCCCGCAAAACATTCAGCTAGAAGAATGATGAAAGGAAATGAGTCATTTTTCTTTATGAGTCAGCTAGAACCTGCCGTTAGCCGGGTTTTTTTTGGCTGATTTACAAGATCAACAATTAGGAGATATTATTGAGAAACGTTTGTCAAGACTCACAATATACTCAATATAAAAATCAAATCAATTTTACAGGCTGCATTTTGGTTGAAATGCACACCGGAGAGCCACTATTCGCTGGCTCATCCGAATTGGATCAAATGATGAAAATCGTTGAAGTGCTCGGAATGCCACCAAAAGAAATGTTAGACATTGGACCGAAAACGAAGAAATATTTTGACAAGACTGAAGGTTGGAAAAACTAGAAAAATAGAAGCACTTTTGTAAGATATTTTCTTACAAAGTTACAAAGTTACAAAGTTTTGACTCTTTAAGTCAGTCTAGCTGAGTTGAACGCACCAATCGATCCTTTTTAGACGGTGTCTACTATTGTAAACGAACGCGTGGCTCCTACACAAAACCCTACGAGCCACCTGGGCACCGAAAACTTCAAGACATTCTCGGAGTGGCAAGTGGTGGACCGCACGGGCGAAGAGCTGGAGAACCCGGGCACAGTGTTGAGGATTATTGCAAGTTTAAGGTGAGTGGAGTGACCTTGGTGAAAGCGAAAAGACTAATGAATGAGGCTTAAAGTTGAAAATTGAGTTAAAGTCGAAAGATCGTCTTGTTCCCGAAGCGATTAAAGCTTTATTCATTGAATGTATAAAGGAGTTTATCAGGGAGTTTCATCTAAACTCATCCAATTTGCAGGATCTAATCAAGCGGATGCTCACCTATGATCCAAAAGTCCGGATATCACCGTATTTCGCCGTTCGACACCCGTTTTTGAAGAAAACGAAAGAGGAGCAAGGACAGCCCCAACCGAGTGCCCCTCAACAAACACCTGCTGCTCAGCCATCGACACAGGAGAATACGGTGAGTGTAAGATATATATATTGTATACTTTAATCTTTATAATTTCTTGTGAGACCGTGTCTCGGTGTGGTTTAATGGTAGATGTCTTGAAAACGCAGAATAAAGAAAAGGAACCAAATCTGTAGAGAGAAGGAACAAATCTATACCGAAAAGGAACCAAATCTGTAGAGAAAAGGAACAAATCTATACTGAAAAGGAACCAAATCTGTAAAGAAAGGGAACAAATCTGTAGAGAAAAGGAACCAAATCTGTAGAGAAAAGGGACAAATCTATACCGAAAAGGAACCAAATCTGTAGAGAAAAGGAACCAAACGTGTAGAGAAAAGGGACAAATCTATACCGAAAAGGAACCAAATCTGTAGAGAAAAGGGACAAATCTATACCGAAAAGGAACCAAATCTGTAGAGAGAAGGAACAAATCTATACTGAAAAGGAACCAAATCTGTAAAGAAAGGGAACAAATCTGTAGAGAAAAGGAACCAAATCTGTAGAGAAAAGGGACAAATCTATACCGAAAAGGAACCAAATCTGTAGAGAAAAGGGACAAATCTATACTGAAAAGGAACCAAATCTGTAAAGAAAAGGAACCAAACGTGTAGAGAAAAGGGACAAATCTATACCGAAAAGGAACCAAATCTGTAGAGAAAAGGAACCAAACGTGTAGAGAAAAGGGACAAATCTATACAGAAAAAGAACCAAATCTGTAGAGAAAAGGAACAAATCTATACCGAAAAGGAACCAAATCTGTAGAGAGAAGGAACAAATCTATACTGAAAAGGAACCAAATCTGTAAAGAAAGGGAACAAATCTGTAGAGAAAAGGAACCAAATCTGTAGAGAAAAGGGACAAATCTATACCGAAAAGGAACCAAATCTGTAGAGAGAAGGAACAAATCTATACCGAAAAGGAACCAAATCTATACCGAAAAGGAACCAAATCTTTATCAAAACTTTCCCTTATTAGGGCAAATTTCGCTCAAACCGGAGCAACCTGGCACTAACACAATTACTTCAACACTTGCGTGTGAAAAAAAGGATGAATAGAAAAAGGAGCCCACAACTCACTCAAAACAAAGCTTAAATAATGGGTTTTTAAGTACACAAGCTACGACAAACGGACAACTGAGTATCGTCTAGTGGCTGATTACGGCAGTTTATCCATCAGCTTTGAATTTTAACTTGTGTATTGAATTTTGACTAACTGCAGAGCAGTGGCAATCTGCCCCGAGCAAGAGCAGTGGCAATCTGCCCCCAGCAAGAGCAGTGGCAATCTGCCCCGAGCAAGAGCAGTGGCAATTCGCCCCGAGCAAGAGCAGTGGCAATCTGCCCCGATCAAGAGCAGTGGCAATCTGCCCCGATGAGAAATCTGGGCGCATGCCCGGATTGCCCCGCCCGAAGAAACTTTTGTAACTTGCCCATAATGGGCGTTGAATTTTATTGATGAGGGGTCGCTCTTCCTTTTTGCCCTCGATTGTTGAACTTTGGGGAAAACTTGGGGAAGCTGAAAACTCTTGCAGAGTGTTTAAACACTGATAGCACAAAAGAAAACAAGACAAAGCATTGAAAAACAAGAGAAAACTTTATAAGAGAAAGCTTGACAAGAGAAAGCTTGACATTTCCCTTATTGTTAAGCTATACAGCTATTGTTAAGCTACATAAAGCTGAAATTTTCAAGTAAAAACCGAGTTTCAGCCTCGCTACAACGAGATGTGGTCAAGTCAAATGGACACAAGTGAGCCGATCGATCCAAACGCGCAAATTGTTTATGGGCAAATGGCCGGCTCATCCACCCAAAGCGGTCACCCTGTTGAGGTGAGGAAATTTCGAAATTTCGGTAAATGTCCATAATTCAAACAATTTTCCAGTACTCGGCTCGACGATCCGACAACAATGATCCTACAAAACCCAACTTTGGAGGGCATTTCTCTTACTCGACGAATGATATGTATCACCCTAATGTGAGTGCTTGAAGAGTTGATTTAGGATGGAAAAGAAAAATGTTCACAATGAATAAGTATAAGCATTAGATTATGAGACATAACGCTAGCCGCTTGCCCGTAAGTGAGCGATGGTCAGATTGTGAAACCTTTTATACACGTCCCGCCCCTTTTCTCCATTGGCAATCCAACTTTGAACTCAAATTTCTCGGTGTTGGTTTGTCCAATTTAAATATCTTGGTATCATTGGATGCGCCAAGTCTTTCTCTATCGATTGGGACAAAAACTATTGAAATTGGACAGCACAACACCAAGATATTTGAGTTCAAAGTTGGATTGCCGATGGCAAAAGGGGCGGGGTTGTGGGAAGTTTTATACGCGCCCCGCACCTTTTGCACCGATGCAATTGCAATTTGCATTTGTACCAATCGATAGAGAAAGGCTTGGCGCATCCAATGATACCAAGAATAGCTAGAAAGGTAACTAGAAACAGCGCTTAGAAAAAAACAACTCTGAAAAAGGTAACAGAGTACGGTAGTGGATACGGTAGGGAATACGGTAGGGAATACGGTGGAGGATACGGTAGCAGAGATACGTTAGCGGATACGGTAGTGGATACAGTAGGGATACGGTAGGGATACGGAGTACGGTAGCTAAGTAGCTAGGAGCTAGGAGCTAAGTAGCTAGGAGCTAAGTAGCTAGGAGCTAAGTAGCTAGGAGCTAAGTAGCTAGGAGCTAAGTAGCTAGGAGCTAAGTAGCTAGGAGCTAAGTAGCTAGGAGCCAAGTAGCTAGGAGCCAAGTAGCTAGGAGCCAAGTAGCTAGGAGCCAAGTAGCTAGGAGCAACTTCTAGAAACGAATTACTCTAGAGGGATTACGGTAGCTCTTTTCAAAGCACTTTTCAAAGCACTTTTCGGTTAATAGCTTCTAAAACCATGCATTTCCAGGGCTCAACCAGCGGCGGACCGGTGCGGAATCACTCGTTCGACTCTCGTGTCGCGCCCATCCCTCCAAAGGCTCCACCCGCTCCCGCACCGAATCAACCCGGCTATCCGGGTTTCCCTCAACAATCCGCGCCCAGCTTTACTTGAATTACACCAATTTGGTTCAAGTTCAAGAACCAATTCAAGTTCAAGAACCAATTCAAGTTCTTAAAGCGATTTCACCAATATTTGGTCGGCGATTTTGGGTACAAACTACAGGGTAATGTGTGGACTGTTGTCTCTCACAAAAGTGTCCTTCAGAAACTTTGTCTTTTCGTCTTTTCACAGTTATTTGGTGCCCTGTTATTTCGAAATCTTTCACACGATGAACATTTTGAAATTATTCCCGAAATCTGATTCGTTAATTTCATTTTTGTTTTTGTTTTTGTTTAACTTTTTATGTGATCGTTTCTACCCCCGAAAAATAAACGGACGTTGGGCTTTCAGAAACTTTAAAAATATGAATCGTAATGTCTAGAATAGTCTTTTTTTGTTTTTCTAAAGCCTATCGTAATCCTTTTCTTACAGTAATCCTGTTCTTACAGTAACCCTCTTCTTACAGTAATCCTTTTCTTACAGTAATCCTTTTCTTACAGTAATCCTGTTCTTACAATAATCCTGTTTTTACAGTAATCCTGTTCTTACAGTAATCCTGTTTTTAAAGATATAAAGCTAAAGAGCTTTTAAAGAGCTAAATAAACTACTCCTTGAACTATAAAGGCTTAAGAGAACTGTAAAGAGAAGCGCCACGGTTAGGAGCAACTCTTAAAGTTGATCTAGAGTGGCAAGAGCAACTCTTAAAGTTGCTCTAGAGTAGCAAGAGCAACTCTTAAAGTTGCTCTTGCTGCTTGCTTTGATGCTTGCTTTGCACTAAAGTTAGCTAAGTACGATAGGTTTTCAATGACATTTTTCAAAAAAAGACCATTGGCATTACGGTACAATAAAAAAAAGCTGTCCCTAAAAAAAAGAAATATTTCTTTATCCCTGAATCCCTCTCTATTATCAGATTTTCTATATTTGTACATAAAAAAACGATTTTTTCCTTTCAACCCTTTCCGTAAATTTCGTTTATTCATTCTTTTTCTTTTCTTTTTCTTTCTTTTCTTTTTATTCTTTTCTTTTTATTTCTTTTCTTTTTATTTCTTTACGCGTACCATTTCACTCGTTTGCTCATTTTTTTTTAATCTATTGTGAAGAAAAGTCGAAAAATACACTGGGAATAAAATTTCAAATTGATTGATTTAAGTTGATATCATCAAATCACAAAATCAAATCCAAAATAATGAAATGCAAATGCAAATGCATTGATTGTAATTGTAAAACCCGGGTTTTTTTCCCGTAAAAAGATTAGATTTAGGAACAGGTATGAAAAAAGAAAAAAAAGAAAGAAAAAGAAAAAAAACGAACAACTATATGACTTAGATTTTGTTCCAGAATAGTAAAAAATTAATTATTTTAAGAATTTTTTGTCATTTACAGTTCTTTTTCTTTTTATGATCTACTATATTTGTTGATTTATAAACCTTTGAATTCTCTGTTTTGAGCAAAATTGAGCCATGAATGCAAAATGAATGCAAAGTAAAAAAAAATGAATCATTTGGAGATGATTTAAAGCTAGAAAGTTTATCTTAGAAATCTAGAAAGTAAGATAATCTTTTGGTTGAAAGTTTTCTAGAACTTTCTAGAACTTTCTAGAGCTTTCTAGAACTTTCTAGAACTTTCTAGAGCTTTCTAGAACTTTCTAGAACTTTCTAGAGCTTTCTAGAACTTTCTAGAGCTTTCTAGAGCTTTCTAGAGCTTTCTAGAACTTTCTAGAGCTTTCTAGAACTTTCTAGAGCTTTCTAGAACTTTCTAGAACTTTCTAGAGCTTTCTAGAACTTTCTAGAACTTTTACAGATTCAAAAAAGCTTCCTTGATTTCTTAGGCAAAAAATTGTTTCTTAAAACTTTCAAATGGAGCTTAAACACTTGTTTGATAAGGTCTAAAAGAACAAAAACTCAACCTTTACTTTACTCAACCTTACTTTACTCAACTTTACTTTACTCAAGCGTTACTCAATTTGCTAATGAAGAAAAAAAGAAGAGAAGCAAGAAGAGAAGAAAGAAGTGAAGTCTACTGATAAATCACAGTATTCGCAAAGTTCAAGCTCAAATTCAATAAATCCATCTAATCGCTAGCAAGGAGAAGCCTCGATCTCACGTTTTTTCATTACATCGTCGCCAATTGGTGTGAAATCGTATTGAAAATGTTCGCTCACCGCACGAGTTGTAGCCTGAAAATCGGACTGACTAGGGAAAGAAACGGACTGAGCTTGAGATTAAGACTTGAGACAAGTCTTGAGCTTTTGTCTGGACACCTAATGCACTTTATAGAATCGGCTATGGGGAATAACCAATCTCTACTTTCCAAGCCGCCATGCAATTAGCTAGAAAAGGCTAGAAATTGTTTCAAAAGAAAAACAACAAAATGCTGCAGAAGGGATTGAACCTTTATTCTCGGAGAGGAGGCTGAGGATGGCAGCCTAACGCGTTATCCGCTAGGCCACTAACAGACCCTTTGATGACTAGGAAAGGAGCCTTTTAAAGCATCCTTCAAACAATCAACGAACGACGTCAAAACAGCATCAAAACGGATGCTTTAAAACGTTCTTTCAATGGGCAGGAAAGGTGCGTTGGTGGCCTAGTGGATAATGCGTTAGGCTCGCGCCCACGGGGTCAGGGTTCGGTCCATAACGTGGCTTTTTGTTTTTGTTTTTCTTCCATTTTTCTTTCAAATTTTCAATGGAAGTTTTACAAAAAGTCATTTGGCAGATTTTGATTTCAGATTCCGATTTCTCAGTCTATAAAGTGCACTTAGTGTCGAGACAAAAGCTCGCCATGAGTTGCCTTTCCTTAGATCGTTGAACCGTAACAACCGTAGCAACCGTAACAACTAAGCTGTGGGAATATTCGTCAAGAATCAGATAATTCTTGATTGATGACAAAGCCTTGATGATAAAGACATTCTTGATGACAAAGCCTCGTTTTTTCATCTTATCTAGTACAATTTCAGATACCTCAAACTTGTTTTCATAGAATTTAAATAATAAAATAAGAAAATTCGGTGACGATGATTTTAGAGCACTAAATGGGAACTAGAAAATGTTAATATCAAAATATTTGTGATATTTCGATGTCTATTCTTGTCTATTCTTATCTATTCTTATCTAAACACTGTTTATTTCGTCGTAATCAACAAATTCTCTTTATTACCTCACTAAAACGCTCCTCCTCCTGTTTTCGGTCGCTTTTCCAGACGAGAAAAGCGATGACACCTCAAATTGTTATATTAATTAGATTAAGATTAATGATCTCATTCTAATCTACTACAAAAAACTAATTTTAATTTAATCCAAAACCTTTTGGATTAAATTAGACCAAAATTTCAACAATTCACCATTAGCGAAGATGCGGCACGTGGCGAAGAGGAGAAAGAGCGACAAGGAAAAGAGAAAGATCTGAAGAAGATTGGGGTTGAATTGAATTGAATTGAATTGAATTGAATTGAATTGAATTGAATTGAATTGAATTGAATTGAATTGAGTTGAATTGAATTGAATTGAATTGAATTGAATTGAATTTTCAACAAAAATCAGTGCTTTATGTATGTGTTGTGTCCGATTTAGATTGAATTTATCGCGGACGTCCGATTTAGATTACAGTCTACAGGGTGCGGCAAAAGTTCCGGCAAAAGTTCTTTTTGTAAACGGGCAGTTTGACTTGGAAAAAACGCGATTTTTGAAAAACTAACACCGGATTATAAAAATTCAGATATTTTTACCCCCTAATATACTTTTTTACACAAAAATTGCCATCTAAACAACCTTTTGATGAGGATGTTTAAAGGTCGTTACAGCAGTTTTTTTTGCCGTTGAGATTTGGGTGATTTGGGTGTGGTATTGGGTTGGGGACTATGACTCGGCGCCAAACTTTAAAGGGACTTTTTGCACACATAAAGCCTTCTTTAAACATACGTTTGGTTTCATCAAAAGGATCCACTATTTCTCTACAAAATCACTTTTGAGAGATTCCACAAAGCTTTTCTTTCGTGGAGTTTATGAACTTCCGAACGCAGCTGGTTAAAATGGCAAAGAGTCCGACTCATCATTTGAACAGTTTCTTTCACATAAACCTTCTTTGGTGTTTATATAAAAAAGATAGAGCACATTCAATTACTTAAGTTGCCAAATTTGCAGGAAGATCCCACCAATGGTTTTTTCTAGATCACAGTTTGTAGTTTTTGTGAAAAAATGGCTTTTTCTTGAGCGGAGGCGCTGTTTGAATTTTCTTTTAAATGTCATTTTGTAGAGAATTAGTTAGCCATTCTACTCATATCAAACGCATATTATTTGACGAAGTCGAATAGAAGTTTTAGACATTTTTTTCATTTTCGGCGCCGAGTCATAGTCCCCAACCCAATAGAATCGCTTGAAAATCTTTCGTTTTTGAGATATAAAGTTTTTTGTGGCTTGTTTTCAAGAAAAAAAACTCAGTTCTATCAAATGGTAACGGCAGTTTTTGGAAAAAATTTCATTCTGCAAAGTTTAAGTCAACTTTCGCAAAAATCTTCAGCGATCAGACCGGGATATAAAAAATTCTCGTCAAAAACTTATTGAGAGTTGAAATCTTTTTATGGAAATGGCTATATTGGGGTGAAACTACCTAAATTTTTAGAATCCGGCGTTAGTTTTTTTGAAAATCACGGGTTTTTGAAGCCAAAAAAATGACTGCTTACAGAAAAAGTGTCAGAACTTTTGCCGCACTCTGTATATCGGACGTCCGATTTAGATTCAATCTAAATCTTATATAGATTGAACAATAATAACGTCTTATATAGATTGAACAATAATATAAACATGCTTAATATATGTTCTTTAGCGTTTTCTGTAGTTTTCTGCATTTTTCAAAGGTCTGTTACAGTCTTTTTCTGACGTCCGATATAGACTGTAATCTATTAGGTTGATGCAAAAGTCTTTTTCATTTTTTTCGTACTTCTTTTGAAAAATAACAAAGTCATCAATTAACCTATGGTTTGCTCTAAATGAAAAGTGTTTATTGTTCAATTTCCCATCTTTTTAAGTCAATTTGGGTTCACTTTCAAGCAAATTCGAGAGTGAAAACGGGTTTTTCATAAAAATCTATAAAAACCTCTATAAAGAAATTGGCTGAATCAATTTCTCTGAAAATCTGAAAAGATATCAAACTTTTTGTGCTCTATCTTTTATTTATTAACATCAAGCTTGGTTTCCTTAGCTAAAGCGTCTAAAATGCATCATCGAGCCGTCGCCTTTTTTGACTACCCGACTTCAGGCTCTCAAAAAAATCTAGACATAAGACATTTTAAAACTCGTTTTAATGTCATTTTGCAGAAAAATAATTGGCCTTTCGAATGCAATAAACCGTTGTTCAATTGGTGCATTTGTTACTTTTTAACGGAAGTACGAAAAAAATGAAAAAGACTTTTGCATCAACCTAATAAATCATACGGAAATCTAAACCGGACACAACATATAAATAAATCTATAAATGATAAAAATCTAGTTTATTTTTTTGTTTTTACTATTATCACTCACTTGAATGAATGGGGTGATCGCTTCGGCGACCGCGGCAAACGTGTCGACGTCGTCTGAAATTTCGATCTCTTGATCATTGTATCAAGTTCTAGATTTCTAAAAACTAACTAAAAGCCTCAAAACGATTACTGTATATAACTGTTACTATAACTGTTACTGTATACTGCACGATTACTGTATATTTTGCAATTTTCCAATAGATAACTCACTCGCCAGCTGCTGAGCGATGGCGAGAGCTGTGGTGATTGATCTCTCGATATCGGCTTGCGTCTTGGCCACTAAGCCGCCCGCCTCTGAAATTTTCATTTGTGAAAGTGAAGCGATGAAATTTAGCCTCAAACTTTCAGCTATCCTTTTCATCTTTCATCTATTACTGTAAGAAAACGTCTTTCATCTATTACTGTAGCTATTTCTTGGCCTAACTTTCATTGTTTAATCTATCAGATTGTTTCTCTTGAGCTGAAAACGAAAAACAAGAAAAACGAAAAACGAAGAAACAAAAACGGAACTGGAAACGGATACGTTTATTAGGCTTGCTTTTACCTATAAATTAATCCAATCTATCTACTTTTGCTCATTCTGTATTCTTCATAAGCCTTCACAGAGTCAAAGCAAATCTATACCAAACAATTGCTTTCATTTTAAATGATTTCTATCGTTCACTTTATGTCATTTCTAAATTTCTAACCAATTTTTTAGTTTTTTAGAATAATCTGCGAGAAAGAAAAGTGGTATTTCTAAAAATATTAAAAAATGAGTACATAAATAACCGCAAATGAATTATTTTGAAATTTTCGTTGTAAATCTAACTTTTCTTTTTGTAGCTCTTTTTTTATTTTATTATAAAAATAGATTTCATTAGAAGAAACGGTTTAAATGACATCATCGGACCTTGTCGAATGAAAGAAATGCAAGATTACCCTACTTTCCGAAAGCTAACACGGTTTAGAAAGCATTTCACTTGAGCCCAGCATTTCCCTTGAGCCCAGCATTTCCCTTGAGCCCAGCATTTCACTTGAGCCCAGCATTTCCCTTGAGCCCAGCATTTCCCTTGAGCCCAGCATTTCACTTGAGCCCAGCATTTCCCTTGAGCCCAGCATTTCACTTGAGCCCAGCATTTCACTTGAGCCCAGCATTTCCCTTGAGCCCAGCATTTCCCTTGAGCCCAGCATTTCACTTGAGCCCAGCATTTCCCTTGAGCCCAGCATTTCCCTTGAGCCCAGCATTTCACTTGAGCCCAGCATTTCCCTTGAGCCCAGCATTTCCCTTGAGCCCAGCATTTCACTTGAGCCCAGCATTTCCCCTTGAGCCCAGCATTTCACTTGAGCCCAGCATTTCCCTTGAGCCCAGCATTTCCCTTGAGCCCAGCATTTCCCTTGAGCCCAGCATTTCACTTGAGCCCAGCATTTCCCTTGAGCCCAGCATTTCCCCTTGAGCCCAGCATTTCACTTGAGCCCAGCATTTCCCTTGAGCCCAGCATTTCACTTGAGCCCAGCATTTCCCTTGAGCCCAGCATTTCCCTTGAGCCCAGCATTTCACTGGAGCCCAGCATTTCCCTTGAGCCCAGCATTTCACTTGAGCCCAGCATTTCCCTTGAGCCCAGCATTTCACTTGAGCCCACTAAGCCCACTCTAGGTTCGTTAGAAGTTAAAAATTTTGAAATTAACCCGTTTTTCTAAACATTTAATCAAAAGAAAGCTTTTCAAAACAAAACGGAGAGAAAAGGTAAGAACTTTTAAGGTAAGAACTTCCTTTTTAAGTTGATTAACTTCCTAAAGCCGTATCTCATCGTCAATAAAGTAAAGCTAACCTTGAACAGTTCGCATGACGTTTACAACTGCAGCCAGCATCAATAGACAGAGAAAGAAATAATCAGAGAAATTATTATAAAAATAGATTTCATTAGAAGAAACGGTTCAAATCATAGCATCGGACCTTGTCGATTGAAAGAAATGCAGGATTACCCTACTTTTCGAAAGCTTTTCGAAAGCCCCAAGGAAGCATTTTAGGACCTCTACTTTTTACGATTTACATCAACGATTTACATCAACGATTTACCTAATATAAATCTAGCCTCACCTTTCTCCAAGATATGGCTCTATGCCGACGATGCTAAGCTAATTTTTGAGACTCCATTAAATGATATAAATAAAAATCTGGGTAGCTCCTTTCATAAAATCCAAAAAGATCTGAGCACAGTTGAAATTTGGTCCAATATTTGGGGTTTAAAACTTTCTCACTCAAAATCTATTCATTTTAGTACAGGTAAAATAAAAGTCGCCCTTAAAATTGGTGATGCCGCAATAAAGTCCATAGCTAACAATGAATCTCTTCGAGATTTAGGAGTCTAGTACATCTATTATCTAGTACATCTTTTATCTAGTACATTTTTCATGTCATTTTCGCACTTTATTTCTTTCTGAATAAAGTATTTATATATAACACGGCTTAGAAAGCATTTCACTTGAGAAGAGCACACTCTAGGTTCGTTAGAAGTTAAAAAATTTGAAATTAACCCATTTTTCTAAACATTTAATCAAAGGAAAGCTTTTCAAAACAAAACGGAGAGAAAAGGTAAGAACTTTTAAGGTAAGAACTTCCTTTTTAAGTTGATTAACTTCCTAAAGCCGTATCTCATCGTCAATAAAGTAAAGCTAACCTTGAACAGTTCGCATGACGTTTACAACTGCAGCCAGCATCAATAGGCAGAGAAAGAAATAATCAGAGAAATGAATCTGTTTTCATCGGCTTCTCTTTCGTAAACTTTTCGAGTAGCAAAAAAAAGGATGAGAGGACGAAAAATTTGAATGTTTCAAAATAAACGAGCCATCTGGTGATCGAATCGGCTCTTTGAATCAAAAGAAGTGAAGAAAATGTTAAAGAAAAGGGCAAAGCCAGAAAAAAAACATCGATATTTTGATGAGATTTTGAAATCAAATAGGAAAATTTTGTTTACATTTCGGAAGTTTGCGACAATATTGTTGCTTTACTGAGACAATATTCTTGCTTTGTTGCTTTCAACAATCAAAAAGATGTCCATAAATACCTGACAGAAGGAAGAAGAAAGACAAGGAAGAAAAACCCTGAATCTGGCCAAAAAATCTGGAACAACTCTGACAAATGAGTGTTGTAGCAGTGGTAACACATAGTCTTATAGCACTCGTCCAAAACCGCACGCTCTGGCTAGTTTCTCGTTGATTGTTGATTGTGGCAAAAGCCGAGAAATTTTAGATAAATAGATTCTGTTGAGAATATGCTAGTTATTTTATATCGTAGTTGTAATAGTTGTTTTAATAGTTGCTTTAAATCATTTCCCACAGATTATTTATTTGTTAACTTACCGTAAATACTGTAATAGTACCCCAACCCCCTCGTACAACGATAGTTGCGACAGTACTATACTTGACTACGGTAATTGTTGCATAGACCCATTGATGACAAATATTTTGAGATCTAAACTAGATCAATGAGCCTGGCACTAGAAATCAATCACTAATCAATCATCGATCGATTCAGAGATTTCCGAGAGTTGCTTGGCTGCTATCAAATGCCTTTCCAACAAATGTGCGGTAAGGAGGTTGGATGGTTTGGATGTGAATACGAACGATCAGGGATCACTGCCTGGTTGCCCGAATGTTCCGAGCAATGCTTCGGTGAGTCTCATAGTCGTAAAATCTTTTCAAGCTGATAGAATTGGTATTTCTATAACTTTTGGATTCCATGTGAACATTTTCGAATCCTTTGCACGCTGCCTGTGCGTATCGATTTATTTTCTAAAAATCTACCGTAAATACTTTAATAGTACCCCACCCCCTCGTACAGTCGCGTAGTCGCAAAATTTTTTTTCGTATTTCATTTTTTTCAAAGCGTCCGTACTTTCAAAAATGCGTGTTTGGTATCAAAAAATAGCCCTGAATTTCAGCTATTTTTTGATACCTAAGCGCGCATTGTAGCATAAACCAGTGTCGAGAAAAACGCGTCCAAAGCTAGACGCTCCGCACCGTCATTATGGGGGTGGGGGTACTATTAGAGTATTTACGGTAAGTCCACTTGAAAATGAATGGTGATTTTTTGGGATAGGCTTCTCTCGAGATAAATTGGGATAAAATGAATGGGATAAACTTCTCTCGAGCCACATATGGATTTGGAATAGATTTGACTCAATTTCTCGGTAATTATCGGTACGCTAAATCTCGTTGAGCCAAGGCTACTTACATTTCCATTCGTTAAACTAGCTAGAATGTTTTTAGAGTCTAGATCATCCTCATTCGTATCATTTATCGGATTACGATAGCTTACAGCACTGTATAAGTACTATTAAGCACCAATAAATCAGGTTATCAGACCTTTTATACGCGCCACGCCCCTTTTGCCATTGGGAATCCAACTTTGAGCTCAAATTTCTTGGTGTTGGGTTGTTCAATTTGAATAGTCTTTGTACCAATCGATAGAGAAAGACTTGACGCATCTAATGCCACCAAGAATATTTCAATTCAACAGCCCAACACCGAGAAATTTGAGCTCAAACTTAGATTGTCAATGACAAAGCGGTGGTGATCCCACAATCGATCACCCAAGGCCTGGATATACAGGTAGTACATAGTACCATTGAGTACAGTTAAGACAAATCAACCTTCAAACAAGTTAATAAAATTTGAACAGGCAAAACAGCAGTGATAGTACTAAGCCGAATTACGAAAAAAAAAACTTACGAGCCATTGAGGTCACAAAGCCAAGCATCAGCGTGAAGCTCAGAAGCGCATGATTGATAAAGACGAAAATTTCAATATGAAGCACTGAAATAAGCACTGAAATTCTCTAGAACTGAATACAGATGAGTAATAGCAAATAATGATCAGCAAAACATCGACCCAAAAAAAAAGTTAGCAATCGGAGCAAACTTGAACCTAATAAAACCAAAAGCCATTAAACCTTTGAATAGCCAAAAAGCTTCAGCTTCTTTAGCTTTTCTTTAGCTTTTCACTTACAGTTTAAAGTTACAGTTTAAAGCGTTTTCTATTAGGCCCTTGCAAAAGAAACTGCGGATTATAACCAACATTTGAACAACCCAAAAATCAATAAGCAAATAACTTTATTCCAAAAGATATTTGCCATTATTATCAACTATGTTCCTACATTTTTTGCGTAGACTTCGGATGTCTGATTTCAATTTAAACCGGACCATCACACTTTCAAATAAAAAAAACTTTGGTCCTTGGAAGTAATCCGCAGTTTCTTTTGCAAGTCCCTAATATTATCGGTTAGGAGCTTTTTAATGAATTGGGTGACTCATCGAAAGAAATTCGCTCAAAACAATCTCTCAATAGACGCCTCAAAAAGGGAAAATAGGGCCAAATCGATGTCTTTGTCTTAGAAAACATTTGATTCAACAAAGAAACGATTTCGATTAAAACTAAACAAAAGAAAATTGATCACAAAGTCGATGTTGAGTCTAGAAAAAGTCTAGAAAAAGATTTCAACTAAAAGATTACAAACAAGATTGAAAATAAAGGTTTAAATCTTGAACTATTGATTGATTGACTATTGATTTATATGTCGTAGCCGATTATAAATGAATTTTTTTGGTAAATCTTTCTAGTAGAGCAACCCTTTAATGTATGAGGACAATATTATATCATCCTGTAGCGAATTAAATTCTGCCTCGATTGGTACCAAATTTGTGAGTTTAGGTTAAAAATTACCGGCGCTACAACGTTTCATTCAAAATCGGCGGGACCTCCGTAGCCGATTATGAATGACTGGGTCTAGGGGCGTCCAACCATCAAGTATTTGGTATCATTCAACGCAGAATCATTGATAATTATGTTAAATTTTTAAAATTAGAAAGATTTGATAAAAAGAAAAAAAATTAGAGCAAAAAAACTGTTTGTTCAAGAGGAAACTTTGAGGCCCCATAATTTTTTTTTCTTTTTACCCAATCTTTCTAATTTTAAAAATTTAACATAATTATTAATGATTCTGCGTTGAATGATACCAAATACTTGATGGTTGGACGCTCCTAGACCCGCTCATTGATAATCGGCTGAAATTCATAATCGGCTACGACATATATTAGGTTGATGCATAAGTCTTTTCGTTTTTTTCGTACTTCTGTTAAAAAGTAACAAATTCACCAATTAATCTATAGTTTGCTCTATAAAAAAAGTGTTTTTTTGTTGAATTTGCATCTTTTTAAATGAATTTCGGTTCACTTTCAAGCAAATTCGAGAGTGAAAAACGCCTTTTTCGTAAAAATCTATAAAAAACTCTACGGAAAAATTGGCTGAATGAATTTCTCTGAAATTTTGGCGAAATATCAAACGTTTTTTTTCTCTATCTTTTATCTATTGACACGAAGATAGGTTTTCTTTAGCTAAGGTGTCTAAACCGCATCATCGAGTTAGCCCTTTTTGACTACCCGACTTCATACTCTCAAGAAAATCCAGGCATTAAATATTTTTAAACCCGTTTTAATGTTATTTTGCAGAAAAATAATTGCTTTTTCTAATGAAATCAACCGTAGTTTAATTGGTGCATTTGTTGGCTTGAAACGGCAGACGAAAAGGAACAAAAACACTTATGCATCAACCTAATATATCACAAACAAAGTCAGAAGCAATAGCCGCACCAAAACTCCATAATTTTTACCAAATTTAGCATACAGTGCGTAACAAAATGATAGATCCACCTTCATTTAACAGCTTTATTTTATAATTTTATAATCAAGGTGGATCTATCATTTTGTTACGCGAGAAAAATGGCGAAAAGCATAGAAACATTTCTATAAGCGCAATGTCTTCGCGATCAAATAACAGTTTGATGCAAATTGATTTAAAACTAAATTTTGAAC